TTTCCCACCCCTCTTGACTTGGACAAGTTGAACCCCTGCCTCTACCTCTATACACCTGCATTTTGCCCACAGACCCTACATACCTTACCTAGGTTATAGGTCTTTCCTCCTTCATGTCTCCCCGAACGGCCTTAACTGATAACGTAACGGGTCCGGCAAGGAAGCAAGTCACGAGTCCAGCGGGCCCCCTGCCTTACTGGGCACTCAGTCTCTTGAGTCCTTATATTTCTGTGCACTTCCTCGCGTGTCCAACAATCCGGAGGGATGTCGTAATGGGACTGTAGTGTGCCCCGCTGATGGTAAGTGAGATCGCAGTTGGTTTCCCCCCCCTTTGCCTCTCAGGTCCCCTTCTTTAGGTTTCTCTTCTTTCCACTCACTTTGCATGGCAGATTTGTTTTTCTTTGGACTTGACTTCTCCCTTCAACGTGCTCGTCTCATTTTGGACATATAGGTTCAGTTGCCCCCCTCAACTTGACATGGGATGCTTTAACGTCTACCCCCTCTTTTAGGGTTTAATTTATTTTCTTTTTTTCTTTACCCCAACCCTTTATCGATATCTTCGAGTGCCGCCGATTGCCTTCCGAACTAGAGATGCTCTTTGTCGACCTCCTTATTTTCTCAGCGCAGCAGTCCTTCGGGTAAAACTCCGAGTCAACAAAAAAAGGGCCAACCTCGCCGGCCTCCCTATATTGACAAAAGAAAACGGCCGACATTGTCCATATCCGGTTTACACACCTACCCGACGACTCCTCATCGACCGACAAACGGTCCCCGGCGACAAGGCCCGGCTGCCGATACGCACTACTCGTGCCCGTTTTCCGGTCATTCCTCACCAAGAATTTCCAAACCCCAAATTGATGCCCTCAACGTTCCATAAACCTCATACGTCAGACCTTTCCGAACTTGCCACGAAACGAAGCACGACGATACAATAGAAAATAGAATCCGGGACCGAAAAGAGAAACTCTGGACATAACCAAAAAAAATTAAAATTTTACAAATAAAAGAGGGAATAAAAGAGGGGGAAAAAGAAAGAAGAAAGAAAAATCGCACATGATAGAGCGAACAAAATGGAGGGCTACACTAGGACGGCGCCAGTCGAACTAGACGACCTCATCGCGCAGACGCCGGAACCGCTCGTGCGGGCCATCCTGTTGGCCTTGTGCGACGACACCAGAATCCGGGGAAGAGCGATCCGGTACCTCGGTCGGCTGGAGCAGTACGAGGCCGAGGTGCGACGACCAAGCGTTACCGTCAGCGCCACGGGTGCGGGTGGTGCGGGTGGTGCGGGTGGTGCGGGTGGTGCAGGTGGTGGTGCAGGTGGTGGTGGTGGTGGTGGTGACCAGGGGTCAAGGAGTCCGACTTCGGCTTCCCACACGCACGAAAACACCAACCCGAAGAAGAGGAAAAAGACGGGGGCGCCGCGCATCTGTGCCCAGTGCGACGAGATTTTCACGGACGAGGAGAATGAGTTTGGGGCATGCAGGTATCATAGCGGTGAGTTTTCCCTTTTTTCCCCCCGTCTTGTCAGAGTTCTGTTTCGCCTCTCGTGTAACCCGAACCAAGTTAACGGGCCCGCAACGACCCAGGGATCCTCGAATTGGCCGACGAAACGAAAATAGAAATAGAGTGGGACGCCGTCTCGATAGAAGAGCTAGACACCGAGTCGCACAGGGAAGCGTTCCCGGCGGCGTTCCGCTGGATCTGCTGCCGGGCGGCAGCTGACAGCGCGGGGTGTCGGCGCGGCCGGCACGAGGCGAACCCGGACCGGTCGCGGAAAGGACGGGGGTCGGATACGGATTCGCGGGTTTCGAGTCTGGACGACGATCCGCTGCGGCTCGACGACGACGACGCGGGGGGCGGCCATGTCGATGGTGCATGTGGGGAGGGGATGGAGGGTATGGACCCGACGGAAGAGGAGATGCGGATGGATAGGATCAGGAGATTGGTGGGGAGTGACGATGACAACGACAACAATGGCGGGCCTGGTCCGGGAGGGGAGGCGGCGTCGGGCATGCGCGTTGCGCACGGGGGAAGTCTGTTGGGGGGGAGGTATCGGTGGGTGCCGCTGGGGGAAGCGCGTGGTGGTGACAGTGCGAAAGCAGAAGAACGCGAACGGGAACGGGAACGGGAACGGGAACCGCAGCGGTGTCGAGAGAGCGAAGTGGGGGACGCCGAGGGAGATGAACACGGACGTGGACATGGAGGGTTGAACCATTCAACGGCAGCGACAGTGGCGAGACCACGCTCGGACTCTCACCCCCCATGACGGCAGCGCATGCTCTCAGGGGGATTCGATGAGCCGGTGGCGGGAGGACGGACCGGGAACTCCCAGATAATCTGGGGAAATGATACCAATGGCATTTCAGGGTAGTGCCAGGATTAGTCTTGATGAGGTGTTATCTTTGGTTAAGCTTTGATGCTCATCAGGCCCGTTCCTCACCGAACAGTTACCGTCGGTCCGTTCGTGCTCTCGGTCTCGGTACTTGTTTCTTCTCGCGACGCGCGACTCGCAACCAGGCCCAGGGACGCCAATACTATGTCTTACTTGGGATCATCTGTGGACATGCAAGTCATGATGCGAGTCGCTGTATAAGAGCAGGAAATATCTGGAAAGACGTGAAAAGACCCGGAAGACTTATTCTTTGTATACCCGATTATATCCGAGGGATTTCTCTTATCCAGGCTTGGCATACCTCTTAGGCCGCATTTGGGCTCATGGATGCCAATGTCTCCGTGGCGCAGCGGTAGCGCAGTAGTCTCATACCCACTCAGTATGACCAAGTCACAAGGTTTGGAGATATCTAAAGGTCGTGAGTTCGACCCTCACCGGGGACAGTCATTCTTTTTTTGTCTCTGGACAGATCTTTTTTGTCGTCCCTTTTTCTCTTGTCTTTTCTTTCTTGCCTGTTCTGTCTTTTCCCTTTCTCTCTTTCTTCCCCCCTCCACCTCTCTACCTACGGCTTACACCCTCGAACATGCTCTTCCGTGAGATTATTACCCGTGCAGAGACCGAGCCTCGTAAGAATGAGATGCTCCGTCGTCTCCACTACCGACTTGACATTATGCACATCAACACACCAAACGGCCGACCTACGCTGCTGCCCACCTGGATATCTGCCCCGCATGTCCGACCGAGAGACACATCAACCCTCTCCACATCACCATCCGTCTTATTAGTGAGCGGCTCCGGCTGGCGGGGCATCCTGACTGTGGGTTGCTGATTCCAGGGCTCTGGCGGGGTCTTTACGATGACGATTTATGTGATGTTCAGTTGTTGGTTTTGACTAACTAGCAAAGGCAAGGCGAAGTAATTGACGAAAGGAGGATTGAAATTTATCCCAGGGATCCCGACTCCGACGAACCCCCGAGCATCCTTCTCCTCCCTGCAATTGAATTGGCAATGATAGCCCACATGCAGCGGCCTAGGAAAGCCTACCACATCACATGCCCGACTACAGCACGCACACCAATCTGAAGTTCTGAACAGACTCACCAGACTCTCCACGCAGGCCGCTGCCTAGTACCGACGACGCCTCTTCCTTTATCCTCAACTTCCTCCGAATCGGGGACTACAGTTGATAGACATGGCATCTGGTCGGGCGCTTGAGATTCCATCCTCAGCGCAACCTCGAGGTCCACATCCCACGCCCGCCCGACGATCGAAGTGCCGTACACGGCATCCCCGAACAAGCGCAACTGCGTGGGGAAGCTCAGGTCGCCAAAAACCCAGAGGACGTCCCCCCGTGTGAAGGCCGAGTACAGGTTATGCGGATGCTTCTCGTCCAGGACGAGGGCCTCGCACTCTTCCCGCGCCTGGGCATCCCACCACGCGGGCAGCAGGCGGTAGCGACGGGGCGCCGCAGCCGGCATCTCGAACAGGGAGAGGAAGCGCCGGAAGGCGTTGAGCGAGTTGGGCCGCCCGGCGTAGATGCCCTCGGCGTCGAACCTGCCCTGGGCCTCCACCATGTCGTCGCTCCGGAGGCGGAAGGCGTCGATGAGCAGCGTGTAGACGTCTTTCCGGCAACGGTCGTGGAGCCAGGTGCCGCGCATCAGGTTCGTGAAGGGCCGCGTGATGGGCCCGTCGAGGCCTTTGTGGGGGGACCGCCAGTCGGGGTCGTGGGGGGGCCATGGGGTGTTCTTCCAGGCTTTGGTGATGGGTCGGTGCAGGGGGGCTTGGCAGGGGAACTGTGGACAGGACCACTGGTCGAGCACGGCGGCGAAGTCGGCTTCGGGAACGTTGTCTGGAAATAGGTCGTCGTGATGGGCGAAGAACCGGCACACCGGGCATGCGGGATGGCGACCGGCGATGCTATGCCATTTCCGCATGGGATGGAATACGCTCTCAATCAGCGGGCGCTTGGGAGGGAGGTTGGCATTCGCGTTTGCTCGTGACCTCGTGCTGATTTCCATACGGTTGCGGGTCATGGCTAGACGGTGCCCACGGCGGGATTTATTCTCAGCAGTGTCGGCACGACTGCGCCGGTTGCTGGGGCCGCGATTGGCACTGGCATCACCGGGATCCGCGACGTTGGACTCGGCGGACCGTGACGGGGTCGGGGGCAGTCTGCGGCGACGATAAGGAGCCAGCCGCATTTCAGGACCGCGCACGCTATCGACGTTGGTGTCTTCTTCCGAGCTGGAATCCTCTACGGCGCGGCGGGGGGGCCACCCTTGCCAGAGACCGGGTTCCACACGGGAATTAGAACTATAAGCATTGCGACGCCGATAGTATCGGCGACGACTTGCGGCGGTATTCACCACAAACTCTGATTTCATATCGCGGACGGTCTGGAGGAGAGAGCAGTACTCGTTGTAAGAAAGGTCGAACCGGTTTCTAGGGCGGTGATCATGATAGGCATTGGTGTTCGTTCCCCCACTGGAATCCATGACGATGGCGGGCCGCGGACGGGAGTTGTATTTTTATACGCTGTCCTCTTCACCATAATACACCCGAAAGATGTAGGATTTTATGAGAGGAAATGAACAGAACATACGGGTCACCCCGAGGATGTGGAATGGAGTGTGATCTTGGTCGGTCGCAAAGTTGCGTGTGTTGATGAAGACACTGGCGGGGAACCCAACTGAAATACGATAGCGGGAGGAAGTTTACGGTAAGCACAGGTCGTTCGTTATGACCTGGCCAACAGACCTTCTCCGGGACGTAAGCCCTGTTTTGCAGGGGACGTTTGCCCCTAGACTAGTACCAATAAGCGCTACACCTCTGCTGGAGAGTAAGTCACTATAGCGTTCTTGGTGGTTTTCAGCCCCTGAACCACCACCTTCTGCAGCACAAGGACGGCTATTATGATCGCCATCGCCGTCGACTGAGCAGGCTCAGGGGCTATAAACAGGCAGTCTTATGAAAAGGAGTTCGTCGCGATGTATTCCAAATCTTGCATATACTATATATAATACTCAAGGCAACATATAATTAACAATTCCAAACTACCGTGTTTCAAACAGGACACTAAAACAATGGTCCAAGTACTCCGTAAGAGACATATTCTTCCACTTACACCACAGTGGTTATGAAGCAGGTCATAGCTGACGCTAATCATGATTAGACAAACCACGGTTCATGACTCATACGTACCGGGTCAGACGGGAGTCTGTGGCTCGGGAAACGGGCCGAACCTACAACTGTTCATAACTTTATATTGCCACCGGAGATGGTCGCTGTCCAACTTCGGACCAGGCACTAGGGCCCAGCCGCCCAGGGCCCAGGGGCAACGCAGTGACGAGCGGTGATGTACAGACTCTGGAGTACGTCTCTCAGCAACGAGCGGCACAGTTCTCGCATAATCGAGATCACCTCATTATTACTAAGATCGCGCCATATGTGACGAATGGCTGAAGCTGTGAAGATCGACCAATCCAAGGGCCCTTGATTGTAAGACGGCATCTACGGAGATAAGCCTGAATTCTCTTCCACAAGTCCAAAAGCCAGTCGGTGAGTCCTCGAGCAAGGTCACAATGCCGGGTCGTGGTCGGGGAGAAGAACCCCAAGCGAGCTGCGCGGGGTGATGCTGATGGAGGCAGGCTATGAAGCTCCTCATGTCCAACATGTTACACGGTACACCATCCCACACGTCTGGTAGTTGAGGGGCCTGATGATGGGATTCCCCCCTAGACATCTCGCAATCCAACTTCAACTGCAGAGATGGCGACACCCTCTTATGCAGACGGCTGAATCTCTGACAGCGGGGGTCCAAATGATCATGTGGAGAGAGGAATTGGTAGGGGGGTTTGTTTCTTTTCTTTTTTTTTTTTTCATTTCTTTTTCACGTGGCGATCGGGAATAATAAAACGGTCACTGATATCCTGATTCATGTTCCTTCGCAGCCCCTTATCAACAAGCTTGACTGGAGGATCACTGCTTGGGCGTGTATAGCTTTCTTTGCCCTCGATCTGGATAGAGGCAACGTCGTCCAAGCCAATACGGATAACTTCCTCGATGACCTAGGCTTGGGCACAAACGGTTTGACTCCTTATGGCTGTGCTTCTTATAAACCCCTTTTGTTCGGTAGCTAACACAGACGGGCAGACTTTGACCTTGGCAACACCGTCTTTCGGCTATCCTTCCTGTGTGCCGAGCTTCCGTCTCAGGCTGCATGGGCTCGTTATGCCGTGTTGACTGTGCTATTGTCTTATCCATCTGGTGCGTAGCCCATGGTCGTCATTCGTCAACTCCTACTTACCAGTGGAGATATCTGCTATCATTGACATAGCGCATGCCATTCAAGTCGGCTGGTACAGCCGAAACTCGACACGGTCCGAGCGAGGATAGTCTTTGCGGCCGTCTATAGGACAGTGCCCAAACAAACACCTTGAGACTGGAGTGTCGTTGTCCCAGTCAAGTCTGACTTGTTGCTATAGCATGTTCGTTCAACTCAGAGGCATCGTTCATTCCAACATCTATCGTCCGGCGATCTACCGTACTGTGGGTTTTCGGCCCTGGTTCTGTCTTGTAACCCATTTAGAGTCAAAGAAGACTCGGTATACTGACGTTGCTCTTGCTTAACAGATCGGCGGGGTAACACCCAGTTAATTGCCGTCTGCGTTATGAGCATCTATTGCCTCACCAAGGCTTTATACGTCTGGCGGAACAAGACTCGAGACAGAGAGTGGGACGCCATGAGCAGAGAGGTAGTTGTCCCCGATCCGCTGTCACCTGGTTTGTATAGGATCCTCACACAGTTTTGAAAGGAAAAAATCCGATACCTGGAGACTACGACCGATTCCGGAAGCAAGCGAAAGAATTTAGGTTTGCTCATTAAACGGTGCCTTGAGATGATGGGTCTCTTGTTTCAGACGTAAAGAAGTGCACATGGACATATAAAAGACGATGGTTATGACTTTGGCAGTTGGAAGCCGAATTGAGAGTTCAAAAGGGACTGGAGAGGACTCTCTTCCTTGATAGCGAAGGAGAATGGAGAAGAAACAACTCTACATCTCGCCCATATGCTTCTTGTGTCCAACCGGTGTGATGAATGTTCCTTCTTTGCACGTATCAAGGGAACAATAAATGGACCTGGGTGATTAGCGAGATGTCTAGACGTCTGGTCGAGACTGGAGCAGCATTCGGGATGATATTGAGCCGCAGAGAATAGACTAAGAGTCTAAGACAGTCACACCGACAGGCTTAGGGGTCTGCTCAGCCGCCGATTGGCGAAGATCATGGGAAAATAGGCAACAATGCAGGGTACAATTTTAATGATTAGTAGTATGCTGCGCTTGGCAGTCAGGTCAAGAAAGGAAATGACCAGGCACCCCCTGTGCTGACAGCTTGACAGCTCTACATATAAGAACTTGAGCATACCCGCCGAGCGGTTGATGGTCATGTCCATTGAACTGTAATACAAGTTGAGGTCAACTCTTCTTCGGGCTCCATTTTCCCAGCCATTTAAACGACCGCTTAAACGTCCGCATCTCACACGGTCACACCTACCTTCTCACTTCAACGTCCACCGCCCATTCCAAATCCCACCATGTCGGTCAACAAACTCACCACCGTCCTCTGGTTCGACGGCAAAGCAGAAGAAGCCGCCCACTTCTACACCTCCGTCTTCAAGGACTCCAAGATCGGATCGCGCCAATACTTCGTGGAAGACGCCAAGCAAAACCACGGCCAGGAAGCAGGCTCGCTGATGGTCATCGAGTTCGAGATCAACGGCAACCGATTCGCCGGCCTCAACGGCGGGCCGCACTTCAAGTTCAACGAGGCCGTGTCGTTCATGGTTGACTGCGAAGACCAGGCCGAGGTCGATTACTACTGGGAGAAGCTCGGCGAGGGGGGCGACGAGCGGAAGCAGATGTGCGGGTGGCTTGGCGATAAGTACGGGGTTTCGTGGCAGGTTATCCCCAAGGTCTTGAAGGAGATGCTCGCGGATGAGGATAGGGTGAAGGCTGGTCGGGTGACTGCTGCTATGATGGGGATGAAGAAGTTGGATATTGCTGGGCTTAAGGCGGCGTTTGAGGGGTGCCCGGGTGAGGGTCTTTTTATGTAGCTTAGCATAGACATGCCTCTGCGAATCTATAGTAAGTGCATGTGGTGTCTATAGTTCCACTTTGTCTAGGTTTCAGTTCAGCTTAGCTTCGGAGACTCGAGTGTCCCGACGTTCTTCGTTCACATTACCCGACGTATTCCGCGTGACTGATCATTAGACTTCTGTTACAGCTGAGGAAAGCAATCAAGAGATTCAAGAGAAACTGAGGGCGACTATGGATTGCATATAAGACGTGAGGTCTATAGTTTCTATGAGTGGTTTTAGACTTGACAACAGTAAGCTCTGAGGGCGGGGAGTCGGGGACTTCTAGATAAGAGTCAAGACGTATCCTATGAGTTATATGTCGACTACATCTGTGTGTAGCCCTGTACACTAGGTACTGTGTAGATCATATCCTGTTTTCCTAAAGGACCTTTATCTTCTCTTTGTTCTGACCTTGTAACTGTGACGTGACATTCAACTTGGCCTTGGCCTCATGCTTGAGTTACGTCATGGATCGAGTTACGGTGTGCTAAGGACTAATATGAGGTACATGTACGATACCTTCTAGTATCTACCTTGATCCCCTCTCCTCCTAGCATTGATTCTTCTGGGTTCACCGGGCTCACTCGAACACATACTCGGTCTCATACAATATAAATCACATATTGAGAACATTCGATTCTAGCTGCCCTGTTCCATGAAGTTTCAACCAGGCAATACAGCCTCCAATATGTCGTCAGCCATTGTTGTCGGTGCAACTGGTATGTTGAGTTCACTCGAGATTGCTGAATATCTGACCTCAACTCACTTGAAAGAGCGACATCAATTATCAACCATCTACGACTGAGCCTAACAAATCCCAGGCATCCTGGGCCGTGAAATCGTCCTACAGCTAGGCAAAAGCCCAGATAAATGGCCAACCATCTACGCCCTGTCCCGGTCCAAAAAGGGCGACTTCCCCCCGACCGTCCGCCAGACGTCCATCGACCTCACCGGCTCCACCACTGAGATGGCCCAGAACCTCCAAGGGGTGACGGCCGAATACGTCTTCTTCGCAGCCTACCTCCAAAAGGACACGGAGCAGGCCAACTGGGACGTAAACGGCGACATGCTCCAGAACTTCCTCAACGCCCTCGAGACCACCGGCGCCGCATCGTCCCTGAAGCGCATCGTCCTCGTGACAGGGTGCAAGCAGTACGGCGTGCACCTGGGCCCCGTCAAAAACCCCATGCTCGAGACGGACCCCTGGCTCCGCGGCGGCGGCGACCGGACTTCGTTCCCGCCGAACTTCTACTACCGCCAGCAGGACATCGTCCGGGACTTTTGCGAAACGAAGGAGGTCGGGTGGACGGTGACGTACGCGAACGACGTGGTCGGGTTTGCGCGCGGGAACTTCATGAACCTGGCTACCTCCGTGGGGATATATGCCGCTGTCGAGAAGGAGCTGGGCCACGACCTCGTCTTCCCCGGCTCGGAGCGGTTTTACTCGGGGTTCGACTCGCTCACGGATGCGGGGCTGCATGCGCGGTTCTGCGAGTGGGCGGCCCTCGAGCCACGGGCGGCGGGGGAGGCTTTCAATGTCGTTAATGGGGATGTGGAGAGTTGGCAGAATCTGTGGCCTCGTGTTGCTGAGCGATTTGGCATGATGGTTAAGCCGGATCAGTTCGTGGCCGGGTATGGGGGGGAGAGTAGCTCTTCTCAACTCGCTGACGTGGCGCCCCTGAGCGTCTTTGCTGAGAAGGCCGGGTTGGAGGGGAGGGTCGTGCCGGGACGGCTTGAACAACGTGTCGATCTCGTCAAGTGGAGTCAGAGGGAGGATGTGAGGAAGGCGTGGGACTCTTTGACGACTCGGGAGGGACTCGACAAGAAGGCCTTTGAGGAAGCTACGTGGAGTTTTCTCGGGTTTGTCTTGGGTAGGGCCTACGATTTGGTCGTTAGCATGAGTAAGGCCAGGGCTTTGGGCTGGACAGGGTGAGTTTGAGGACCATGACCATTGATTGCGGCCTATACTGACTTCATTGTCTTTGATACAGGTACAAAGACACCTGGACAGCCATCTCGGATGTGTTTGATAAGCTTGAGGAGGCAAAGGTTCTGCCGAAGACGCGGTAAGGAATACACGGTATACCCTACCGGATATGGCGATGAAGGAGACGATGGGATGTTTGCACGAGAACGGTTTCAACCATATGTAATACATCCCTAAGACCACTTGACTGGACCGACGATGAGGGCTTCGAAGTTGTAATGGGCCATTGCAGACATCATCTTGACTCTTTGCCTTGATTCCATGAACAATCCCGAGCATTGACTACCGGGTTAACCCACACGCCGCCCCTTTACCCCTGACTGATGGGGGGGGCGGCGGTCGTCCTCTGGTCTCGAAGATGTGATTTCCACCAACTATAAGCGATGCCATGTTATGATAGACAGTGGTCATGTCACAATTAAAGTGAGTAGACAAGGATGTGTGGAAAGTTTTAAAGTCTTTTCAGAAAAGGGCCTTCCATGACTATCATCAGGGTGTAGTATATACTGCAGATATCTTAAGCAGAGACTCCCAAAACGCCGCGCAGGAACCCAACGCTTCTTCTCCGCTCATCCGCTCATCCAAAGCAGCCATGCACGTATGACAACATTGCCGTCGTCAAGATGCAGAGCAGAAAAAATAGAAATTTTGCTCGCAGCAAATCATCGCCGAGTATCTGTAGAACCGTAATCATGTGTCTGATGCTCCTCCTCTTCCCCGATCAGCGGCATCCTCTCCAGACCTGCCTGATCCTTGATCTCCTTTACCGCATCTGCATGGAGACGGATATTCACCATCATAAAGACGACCAGGGTAATGCCGAGTAGGGTGCCTGTGGTAGCCAACAAGATGTTGACGGGGAAAGGGTCGCCCTCGAGAGGACCATGGGTCCAGGCGTCGAGACCGTACTGGCCGAAACTAAAGAAGCCCGAAAAGCATACGAGAGCGCCATAGATGCGTCCAAATGTCGCGAAGCCAAAGACTTTAGTGGCGTAGTCCCTGGTGACCGGTTAGCCAAGTCGATCCTTCTTATATCCAGGACAAATCGGGTGGATACATGGGATGGTGAGAAGGAAGGAAAGGGGGGGCAGGCGACTCACGAAATGGCCGAATAGTACAGTGGTCTATACATGGAAAATCCAATGACCATGGCATAACCGGCCCATACATATGGCAGACAGTTGAGAAACGACACGGCAACAATGAATGCAGTCAACACGATAAAGATGGTCGGCACCGTAAAGCTATGGAGCAGGATTCCCACAAACGGCGTGGCCAGGACGCCACCGATGGGCAACGCGGCGTCGAACAAGTGGTTCACCCGCTCAGCCAGCTCATCGCTGCCCAGCATGTGCCGGTACTGGGCTCGCAAGGTAGCGATGATGAAATTCATACGCAGCATCTGATGCGCCGTGAGCAGCAGCACGAGTATGAACCACGGCGTCATCATCTGGCTGTGGGCGGGTAGGCCGTGGAGCATGCCCCAGACACCGGACGCCTCAAGGCGGTGCTCCTCCTCGCGATCTCGCTCGTCGCGGGCTTCCTGTCCGCCGGTGAGATCCTCCAGCGCGTCGCGGCGGGCGCGTCGACGCTCAGCGCGTTTCTGCTGGACATCTAAGCGCTCGCCTTCTTCGGAGATGTCGTCGTCGGATGCGTGGACGTCGCGCGCGTGGTCGGCCGAGTGTTCGATCTTGGCCTTGAGCTCGCCGGCGGAATGGTAGGGGTGGCGCGGCATGTAGGTGAACTCGGCGAGGAGGATCAGCAGCGGCACGACGAGGTAGGAGAAGAAGAAGGTCTCGAGGGAAGGGCGGCCCCCCGTGGCGTCGTAGGCGATGCGGTAGAAGAGGAAGACGGCGGCGGAGGCGTCGAAGGCGCCGGTGACCAGGGCGATGATGAGGCCTGCGTAGCGCGGGAAGGCGTTGGCGAGCCGGTAGCTGGGTACGAAGAGGAACGTGCCGCCTAGGCCGAGGAAGAAGTTCCCCACCAGATAGCCGTCGAAGTGGGGGATGACGAAGGAGTAGGCCATGAAGAGGCAGCCGGCGGCGAAGAAGAGACAGCCTAGTACCCAGGCGGCTCGTCGGCCCAGACGGTCCAGCACAGTCCCCGCTGCGAGGGATCCGACGTTCGCGGTGATGGAGGCGACGGCGAAGAAGAGGTTGAGACGCATATCCTGTTGGTTACAGGGGATTCTGGGGTCCCGGTCGGCATTGACATCGTCTGCGGGACACAGATCTCTGTATATTCCTTCGGCAATAAGAATTGGCTTTAGAGCAGCAAATCCAAAAGTGATACCCGACGCGAACCAGCAGGTCACAATTGCGGTCACAACTTGGGCTGTAAACCACGAGAGCTGGGGTAAGTGTGTGTCTATACGTCGACATGACGGAAGGATTATGGGGTCCGGCCGAGAGCAACGGGGTGGGAGTGGGACAGAACTTACCGAATCGTTTCGCATTGGAGACTTTGTAGGCGGAAGCACGGCGCTCCGTTCTCTCAACTGGGGGGTCGAGGAGGGCAGCGGGCTGGGCAAAAGCATCGAAGCTCAAGCGTCGAGATCTTGACCTGGCAATGTTGGTGGATGTGGATGCCACTGGGGTAAGGAGAGGGAGGCGAGACTGTTCCTCCTCGTCTGGAACTATGGCGGTGCCAATGGGAGGCTGAGGAGTAACTCCAGGCGGCGCTTCATAGTCGAAGCCTTCGAGGGGTCCGACATTTCGGGCGAGAGACATGAAAGGACGGGCAGGGACAAGGGGCGCGTACGGAGCGCGGTTTGTAGTGTATTGTCGACTTTGAGGTGTTTTGCAGAGGAATAGAGTGTTGTCGTATCGCCCGGGGTTCCAATGACCAAGCGTCAAAGACGATGGCGAGGGAGAATTCGAAGGTTGATTGTGGTGAGAAAAACTGTCAGGGCCGTCGGCGATGGTCACGAACTCGGGGGGAGGATGAAGCTTTTCCAGGCCGCTTGCAGGGACTAGATGCAAGTGTTGAAAACGCGAATATAATAGAAAGCAATGGAACAAACCATATAAAGCCGCGACAGGGGCTCAACGCTCCCGTTGACAACGGGACATGCGCCTTGGCGAGGTTGGCGTTGTTGAAAGTTGACAGTTGAGGGTCAAGTCGAATGAAATTATTTTGAGGACAGCACGATGACATCATTGGATGAGGTGCTATGAGAAGCAATGAACCCCTTGTACGAATACGAAGTATTTCCGTACTATATCGTACGAAGTACACGATACGGTGTAGTAATAGTAGTGGATGGTGCTCTTTAATGTACACGGAACAAGAAACCATTCTAACCAATCATCACGCCAGACTATATCGCGATAACTGATATCCCTGACCACGACTGGAAGTCCTGTTGGGCGAGTCAGGTATATAAGGTAGGTATGTCACGCCCAGAACACAAAAGCTCGGTTATGCAAATCCCTGAGACTTTTCTCGTGCATCCATTCTGTGCTCCGTACTTGTCGGAGAATCCAGAAAATGGTTTGCGATGCCAACAACAGCACCGAGTCTCTGCATGTCGAGTCCGACGGCACCTTAGAAAGCTCTAGAATTAAGGTGCTTTCTGTGGTACGGAGTACTTGCGGCTCCACAATGCACAGCGTCGTACCTGTACTCGGCACACATAATCGTCCGAAGCACGAGCCTTTCCCGTCGACCAGCCCTGGAACATTCAGGACATCGCACATCATGCGCCGTTGGTCTAGTGGTATGATTCTCGCTTAGGGTAACACCCAAAAGCACAGCTTGCGAGAGGTCCCGGGTTCAATCCCCGGATGGCGCCTATCTTTTTTTTTTCTTTCTTTTTTTCTTTCTTTCTCTTTTATCATTTTTTGAATTCCCTAACAAGATCTTGGCTTGTAGCGATCCCAGACAAAAGGGGCCGATTTCCTTCAGTTTGAAAAGAACATTGACGTCCCGGTACTTCCATTTTCTAGGCCTCTTTCTATGGCCAGTTGAGGCTGTAGTCGCTCTACAACCTTCCCCGGCATCTCTCCGGTAATAGACCATATCCATCTTAGGCCGCGAGTCGTCTTTAGTCCCCTGTGGTCGGTCGACTTCAGGCCGGACGGAGCCCCCCCGAACGGCCTAAACATCACCCCAATCCTGCCGAATCATCTCGGCCCCCTTCTCCCCAATCATGAAAACAGGACCAACGATATTCACATCGGGAAGCACGGGAATAATACTACAGTCGACAACCCGCAGTCCGCCCACCCCGTACACCCTCAAGCGGGGATCCACAACCCCGCCGTCCTCGAGCGGCAACATCCGGTTCGTGGCAGACGCATGCCAGTTGGGAATGGTATTGGCCTTGATATACTCGAATATAGCGTCCTCATCGTCATCGCTGACCGCCGGACCGGGGCTCACCTCGCCGTGGTGGGGGCCGTTCGTGAACTTGTCGAGTTCCGGATGCGCGAGGATCTTGCGGAGGTACTTGAACGCTTGGATGGCGATTGCGCGGTCGGTCTCGTTTGCGTAGTACTGAGTTGTGTTAGGGACCAGTAACAGTTACTCCGTATGGTTATGAAGGAAGAAGAAACAAGGGGAAGAAGAAGTGAAAACTTAAAAGAGCACGGCAAAGAAGGACATACATTCGGGTTGATAACTGGCGCCTGGGCCATGGAGCTTCCTCGAATCGTCACATTGCCCCGCGAGAGTGCCACCATACTGCTCGCCGTCAGGGAAATATACGACTCGTTCGCCAGAGGCGTGTAGTATGGCGTCGGGCCGCCGGGATACCAGACCGACTCGTAAAGGTACTCGATGTGGGACTGGTCGGAAAGGCCAGCTTCCAGCACACCCTCCGCCCCGATGTCGATGAGTTCTTGCTCGGACAATTTCTGGAACCCATTGGTGATGCCCGACGGCGCGGTGTATACTCCAGTGCCGTTGGAGTAGAATTCCTGCGAGGGTCATCAGCGGCTGACGTCGATGGAAAGCCCAGGGCTTGGAGATACGCACTTCCTGTGCCTCGGCAAGAAGGTCAAACTGCACCGAGTATTGGCTCGTGGAGTGTTCGTCATCGACCTTGGCCATGATACTGAACACGCTGTGATCGTCTAGGCTGAGAGGAAGTCAGTACGTACTTATGCCGTCTTATTATAAGCATGGATGATGGCAGAGAAGGTGGGGGTTCTTGCTGCTGTCCGATGTTTTCATTCACAACGATCGGCTCAATGCCGTAGTATTCCAACGTGTCTTTCGGTCCGTACCCCTGATATACCATTACCATCAGTTATGGCAGAGCTTCAGTAAGTAGACAGCACAGGCTTCAAGCGTTCAACAGAAGACATACCGAAACCATCAGAAGTTGAGGTGACTGAAACGCCCCCAAACTCACGACAACCTCTTTAGCAGCGTGAACCTGATACATCCTTCCCGTAGGGTGGTCCATAAACTGTACCCCCCTGACGCGGGGCGTCTCTCCCTCGCTGTCGGTAAGGAGTTGCATAACAGGAGCATAGTACAGAACATCGAGATTCTCCCTGTGACTAGCCTTCTTAAGGTAGCCGTCGTAGCTCGAGCTGCGGAGAAGGTTCGCATCCAGCGTGGCGGTGCCCTGCTTGATTCCCGTGCTGTTACCCATGTTGTGATCGTGTATCACTGGGACGTTGGCCGCTTCGCAGGCGTGCATAAAACCTATGGCTGTGGCAGGAACGTAACCCTGATATGCGATCTCGAGAGGCCCGTCGCTGTAGCCTTTAGGGTCCCATGTCTTGTACGTATTGTCAAAGGCTTTACTTGGGTCTTGGGGGTTGAAGTGGGTGCCCTGACAAAGACGAGTTAAGACGAAGAGCGAGACGATGAGGGAACAAAACCTTGCCATGGGCTTTTACCTTGACGAATAGCGGCCAGACGTTCTCCCAGCTCCAGCCTGGGTTTCCGAGCTCCTCCCATCTGTCGTAGACGGTGGAGGTGCCGCGGCCGTAGTAAAAGCCGTTGATCATGCTGCTGCCGCCGAGACCTCGGCCGCCTAGGGGATCGTGTCAGGCCTTTTGGGAAAGGAAAGTTCAAGACAACATAGTCAGGATAGTAGAGAACGCACGGAGATAGGTCAGGACACGGCCATCCAGATGCTCTTGCGGTGTTGTCTCAAATCGCCAGTCGATGGCAGTACCTGTGTTGGACGATACATGTGAGTCGCATGGCCGTAACGGTAACTCATAAAGGTTCATGTTTCCATCAATCGTACCAGCAAGCAACTGGTTGCCCCCCAAGGGCTTATAAGCCGCAACAACATTCGGATCAGGTCCGGCTTCCAAGACCAGAACCCGGAACTTGCCAGACTCGGTGAGACGGTTTGCCACAACCAGCCCGGCAGTGCCGCCTACCCCAGAATGAAAGTTAATGTGATGCATGCATGTTAGTTTACGTGAAGAATTGATGTGACTGAACATCAGACTAGAACGCACCTCCAGCAATGATAAAGTCGTATTCTTCTTGGATATGGGCTCGGTCAAGACCTTGAATGGGTCGGGCGATCGACCCCTGAATGCCCAGGAGGGTCAAAAGTATGGTGCTGACGACACTGGCCTTATGTCGGAGCATGGTGGGCAAATGGATCGCTTTCGCGTTTGGTGCAAGGAGTTGAATCTCGATTGAGGCGAGTTGAAGTGTGTAAAGGCCGTCTTGTCCAGCAGTGCACAACAGGGAGTGTCAGGGGGCGTCGACCTCGGGCACAAACAAAAGCAAACAACACACGAATAATCGACCGCGATAGCAGGTGAAAACCACATGCAGCAAACGGGTCCGAGACTCCATCGGGGAATATTCCACCGTATTTAACTGTGCTATCTGTGATGGGCACCATGGGAGTTGATGGTCCAGGAACCCTCCACACCATAGCCACGATTAAAAGGTCATCCCATCCAGGCCGACACTGCGTCATTATTTTGGAGTAGGATCTTGGAGATGGTCTGGGGACTCGAGGGTACCGGGGGTTCGGAACCAGCGGGGAAACTGGAAACCGGAAACTGGCCTAGGCGGCCTGGCGGAGAATACGCCTATTCGCTCAACGCCCGGGACATATGTTATAATGCGGCGTAGACTTTACGCAGACTTCGTGGTGGCCATGTAAACTATGTAGTAAGCAACGTCTCAACTCGAAATGTTGATCCCCTTGCGACCTGAGAGGTGGCGCAACACTTGAGGGTGAAATCCGGGGGATGACGTTGCGAATGGGCGACCGAAGACACGCTAGTCGGGAGTTGGGGTTGCAACTTGCCACCAACGGTGGGCGATCTGACAATGACGCCTGGTAGATCAGTTTAGGTCGTGTAACACAGGATTATGCGTGGCACAGAGCAAGGTGAGTAAGGTGGAAGGGAGTTTGATGGGAGTATAATGTAGAATCGGTACTTATCATAATGTGTGAGAGCCTGACACCGGGCGAGGCACTCATACAAGACACTCATGAAAGCCTTGAGGTGATACAAGACGCAGGTTGAAATGAGAGGACTCGAAGGACTTTATCAGCAAAATACTAACTGGGAATCGGACCGAGTTTATAACGGTTCCAGGCCAGACAACTACAAATAGAACGTGGCACTGTTGAAGAACGTCATCGAGAATGTTGCGACTGTTGGGGTTTTATTTTATTTTAAAAACAAATATAGGAGGGGGCGGGGTGATGTGATTGTGGTCCTCTCACCGAAGGTCCACGGATGGAAATACTCCGAGCGAGTGCGGAGGAGATGGTGGAGTCGACCTTTTATTAGTATGAGTATGATGTTACAGTATTACTCAACCGGTCTTCAACTCTTACCCTCTGTCATCTTTTGCTTCTCCTTATTCGGATTCTTTCTCGTCTCACCCGTGCGTTCACAAACTCAACGGCGACGACTCTTTGTCCCGTGCCCCCTTTACCACGTGCACCCTTTGTTCAGGATTCGCTCGTCCTTTCCCCCCCCACAGTCTACTCCCACCCCCCCTTCCAATCGTCGGACAATCATGACAACAGTCTGGCGTCGTCGGAACCCAGCGGGGTACGGCTACGAACAGGTAGCCGCTGCCCTGCGCGATCCTCAGCCCGCTGCGGCGATCACGAAGCCATCTACGGAGGTGAGTACTCAAACTCCAGCCCTCTACAGATATTGGATATCCCTAACGTCTGGCCGCCCCCAGATTAACGAACTCAACGCACTCGGCAACATCTACACCTTCGAAAGCTTCACAACCGAAGACGCCCTCGAACTCGGCACCCTGCTGCAAGCGCGCCTCCTCCCGCTGGCGCAGGCGGGCCGGCCGACGCTCATCTCCGTCTCGCTCTCCAACTCGTCGCAGGTGGTCTTCCAGACCGTCACGGGCCCCGGCATCACGCCCGACAACGAGCTCTGGGCGGCGCGCAAGCGGAACGCCGTGCTGCGGTTCGGCGTGAGCTCCTGGTTCCTCGGATGCAAGTTCGAGCAGGACGAGGACGACTTCGAGTCCAAGTTCCGCCTTAGCCGCGAGCAGGGCGGTCGCTATGCTATCAAGGGCGGTGGCGTGCCCATCCGCGTGCGCGGCGTGGAGGGGACCGTGGCGGTGGTTGTCGTGAGTGGGCTGTCGCAGGAGGAGGACCACGGGGCGATTATGGATGTGATTAGGGAGAATTGGGAGGCTGTGAGCTTGTGAGTGGGAGTTTTAACGTTTTGGGCCGTTCACTGCATGAAATAGCGCACAGTAACAAAAGACCACCTAGAATTTCAACCGCCCAGCCCCTGACAGGCGAAGAAGTGTCAAGGTACTTTAGGGACCTTTAGCCTGTAGGCATCCGGATGAAGGGGTACCCGATAAGTGGGACGGGCACGGGTAAGGGGTAGGTATATTTGTGAGAGATAGAAGAGGGGTAAGTGGATAAGGGAGGGGTGGAAAATGGCGAATGAGAACGAGAGAGTGACAAAAATACCTGCCACTCCCCGAGAAACGTAGAAGTAAAAAAGGAAAAAAGAATGGACAATCCGCGAATCGAACGCGGGACCTTCAGCATGCTAAGCAGACGTTATACCACTAAACCAATCGCCCATTAGATGTTCTCATGTTGAGTTGTTGGGATTGCAGAAAGTGACACAAATGTACCTTCTACTCTGACCCGGGTCAAAATGGTATCGGGCCTTCTGCAGCGAAGTTGAAGATTTGGGGGGTGTGGGTGAAGAATCACTTTGTTTCACTTTTCGCGCACACTAAAAGGACACAAGTCTCGGCCTAACACAAAGTTTATCCGCTCTGTTAGGCGAGTCCCCCGTGGTACGGAGTCCTCGTTATTCGGGATACGAGAGCTTCACGGGTAAGGTAGGTACCGTAAGAGGGATAGGCAGAAATAATACAGGGTCGAAAAGATACTTTGGTTTCAACCACATCTACACGAAAAGAAAAGCGGGGTAGGCCAATTTGTCAACGTTAGCTGGACGACTTGAGGTAACTATCCCGCATTCTTGACGTATTCTTATGTCGCATACTCCAAATCATCAAGTATAGTCTCAAGTCTCGAGTCTCGAGTCCTAACACGGCTGTCCGACAACGAACATCATGATGGTAGACGAACGATAACCTGTCTCTCTGCAGCAGGTCTCACTGTTTTGGAATGAAGATGTGATAGTGGGCTTATTTCGTCCAAGCAATCAGCACTAAGAATAAAACAGTTTGTTAGTAGACATGTACGCCCCTTTTCCCCTCTCTTAATCTTCCACGACTTTCAAGTTACACCGTCCTTATAAAGCCGAGTCCCGGATCAGGATCTATCGCGACCGTCTCGTTTGCAATATACCTTACACAGAGCTGACGTGTCCCAAAAATGGTCACGGGCCTATACTGATACTGTAGTGAAGGTTTTGTGTTCCGTTGTTTACCATGAGTCCAGGACACCAGGACTCCAGGACTCCAGGACTCCAGCCTCCAGGGCCACTCCCGTTGCTTAAAACAGGATATCAGATATCTTTCTCCAGACTTCCTCGCCGTCTACCGTCTCACCGCCTGAAATTGCATCATCTTTCATTACCTTATCCTCATCTTGCGTTGAATACCCCATGATGCATCATCGCCTAAGCCTGTCGGCGCTTGTCTGGGCCATATTGTCCCTCCAACTCGTCTCCCTTGCCACCTTGGACCCCGACCCAGCAGTATCACCAAGCCTCCCCCAAGATCCCCTCCCCGATGTCGACGTCCCAGACATCGAATACTGGACCGCCAAAGCCGCCTCCTCGGGACGAAGGCTCTGCCACCTGAGACCGCACCCCCGAGACGGAGACGACGTCCCAGCCCTCCTGCGAACCTTCAACCGCCGCTGCCGCCGAAACAGCATCATCGTCCTCCCGGGCCCCGTCTACCACATCAACAGCCCCATGAACACGACGCACCTCCACAACGTGGTCATCGAGCAATACGGCCGTCTCCTCTGGAGCGACGACATCGACTACTGGCTCAGCGTCTCCATGCCCATCGGGTTCCAGAACCAATCCACCGTGTGGAACTTTGGCGGCCGCCACGTCATCTGGAACGGCCACGGCGTCGGCACCATGGACGGCAACGGCCAGGCGTGGTACGACTGGAACCGAAACCGCGGCAACGCGCCCCGGCGGCCGATGAACATCCACCTCGTCGATATCCGCGACTCGGTGCTCCGCGGGCTGCGGTTCGTGCAGAGCCAGATGTGGACCATGACTTTACAGCGGGCGTTCAACATCGTGTTGGACGATATCTATGTCAATAGCACGTCGACGTCGCAGTGGAATACCCTGAACACGGACGGCGCGGATACCATGTATAGCGACAACATCACGTTCTCGCGCTGGCGGGTGGATAACGGCGACGACGCCATCGCGCTCAAGGCGAACTCGACGAACATCCGCTTCTACGATTCCGAGCTGTGGAACGGCGCCGGTATTGCTGTCGGGTCCATGGGCCAGTTCCTCGGCCAGCATGAGGAGATTCGAGGGTTCCATGTCAGGAACATCACCATGCACAACCCCATTCGGATCACGAACGTCAAGACGTGGACGGGGTTGCAGATTGGGTATCCGCCGAACGGAGGCGGCGGGGGCACCGGCCATGCGCATCAGATCTTGTTCGAGGACATTGTCCTCGACAGGACACGAGATAACCCGCTGCACTTTTGGCAGTGCGAGTCGTACATCGGGCGGAGTGGCGAGTTTTGCGACACCTCCCGGTTTAAGATTTCCGACTTTGTTTTCAAGAATATAACGGGATACGCGGGCGAGAATGTGCGGTTTGGGGGGCGGTTCGTGTGTAGTGCGGCCGCTGGCGGGTGTTCGAATATTGTGGTCAAGAAGTGGGATGTAAGGAACCCCGAGACGGACGAGGTGTTGAATCGGTGGCGTTGTAATAATGTGAACCGTTATGCCGGTTTTAACTGTACGGATATCGAGAATACGGAGGCGAGGGAGGACTCGAGAGAAAGGGATATCTCTCCTGGAGTGGATCTACGTTGAAGTGGCAGCACGAGATCTATCTGTCCATCTGATGGCATCTTGGAGGCGGTAGATCACAGGCAAGAAGTGACTGTCTGAACTACTGCAGGAGGGGTCAAGATATTGTCGATTTGATGTAGTTGGAGACAAAAAGGATGCAAAGAACTTTGATCATTGACGATCCAAACACAAGTAATCTAGTCAATAGTCTTCAATTCTTAATGCAAACAAACACTTATGAAGTTGTCCCCAAGGTGCCCGTATAAGACATATTTATCCAGATATATTATATTTCTCTCCGCTTCAAAGCTGGAGTCTGGAGACTGTATGTACAGGATTTGATTCACAATATTTCTGCAATAAACTAAACGGCTGAAGAGCCTCGTATTGACCAGATAGTCCGTGTGAACAAAGTCCGCCGGCGAAGGATATCATAAGCGGAAGCATGGGCGACCCCTGGGCCCCAAGCTCTGAGCTTAGCACACATTCATCCGAGCATTGCCCCAAATATTCCAGTTAACGTTCTGACCACAAGGAGACTCGCGGACAGAGTTGTTGTTGACCTCCATAGTGATCCAGAGGTCTCGGTTGTTGGCAAACTCGCTTCGGGCAGCAACACGAACCTCGCCGCCTCCGTTGACGCGACCACCCCGAATGGAAAGGTTGTAGCAGTTCTCAATCAAGACAGCGTTGTTGCCGTTGTTCTCCAGCTGGACATTCTGGATGACGGCGCCGCCGGATTCAGAAACGCAGAAGATGCCGCGACCACCGCCCCGCGAGATGACCTGGTTGACCCAGACATTGGTGTTGTAGTTTCCGTTCGGGTTCCGGCCGTTCCGGTTCGCGAACCGCAGCGTGGCGTATCCGGTCCCCGAAGCGACGTTGTAACCATCCACAAGCCCAACCTCGACGTTCTGCGAGTTCTGGATCAGCAGTCCCGACTGGCCGACGTCCCGGGCGATGACCTGCCCGATGTTCAACCCGTTGATGTTCCACACCTCGACGGCGTGGCTACTCGCCCCCGTCACCGTGACGGAGTTCATGCGGACGTTGGAGTTATGCGCCCCGTCGCGGTCGAAGCGGATGCCCATCCCGCCCCACAGGTTCAGGGTGATCTCGCCGAGGAAGAGGCCGGAGGTGCCGGAGAAGCGCAGGCCGAAGTACGGGTTGCCGGTCATGCGGAGGTAGGGGATCTGCACGTTCTGCGTGTTGATGGATTCGATGGCGCCGCGGCCGTTGCGGTTGCCCGTATCGATGGTGCCGCATCCTTCGAAGATCTTGCCGCTGCTGATGCTGATGGTGTTGGCGCCGAGGTTCCCAGACGCGTGGACCGCGACGCGCTGGCCGCCGCCGATGTTGTCGAGCGCCGTCTGGATTGCGAGCCGGTAGTCGCCCCCCGTGTAGAGGGTCTGGCCGTGCCGGGTGGTTCGGTAGTTGCCCGGGTTGCCGGTTACGGTGGCGTCTGGCGAGCCTGCGCCGCACTGGGCGGACACGGACGACACGAGGGCCAGCGCGGAGGCGAAAAGGGAGAGCGGCTTCATGGTTATGGTGTGTCTTGCCCCGATTTTAAGGGGTAGTTGTCTCAGGGAGTCAGGGGGTGCTTGGCCTTGGTTCGGTTCTGGACCTGCTGGTGATCGACATTGTCAGGCGTGGCAGGCGAGTGGCATGCTATATATACAAGGTCTATAGACACGTTGAACAACCTTGGATCGGCATGAAGGGGGTGTGATCGAACCTGGTCGAGTTGCCTTCTGGTCTATGAGGTTTCCATACCAAGAGCCCTACAGGAAACTGAGTCCTACTCTCACATGCATATAAAATACAACTTCATCCACCAATCGCTCTCTGTATACGCCGCTATAATATCACTAAGAGACGGGAGATAGCCTTCCGTGGAATGTTTCAGAAAGGCACTAATCCCGTCCCGGTATATACTGCGATGCTTATATTAGACGGTAAATTGGTAAGTGGTGCGGTTGGGGTAGAGTTGATGACCCCTGTAACCCTGTTGCTTGTCGCTGCAACTCCCGATCCTGTTACGGTGCCGGAAGCGGGGAGGCCGGGGTTCGCGGGGTTATTACTGCATATAGCTGGGGTTCGGCAAAGCAATGAAGCGACTCAAGCGAGTAGATTACAGGCTGGTCTTGTCTCCCTCACCTGGGGTAGCATTACTGACGATTCGGGACATCCTGAGTCGAGAACAAGCCGAACAACCGGGGCTCTGGATGCCCTTGGCCATGCTGTGCGTATCGCATCACTTCTCCCCCGTGTCATCAACTATCTAACAGCGAATACTTCAGGCTTTCCCCAGGAAAGCTTTCAAGTTCGTGGCTCACGCTAAGTTAACAGGTGAGGATTTCACTTACACGACCAACTGAAGGGAAGTCGACGGTCGTGTAATGTGTGGGATAGTGGGACAGTGGGAGTCGAGGCAACCCCCCCTATTCGGACACCCATTCACACCTCACGGTCCAACAATCCTACCGACTATTCGGTATGTCCTACGCCCAGCGCTCGACAACTCGATCGGCATACGGATCAACATGCGTGTCCCTAAAACGCGCTCACTCTTTTATGGAAGAGCAAATCCAGCTCCTCATAGGTCCGGCCCTTGGTCTCCGGCAACCGGAAGAATGACCACGTGGCGACGCATGCCGCCGTGCCGGCCCAGAGAATCCCGGTGCGCCCTCCCCTCAATGCCTGTTCCATTCGATCGGGTTGAGTATGTAATGGTTCAGCACATTGGCAAGGATCTGCGTCACGGCGTACGGACTCCGCGCATTGACGACCGTCTGTGGCCGTAGCCGCACCGCTAACGTCTCGGAAATGATGGCGTAGCAGATAGGGCCAACAGTCATGGAGTAGATGCTGTGAGCTTTCATACCAACACGAAGGCCACCTGCGCCCACTGCGAATTGAAGCGTTAACCCTGGCCGCAGCGGCCGAGAGGATACCGACCACCAGTAAGGAGGCGCTGGCGGCGGCGATACCCCCGGCGTACAGCGTGCGGCGCCCCAAAGTAGGAAAGCAGGATCGATCCACGAAACGCACGTCCCGACAAAGGCCATAACAGTCGCGGTAGCTCGAATCCGACTGGATGCCCGACTCGAGCTGGATCGTGTGGCGCAACTGCGCGAGCGTGGCCTGGACCTGTTTGGTACTGCGGCTCGACAAAGCCAGCAACGACCTCTCCACCATGATGGGAATAGGCCATATCCACTGGATGGCGATGGGGACCCGCCAGGAGTCAGGACCACTCCGAGTCGTACTGCAGCATGCCCCGCAGCACGCCCGAGGCCAGGAACTGGCCCTTGGCCCAGCAGAGGTTGACGTAGACAGAAGGCGGCACACGAGTTTGGAGACCCCCGTTATACGACCTCTTTTCTACGACTTCCCGGATCACGATTGCCGGAGGATTGAGCATCAGTATATGTACGGGCCCAAGTAACTTGTTGCTCCGGTTCTGTATCCTAATCAGGCGGTGGGTGCAAGAGGTCTATCTTCCTGGCTTCTCGGATGTCAAGTGGAAGGCCGCGGACGGTACGGTCTACGATGGAGGGAAGATGGTAGTCGTCGACACGCCGCTCGACTCATGCCAGTGCTTGTCAGGCAGTGACTTAATTAGCATATATGAAGGGAACATGAATGCTATTGAAGACACCAGGCGCATGGGGGAGAGACGATTAGCCGAAGTTCGCTGCAGTGTCATGTGCCATAAAAGGGGTTCAGGGTCACTGGGAGAGCATATAAACACAGCACTGAGTGCTTCAGAAGGTGATTTCAGTACTCCAACGGCTACATGTAGTCTTAATTCAATGAGCGCAATGGGGTGGCAACATCATTTCCAAAAGACGTGCGAGTTGGGTGTCAGGACTCAGACTTCGTCGAGGCTCGTGAAGCGTTGCTTCAAGCTGGTTGAACCAAAGATATGCAACATGAAGCAAGCTGAGAATTGAAGCTGAGAGAACATAGCGATAACTTTTCAATTCCATGACAATGATCTGCATATGATACGATTTACAGGCCAGAAAGCCCTGACATCCGACTGATGAGCAACACTGCTGCATGTGTGCCTGTAGATCAAGATCGACTTGTCTCAACTACTCGAGGTCGATGAGATGCACTGCATGTGTGCTACAGCTCAAGCTCTATTCGGAGCGACCACAGTCAGATCATACAGCATACGATGAAAGAGTTAGCTGCAGTTGTAAGAATATTCGTAGGATCTATAAATTGATGATATGAGGGGAAGGGGGTCCTGGGACTTACACAATTACACTCATTCTGAGACGTCAGGGGGAAGTTTGGGGGCACGAGAAGACATTATGCTCCATATCCACTGCATATAATGAGATCCGCTTAAACCAGGACTTGGCTCCCAAGGGTTGCGTGTGTTGAAAGACGAGCCTGACGAGGGCTTGCGTGCGAAGCAAATAACAGACGACCGGCTCACATCTCCGCGAGGACTCCGGCCTATGACGCAATTGGGCTACTTCACGATAGGAACAGATAGCTCTGGAACTGTAAGTGGAAGCAGATTCCGGGGAGTAGAGTGACGGTGAAAATCCGGCGAAAAAAAGACGTGGGTGTGTCCAGTCGTTTCTTCAGCCCTTGACACAGCCAGGGGCCGGGTCAAGGTTAAAGAGTGATCGTCAGTCCTTCTCGGTGCACAGTATCAAGAAGAAATCGTGCGACGGTCACCAGACAACTTGAAAGCCGTGATATGGGACGGAATTCATAAAAATAAATGAAGACGATGACGTGGTGTTGCAGCTGTGCCCGGCTTTCCCTGAGCTGTCAGCCAATTCTGCGGGAAGCCATGGCTTGATTCGGCTGGAGTGCGGCATTTCACCATTGCCCTAATATAAACTACCTTACCTATGACAAGGACCGTAATGCAAGGTCATTAGGAGTAATCGGAATTCATGCAGGTGACCCGCGCGGCGTGTGCCGGGGTCCATCGGGCACGACAACCTGATTCAGGAATACGCATCGGAGCCGCTCTCATCGAGGACAGCGCTTCCTGAAACTGAACCAGAAAAAAATAGAAAGAGGCCCTTCGAAATATGAACAGGATTATTTGCCTTCATGTTATTTCCCCCGCTTTCATCAATTTGAAATACGGTACATAACCTTGAAACAGGGGAAGATCGTCACCATCGTCTCGGTCGTGAATCTTCCGCTGTGGTTGACCCAGGAAAAGATCGTCGCCCCCTGACCCCGGACTTACGGCCAGGTATTCCGTTGCCGTGAACCACGTCCGAGATCGTCCGCCACTGAGACTCCGATGCTGAGCGACGACGATCGCGAGGCTGTCATGGGGCCATGGATGATGGGCCTTCTCGAAACCGCTGCCAGGGGGTTGCCCGTACAGGGAAGACCACTGGGAATCTTGGATCCTAACTTGTAAGTTGTCGGCTTACTAGCTCCGGATTACAGTCTACGGCTAAAGAGCCAGTGCCGCGTAGAACCCTCCGATCTTGCCCTGTGACGGCAGTTCACAAGGGCCAAGGTACGGCTACCCCGGAGGCTGGGATTCTTCGACAGGGGGGATGGCAGACGATGGTTGTCAAATAGTGGTCCATCGAGTTGAGATTCAAGTATAAATAGACCTCGACATCGTCAACCCTAACTGTCTTATATCTTTTCCTCTCCTCAGGCACTTCAGCAACCAACATAAAGTCAAAAGTCCAATCCTCTCGGGCCGGTCCGTGTCTATTTCTTCCCATCCTTCTTCTTTCACAAAGACGAACACAACCTTCACAATGGCTCGTCTTGCTGCCGCCGTTTCGGCCCTCTCCTTTGCCGCTGCCGTCAGCGCCCACGGTCACGTCCAGTCCGTCACCGCCGACGGCGTCACCTACTCGGGCGGCATCCCCCACGGCGCCCCCGCCGACGCCGTCGGCTGGTCCGCCAACAACCAGGACAACGGCTTCGTCGAGCCCAACTCCTACGGCAGCCCCGACATTGCCTGTCACAAGAGCGGCCGCCCGGCCAACAACGCCGCCGTCGTCTCCGCTGGCTCCAGCGTCACCCTCCAGTGGGACACCTGGCCGGAGTCGCACAAGGGCCCCGTCATCGACTACATCGCGCCCTGCAACGGCGACTGCTCGTCCGTCAGCCCGGGCTCGCTCTCCTTCGTCAAGATCGCCGAGAGTGGCCTCCTCGAGGGCAGCAACCCGGGACACTGGGCCGCCGACGAGCTGATCGCCAACGGCAACTCCTGGACCGTCCAGATCCCCAGCAACCTCGCCCCCGGCGGCTACGTCCTCCGCCACGAGATCATCGCCCTCCACTCCGGCGGCCAGCCCAACGGCGCCCAGTCCTACCCCCAGTGCATCAACCTCGAGGTCACTGGCTCCGGCTCCGCCACCCCGAACGGCGTCCCTGCCACTTCCTTCTACACTGCCAATGACCCTGGCATCGTCTTCAACCTGTACCAGAACTTCGACTCGTACCCCATGCCCGGCCCCCCTCTGTGGCAGGGCTAAGTGGTCGTCGACGATATGAGACGATGATAACGAGACATGGGAAGAAATCAGGCTGGGCCTTGGATTGGTTTCGGCATGGACTGGACCAAGCCGGGAAGCCGGCCTGCTGGACACGTGCAACTTTTGATCTTCCCGTCGCATATTGTAACTTCAATTCCTGTGCATACATTCAGTTCAACCGTACATTTACATAGCATCAAGACAGTCATGAATGGACGTCTTACAAACTACGTACCATCCATAAGATACTTTGCTTTTCTTCGTGCTCATGTTGTGCTTATGCCATTGCTAATTCCAAGTGTCCTCCACCGGCTCAATGCATGTGATTATATACATCTGATAGTAGGACAACCGCCCAATCTCAGACTGGCTTCCCATCAAATGTCCAACAATAACGAATCCTGTTTCAGTATTCTCTCACGACTGTATTGAAGCCCGCAATATCTGCGGACACTATGGTAGGACTGTACCAGCATCAATATATTGTCCTACACGGCCCCATTGGGAGCAGAGGGATGCCCCTTACCCCTTACCTCTTACCCCCCTACTTACTATAGAAAGAACAACATTGCACGAGACAGCTTTGCCCCTAATATCAACACGCCAAGCTTTCATTGACAGCTGTTTTCTACTCTATTTCCTCATCTATCATGGACGGGGTTGGCTCTTAGTGTCTTGGCTACCAGGCCAAGCCAACTTGAAGTCAACACAAGACTTCAAGCCAAGAGGTGACATTAGGTGTTCCCCCAAAAGAAGTTACGTTTAAATACATTGAATTGGGATCTTTCTCAGGGGTAGATGAGTTGAGCTGGACATGCAGTTTTCACCCACGGGCGGAGAATCAGATCCTCACGTTCAAGACACAGCAAAGTCAAGGGCGGCAGTTCATGTTTCGCTTTTGAAATAGTCGAATATATTGTTCTTTTATGTACTTCAGCATACATGATACTTCGCAGAACACGATATGTGTTTCTGATACTCTCGGCGGAATGACGCTATATACGAGCTATTCCCACCATTGCGCTATAATCATTTCAACGGCGGTCCTCAAACAATCAACTCCGACACTACGTTTAACCGACGAGAGCAGCCCGCTCCTCGGCAGTACTTTATAAGAGTTAGCCAACTGTAACAACAACGAAAGAAAAAAAAAAAAGGTCAGAAAGAACATGAGTCTCTGGGAAGTACTCACATTCCAATAACATATCCGTGTCGGTATCCGGGACCAATCGAGAGCGACGAAGGCGACCACTGGCCCGAGGCAATGTTGTTGGTCTCGAAGGGGACGTAACCAGCGCCGCGGGTGAAGTCGTCAATGAACAAGTGCCACTACATCTCGTCAGTCTCCCAACCACAGGAAACGGAGGGAACCATATGCTGAAGTCCCAGTTGAGTTTACCTTGCTAGCGTCGTTGTTGTCTGGGAACATAAGCGGTCCCTCACCGGCGGGGATGGTGCCAGAACCAATACCACCGGTAACAACATTCCAAGGACCGTCGAGGGACGGAGCGCTGGCCTGCTCAATAAGCTCATCGGCGCCGTTCTTGCAGATACGTTGGTACAAGCCGCCCGCAGCATCATGGCCGATAGTGCAGTCCATGCCAGCGCCAGTAAGGTATATCTCAGCGGGGGAGAAGGTCTGGAAGTCGCTCGTGAAGGACCGCATAATGAACCACCCCTCGCCGATGAGGTTCGTGGTCCAGTAAACCATGTACTGGCCCTGCTCGGGATGCCAGATGACGTCCGGTGCCCAGGTCATGCCTGCGTTGTCGGGGGACACGTGGGCGAGGCGGCCCTCGGACCAGTTGACCAGGTCGTTGGACTCCCAGACGACGATGTTCTTGGACCCGTTGGTCGTGTAGTCGTCGCCGACGTCCCAGCCGCGCGGGTACACCCAGAGGTCGGTGGCGATCACGTAGAAGGTCGAGCCGTCGGGGCTGCGGATGATGGTAGGGTCGCGGACGCCCGTCTCGCCGACGTTGCTGACCAGGACGGGTTGGCCGCCGTTTACTGCGGTCCAGGAGCCGGGGTCGTTGTTGTTGCTGACGGACATGTAGACCTGCTCGCCGTTTTCGGTGCCTTCGCCGGTGAACTGTGAATACATGGTGCGTCAATAATGGTCAAACATGGTAGTGGAGTTACCGTGCGTCTGTGGAGCCTTTGGCTTTAGGAGACGACGTACGTAGACGAAGAGATAGTCTGAGAATTCAGTCTGGCGGGCGGCTAGAAGAGAGGGCAGGCCTGAGACCAGCGACGCCAGGGACGCCAGTGTCAGGGCAACAACGGAAGAGGTCCGCATCGTGATATGAGCGCCGAGGAGGTGGTTTTGTCTCGTTGCTTCGTGTTTTTGTCAATGATGTGGTCAACCAAAGCCTTAGCCTTCAGACTTGTAAAGATTCTCTCCGTACTTTGCGGAATGGAAGCTCTATTAATACCCGTGAGATGAAGCGTCGTTTCAATGCCGACTTGCCTTTCTTCTCACGACGCACGACGTCTTGGAAAACTGACGACATGGCCTGCGTGTATTATCAAGAGCTAGCTACGCGCCCCTATCATGAATCTCCTTGATTTGGATCGTCGACACCCTGCCCTTCATGTTCCTTGTGAAGCGACAACCCGGGCTTGGATTGCAGGTTTCGGTCTTCTTGTTCCTACATGAACTACTGATCTTTGCCAACTTGAGCAGCATGGCCGATGTTTATGTACACTATATTATCCTGGAAACGCGCACCAATGGTCAGCTGCAACTTGCACCACTCGACGCATTTTACCCGGTTACGCACTGCCGGAGGGCTGGAGGGTACCCCGCGGGGAAGACGCGCAGCATGAAACGGCTCCCGTAGGCATCGGGCGGGAAATACGACCATGTAGATTACTATTCCTGCAAAGGACAGTGGCGAGGCCGGCTTTGTTGAACTCCAAGTGGCTGTTTCGAATTACCGAAAGACCCGCCGTCCCATATGAGTTCCGAATACGTAGGGGTGAAGTGCCGATCCAGGACCTTGGTTCCGTTCCGAGTCATGTTGACTGCCGATCCCTTGGCTGGGTTCCGTGCTGTGATGAGGCCGCCATTTGTACGAAGTTGTATCAAGTAGCGAATTTCAGGGCCGGGCGGAGCGTCTGCCCGACCGTTATTACCGGATTAACAGCTTCCACGCCGCATCAAGGCCACGCACCTCGGTGTGATTCGCGAATACTGGACCTTCTCCTACCGCACTAGGCTTCACTTCGTAGGCCGCGATTGTTCCACCAAGCAAACGTGCCTTGTCATCGGGTTCGTAGCTGATCGTTATCAACAGTCCACGTGTTTGTTCTCGGAAGAGCCCGCTCCGTGATCGCCGGTTCTTCAGTGGCCTCGGCTGATGTTCTCGGTGAAGCTTTCCTATTAACTCAACTGGGTTTGAACTTTTTGACTTACTAATATTCAACTGTGGACTGGTAGGTTTGACCTACGGGCAAGTAATTTCATCTTTGAAGTCCCAACATATCGTCACGTCGTTCGTCTTCTCGAAGCCGCCCAGTTAGGTATCTCCAATCGGCGGGAGTACAAAGTACTGACAGGGACCCCGGCCCGGGAAGTGGAGACCCGCCCGGGCGACACGTGGGTTGGGTAAAGCTACTTGCTCCACCCGGAGCATGACTAATGAGTGCGAACTCGCATTCATTTGAGGAAGGACTTGAGAGAAATCTGGGTTCTATCTCTTCTAAGACTGAATATACTTTCTTCGCCCCCTTGTTTGGGTAGGTAATTGCTTGGGACAGTCTTTTTAAACTTGGTTCCAACTTGCAAGAACCTTGGAGGTGGCTTCCATTCTACACGTAAGTCTCAAGCTGTGGTGAGGTACTCTCTTCTTTTGGCCCGTGCCAACGGTGACTTCCAAGATAAGAGGAAAGAGTGACGTCAACCTCCGCCGAAACTGGAAGAGTGGAGCACGAGAGTGGATGTTATGCTGACTAAGAAGTCCCTTGGCCGCCTATCTCACTACCTATCTCATCGGTACGTAATGTACGTAATGACTGTAATGAGACATGATCCACGGCATCTTGCGTCTATGCCTGTCTACGTCAGAACCTGAGCCACATCTCACGATTCTCGCGAATTTTCACTACAAGGTATGCACTCTACCCACCCACATACAGACTCACAGTCACACACTCCACCTTCGAACTTTTGCGGCTCAGAATGGAGGCTAGGAATACTGCCCCGAACCGACCATTGCGGCCTCTCTTACCCCAACCTCAGACACAGCCAGGTCACGTGCACTCAGGGATATCGACATCAACATCAACGGCCGAGTCCAACCGGTCTACTTCCTCGACTTCGTCGTCTTCTATGCCAGGGAAGAAGACATACGCGGCATGCCAGAACTGCAGACTGCGACGGACAAAGGTACGGTTCATGATCTTTCTCCCGTGATTCAGAATCCTTCCATCTCATATCCAATGGGCAATTCCAGGCAATTTAGAATCTCTATATTCTCGCATTTCTCGCATCCCTTGAATGTCCGATCCCGGTCATTAGCTAACTGCTTCCCACTTCTTCCCTACTTCCCCTCATAGCCAGTGCTCCGCCGAGCGCCCGAAATGTTCCCAATGCCGAATAAGGAGTCTAGACTGTCACTACGACACGACAGTAGCCGAAACACACGGGCAAGCGCGGAAACGGCAGCTCGGGGAGATTCGAACCCGTAATCAGGCATACGAACAGCTTTACTACCTGATTCAAACCTGGCCGCTACACCAGGCTACAGACATCTTCGACTGCATCCGCACCGGCGCGGGCGCCGAAGCCGTGCTCCGCCAAGTCCGCGATGGCGACCTCCTCCTACAGCTCTCCCTCCGACCCAACCTCCACATGCAGTACGAGTTACCGTACAAGTTTGATATTTCGTTTCTCTTCGACTATCCCCGAAATCCGTACGTGGAGTCTACACTGTTCAAGTCGACCTTCGGCCTAGGACCCAAGGGCTCCAGCACAACGACAGAACCGAGACCAGAGGCGGGGGTGGACAGCATGGATGGTGTTGTATCCACTGAACAGGGAGAACCGAGTCGCCCCGAGGGCCAAGACGCAGTGCCGGAATGGACAGCCGCCTACCACACTCCCTTTAGCGCCGCGGAGATGGTAGACCATCGAATCGACTCTGCCGACGTCGCGCGATGGACGTCGGTACATTCCGACAACTTTTTCCTCCGAAAGCTTCTCAAGCTGTATTTTCTACAAGAGTACCCCTTCTTCAGCCCTTTCCACAGAGATCACATGCTGGATGATATGGTCGCGGGACAGGATCGCTTTTGCTCATCTCTCTTGATCAACTCTACCTTGGCCAATGCTTGTGTAAGTGCCAGTGCCGGCGACTTCCAACCCAGACTGGCCTTTCTTGTCTCAACTTGTTCCCCGCCGAACACAGGGCTATATACTAGCACTTTTAACTCCAATACTGATGCGAGTAGCAGCACGCACTTGCTACCATCGAGCACCGTTCCGAGTTTTGGAACCCCCGAAATCCTGGCTACCAGTTCCTTAACGAGGCCCGTAGACTCTGGGAACTCGAAAGTGACCGGGCCAGGATAACCACCATGCAGGCAGGTTGCATCCTAGCCATCACATTCTACGTGAATGGGATCGACAAGCTCGGAAACACATATATGCTCCAATCCATCGAACTCGCCAAGCGGAAGGGACTATTTTCCACCCCCCACCTGCAGATGACGGACCGAAAAACGCGAGAGGTGAAATTACAAACTGCCTGGGCTCTCTATACATTGCAAGGGTGCGTAACTGGTGTCCCTGGGGGGTGGGGGGATGAGTTCAAAACTGCAAACATGATCAGAGCCCGCTGACACACCACACGCATGTGATAGATTCTTCCAGTTTCACTTCCTCAGACAACCGTACCTTGACACCGCACCACGGGATCCCCTACCGGAGGGAGATGAGGCGAAGAGATTCTACGGAGAAATTCACGTCAAGTATCCGCTCGGTCAAGGCCTGGTGCCATTATACCTTGGCCCTACCTGCGTTGCCAATGCGGAGATCAGGCTCATCATGAACGAAATCGCACGGGCGGTCTTCACGTCGTGCGGCAACGCATGTCTGACGGTGGACCAGGCTGTCGAATTCCATGCGCAACTCACAGACTGGTATGACCGGCTTCCTGAACCTCTCACGGCACACCATATTGTCCTACCAACTCATCTCCTAATGCAGTAAGTCGCTAACTCTTTGCGCCTTGCTTCGTCTTCTTCCTGCGGAGGCTTTCTGCATAAGAGTAGGTGGTGCACCTGCTAACGAACGACCAGCATGCAATACCATACCATTCTCATGATCCTCTTCAGGTCCCTCATCGGAGTCGGGGCCGTAAGAGACCAGCACCCGGGATTCCCCGATCCGGAAGACATCGTCATGCACTCCGAAGTCTGCGTAGAGACGCTCGTACACCTCTTCTACCGCCGCCACGGCTTCGAATGCTACTCCCCTTTCCTCCTCTACGTCCTTTCCCAAGTCGCCCTCACCATGCTCCGGCGCCTGTCTCTCCCCAACCTGCCGCCCCCATCCCGCGACGCCGCGTGGGGCACGTTCGTCCTTTGCGCCAGAGGTTTGCACGAACAGGGTCGAAACTTCCTCCTCGCCGCGGCCGTGCTGCGCGTCCTGCACCATGCTTTGCCCCCGGACGATGCGCGCCTCCTGCAGCAAAGCGCCATGCTCGACTATGGAGATAAGGGGATGGAGACGTTGATAAAGCAGGTGCGGGCCGATTGGCCGGTGTCTGTTACTTCTATCACGCAGGATCCGGAGAGTCGTAGACTGGATGAGCTCATCAAGGCGCATATGGGCATGGGCTTGGATGATTCAGATAGTGGTTGAACCGGGCCTTTTCCTGGGAAGTACGTGATGAGATTTCTGTCTATACACCGACAGGTGGCTTGGGAGACTGTATTGTTCTGGGTTACATGTCGATCTGTTCACTCGTATCTTTATGTTGGCTGATATCCATAGATGGTCATGTAAGGCGTTCAGGGGGTGGTGGCGTCTAGAGAAGTAGTCTTGTGCAGGATCCATGGGCAAGGCTTCTCGGGATAGGGTTATACGCATGACGGAGTGTCCTAGGAGGGCCAAACAACTCGACTCTCTGCTGAGAGTTGAATCAATGGGTGTAAATGACCAGTGACCACCGAGGACTAGACTATGCTAATAACATGAATGCTATGTATACACAATACCACGCAATATTGAAACGTCCGCCGTTTCTACCCGCGGTAATCTCATGAGAAGCCGCCTTGTTTGTCCTCGACCTTCCCTGCCATACACGCAGTCTAGGGGAGCCGAATGTCCATGACACTCTCATAGCTGACCGGGTTATACGGATACGTCTTCACCAACTTCAACCCCACATCCTCAATAATCGTCCGCCACTGCGCCTCCGACCGCTCCATGGACGCAAAGGCCGACATCATGGTCAAGTCCATAGCAGCAGCGTACGAATTGACCCCCGTCTCCGGCAACACCATCTCATCCAGCAGGATCACGGAATCGGGCGCCATAGCCGACTTGATGTTCCCCAGCAGGACCCTCACCTTGTGGTCCGGGTGGTTATGCAGCACGCCGCGCGCAAAGTAGAACTTGGCCCCGCGGACGGGCTGCGGCTCGAAGAAGTTGTGCGCCGTGTTCTCGACCCCGGGGGTCGGGAGTGCTTTGGCGATCGAGTGCGGGAGGTCCTGCAGGATGACGGGGCCGGGGATGTGCGGGTATTTTTCCTTGAACTGGGCGCACTGGTGGCCGATGCCGCCGCCGACGTTGACGTAGACGGGCCGCGTGCCGTCCCAGTTCTGCGTCTCCTGCTCGACGGGGTAGACGGTGAGCCAGGAGAGGGCGGGCTCGCGGCGGAAGGCCATGTAGTCGTTGAAGTAGTCGAGTTGTCCTGGGTGGTCGGTGAACCAGGCGAAGGCGTGCTTGTCTGTCTTCCAGGCGTCTTGGAAGACGGTGTGCATCTCGTCGCTGGGGTTTTTGTAGTTGGTCTTTTTCAGGAAGGCGGGGATGGCTTGGTATTGCGGGCCAATGGTTTCGAAACTAGCAATGGACGGAGAGGAGAAGACATGGAGTAGTTAGGCTGGGACGTCTGGTTTTAGGGAGTAAGGCAAGTTGGCGGTCTTGACTTACCAGTGGGAGACGCCGGCCTCGGTGACCTTCTCGGCGAGATTCTTGGTGACGTTGTTGGCGGCGAACTCATCTTTTGCGACTTCCTTGACGGCGCCAGTAGAAGCTAGGTAGCTCAGAAATCGGCCTGAGAGGGGACAGGCCACAGGTCAGTCTAGGAGAAGGCACATGCAGGTTTGAGGGAATCCGGTGACTGCGACGGCCGCACCGTTCAATGAAACATGAAGTGAGGGCTGGGGGAACATTGGACTCATACTCAGAAACAACGGGTCAGCTCCCGTCTTGTCCGCAATCTGGCTCACGGTGACGGGTCCCTCCGATGCGCTGATGAACCGGAAGAGTCCGAGATCGAAGCCGGTTTTCACAGCTGCGGTTTGAAGATGCTAGAAGAGGAGATGGTCAGCAAATCTGGGAAGTTCGGAACACATAGGTAAAGAGGAAGTCCTCACCAAGTAGCCATAACGATGCACGGTGTCGTTGGCATCCTCTAAAGAGTAGGCTATCTCGTGTAGTGTGGTGATGAGTTGCCGACGGGCAGCCTCGTTGGCGTTGGCCGCGAGCTGTCTAATGGAGGCCAGTACTGTCTCCATGATGTGAATGTGGTGGACTGTGTTGGCACAACTTGAATGTAAAGTGATTGTGTTCAAGTCCGACTCTCTCAGGTTTATTATACAGGATGATGTGATATGTACGTTGCACTGTGAAACAGAGACTAGACGTCAAGCTGGTGACTATTTAGGTGCAGGAGAGGGAGAAAGGGACAAGGGTGGCTTGAGGTGAAGATTATCGAGAAAGGTGGGCGGGCGTTGATGTAGTGTCGTCACTGTCGTGGCATCAAGACGTCTTCATAGCCATCTCTTCTCCCTGATGCTACATCCCGGACTGCCGGCGGGGAGAGCTTGAAAGGGGCTTAGGTGATGCTGTTGGCCCCTGGCTCTTGTTACCCCTCCCCGATGAGTAGCGGACTTGGGGGCCACTACGGGGCACTGCCCTTGCCAGAAGTGGAATGTCCGCCGGGAAGTTAGCGCCGCCAAGTGCTGTTTAGGCATAATACTGAGAGGGGTTTGGAGTCCCGTCCAGTCGGTATGATACCGGTACCTCATGATATGTTATCTCAAACAGCTTACCCCGGTCCCCCTGAAGACCTATTCTTCGTACAGTAGCCTCCATGTCCGATGGGGCCAGGACGTCTAAGACCTGATCTAGACGTCCCTGGGGTTAGTCGACTAATCACCATCCTTGACACTGATGCGTGAAGAACCCAGGACCCGATTGTCTGGAGCCGGACGGAAAACGCCGTGAGGGTAAAGTAAGGTGACGTGGGCGGTAGCGGTCTCGGTAAGATTAGTGTTAGATGTGCCTAATTATAGTAGGTGGGTGCCTGTAGCACAGCGAGGGCCCTGAGGGGTGCCCTGTGGAGAGAGAGCGCTGGTTGTTTATCCCACATGCACTCCTGGACTTTACGAAAGTTCGTTGTTGAAGGACATTGATTGACAAGAACCATATCATATTAGCGACACTGGAATCTTTATCACGAAGAAGAGATACGGAGAAAAAAATAGAGAATAGAAAATAGGATAGAAAAGAAACAAAACAACAGATACCGCTAAGCTATTGTCCCATCGCCCCCTGAACGCCGTATGATGACCCCACAGAAAGCCCCCGAGCCCCTGAGCCCCCGAGCCCCTGAGCCGCTGAATTTCCATTACAGCCCCCTACTTCTCAAGGCCTCTTTCAGCGTCGCAGCAAAACACCCAACATGGTCCGGTCCGATCATGGTATAATGCGCTCCCCCAACAGCATGAAACCTCACATCCGTCCTGCAGAAATCCCTCCACTTGCTCAAATGGTTGTGAATCCAATCCTCCCTCGACCGCGCAGCAACCTTGAGCGGCGTAGCATGAAAAACATCCATCGACTCCACCAACCCCGACGGCTCGTAATCCACCGCCATGCTCTGCAACCCGAAAGCCAGCGTAGCCCACCCCGCCAGCGCATCTCTGTCCAACCCGAGCCCCAGCAAGCGCTGCTTATCCGCTATGCCGAGGACGGCGGGCATGGCCTCCTCGCGGGGGAGCGCGCGGAAGCCGTCCTCGATGCTATCCGCGTAGGCCTCGGACACGAGACCCAGAAAGTAGGCGAGGTGGAGGAGACACATGTTCCAGTTCAGCTGGCGCATGCGCGGCTTGATGTGCGGCGGGAGGTTGAAGCTCCCCAGGAACTGGATCGTCGCGCCGTTTTCCTTCTCCAGACGTTTGGCGACCTCGAAGGCGAGCATCGTGCCGTAGCTGTAGCCCGCTATCGCGTAGGGTCCCTGCGGCTGCCGTTGGAGGATGGCGGCGCGGTAGGCGTCGACGACTTGGTCGATGGTGGAGAAGGGGGCGTGGCCTGGCTCGAACCCCCGCGCGCGGAGCGCGTAGATGGGACGGTCGTCGTCCGCGAGGTGTTGGGCGAGGCCGATGAAGACGAGGACCTCGCCTACGCCTGGGTGGATGAGCCAGAGGGGGGTCTTGGAACCGTCGGGTCGGAAGGTCACGACGGGGTCGTAGGGGGGTGAATCGGGTGATGACGACTTTTGGCTGATGGCAGGGCTGACTTCATGTTGGGAAGAAAGAGCTGTCGCGAGCGCCCGGACGGTAGGGTTCTTCATCAGAGTGACGACAGGGATGCTCGTGGCGAAGCGCTTGTCGAGCCGGTGTTTGAGGCGGACTAGGTCCATGGAAGTAAACCCCATATCGTACATGGGCGTCTCGACGCCAATGTGACTGGTATTGACACCAAGAACGTCGGCCAGATCCATCAAAAGGGTCGCCTCTAATTCATTTGTGGGCATCGTCAGATTCTTCCATCTCTGCTGCTCCAGCGCGGCATTGTGGAAGTCGACCTCGTCCTGAAAAGCCCCTTTTTCGTAGAGCACCCGCATCTTCGCCCTCGAGATCTTCCCGAGCGCCGACACGGGTAGGCTGGATTGATCTCGGACGCCGAAAACGGCGGGACGGGATCCGGTGCAGACGATGCATGCTTCTGCGACGGCATGATGGATCCTGGCCACGTCTTCTGGCTCTGGCGGCCACTGATGGGGGATGTAGGCCACCGTGACCTGCTCGGTGTACGCCTTTGAGTCTCGCGAGGGGAAGCTGACGACCAAGGCGACATGGACTTTCCCGATCCCAGCCAGTGCATCCTCAATTGCCGTTTGCACATCCGCGGAGCTCATCTTCACGCCGTTGACGTTCATGACGTCCTTGACTCTCCCCAGGAGATGGAGGTTGCCGTCCGAGTCGATGGTAGCCCGGTCACCCGTCCGGAACCAGCCATCCGGGGTGAACGCCTCCGAAGTGGCCTCCGTATTTCTATAATAACCATCGAAGACGATCTTCCCGCGGACTTCGAGGTCCCCAGGCTCATCCGGCGCAGCATGACGGAACAGCCCCGACCTTTCGCCAGAAGGGAGCATGACCCGCATCTCAATCCCATTGACGCACTTGCCGAGGGAAGCAAACGACCGGCCGTTCTTGACGTCGTACGCAGGGCAGTCGAGGTTGTAGATAGCCCCGGCGCAAGTCTCAGTCATGCCGAACCCGGGGGTAATGACATCCCTCCCGGCGCCGTACTTCGCAAACAACTCCGACGCCGCCACGCAGACCTCGACGTCGTTGGCTTCACCACCAGACGCCAGGATGCCAAGACTCCTCAGGTCCCACGTACAAGTCCCGTCTCCGGGAGAAGAGCGTACGGTGGAGACCAGTTTCGCGAGGAAGAAATTCGGCGCGAACGACCGCGAAACCCGGTGGCGCGTCAGGAGGTCGAGGAAGACGGACGGCGAAGACACGACGTCGGCGGCGTGGACGTGGACTTGGTCCAAGCCCAGGGCCATGGCTTGGAGGTGAATCTCCACCAGGCTGGCGACGTGGTCGAGGCCGATCCAGTTCAGGAACGGTTTCGTCGGGTCGAGGGGGCGGGCGGAGGCCTTGCCCTGGATGGCGGCGAAGATTTGGTCGTGGGTTAGCCTCACGGCTTTTGCGTTGCCCGTGCTGCCGGAAGTCAACATCAGGATCGCTAGTCCGGCGTCGTGCTCGTCTGTCCGACTTCGGGTCCGAGGATCTGTGTTGGCGTGGGAGACCACGTCCAGTATGACCGAAGGCGTTGAGTCGCGTCGTAGGAACGGAGTAAGAGACATGTGCTCGACGGTGTGAAGCCGCAATCCGTGATCTTGGCCGAAAAGGTCTAACAACTTGTTTCGGGTGATGCAAAGGGGCGTCTCTAGGAGACCGGAAAGGCCCTGAATATGCTTTCGTCGAAGGCTCTCGTCTTGGCTGAAGGGAGAAGACAGAACGGGAAGGCTGTTGGAGAGCAGGACGGCCCAGAACCAGAGCAAGGTGTCCCAGTGGTTGTCGAGGTGGATCAAAACCGGACAACGCCTTTGAAAGCCATCGAGGCTCTGGAGCAGGGGGACCAGTGCCCTGGCTTGTGAGTAGAGATTTGCATACTCGACGGCAATAGGCGATGATGTGTTGCCAGGCGGATAGACCAAGATGCGACGCTGTGGACGTAGCTGGGCAGCGGCCTTAAGGAGGTCCTGCACGCAGGTGTATGCGCAGTTCTCGTTTCTGGAGTAGTGGGGAGAAGCGGAGGCCTGGACATGGATGTCCTCCGGAACTGGTCTCACTTTGATGGTGGATAAAGGATACTGCAAAGCTTCAGAGATGCCCATGTCGACCGTGTGCCGTGGCTGTCTCGGTAGGGGTACGGTCAGGGGCTGAGGTCGGGTCAACATTGGATTCTGGGGGAGAGATTAGATCGAGGGGATGAGAGACTGGACAAGAATCTCAAGGCAGGAGGTTTACGAGATATCATACCCATATTCGTAGCCTGCCCACCAGGGCTTCAAGACGTCCACATGATCTCTCGATCTGCAGCGCCGAGAGATTATCTTAATGTTCTTTTCTTAGCAGGGGAGTCGGACGGCGAGGGAGGGTTGCAACTAAAAGGTGCATCGCAGTTTGTCCACATTTTACCGGGCTATCCCAGGCTTCAGGCTCATCTTTTTACCCACATCCACCGCCCCACGGTGACGACGATGGGATACTAAAGTAATACCTACAAGTATAGACAGGGGGTGAATCATGACGGATGATATACCTGGATCCTGATTAGAGTTGATGGCCCGACTTGGTACGGATATGACAGACAACAAGTGCCAACCAAGGCATAACGCACAAGGTCAGTGAAGAGGACGACCAGGGTCCACTGGTGTCCAGGGGACCAGGGAGCCAGGGAGCCAGGGAGCCAGGGAGCCTAGGGAGTCCAGGGGGTTTGTTAGGGGAAAGAGAGAAGAAAAGTGTGGGTTGCGGGGGAAGACTGGGCGTTGGTACTGTAATGATTAGTTGGGGGAATCAAAAAGTCCGTAATTACGAATGCTGCACCCAGTATCTGTAAGCCGGTAGAACTTGGGGGCCTGGGGACGGAACTTACCGAGGAGAAACTCTCTGTCAGTCTTGTCTCAGCCTCTATAGTCCTCTGTATTCCCCCCACCAAAGGAACACGAGTTGGAAGACCTGGCTATGGTTGGTACCAGACTGCAATGGTAAGTCCTGCACTACAATTGCCGTGCTGGTAGGCCGGGAGGTTGGCTAGTCCAGGCTTATCGAAAGCAGGCAGGACAGAGGACAGTTGCCGGCAGCTCCCCTCCGTGCCCCTCCGTGCCTTCGTCCCCTTCCGCTCAAGACCCGGCCCTAGGGAAAGCCGAAAGCCTCATGCAGCAACTGACCCAGATTACCGATGTTCTACTGCGGGGCTGACAGGGACGGGGGAGCGACCTGATGTCGTGCACTAAAGGGGCCCAAAAAGGTAGCTATAACCCCCTGGTCCCTATCAGCTTAGCGAGCGAGGATCAGGGGTTTTGTACGATGATGCTGCCCGTAGTTCGTACGACGGGATCAAGCTGACGTTCACGTGCATTGATCAAGGTTACTTATTTTATCTTTCCACTACTTGCGCAGTCTTTACCAAGACTTTGAAGACCTCAAGCTCATTTCACAACCCGGACTGCGGTAGAGTTGGTTGTTAACTTGTAGACATAATCTACGGACAACGGACAGTTGAGATTTCCCAAGATGAGCGCCAACACGCCACAGCCTCAACCTCGCATTCTCAAACTCGCTTCGACCATCAGCGAGTCGGTGGCAAAGCTTCACGAGATTCTCACCGCAGCCGGCCAACCTTCGCCTTCCTTTGACGAAGATGCTCCCGTCGCCATCCCCAAGGAGGGCTCTGATGCACAGGACGCCATCCTCGACGCCACGTCCGAGCTCTACGACTTGCTTCTCGAGCCCCTCGATCTCCTCTTCCAGAAGAGCGGAGTCAGTCGCCCATCCCAAAGACATTGCACGTGCATGTGGACATTGAACCTAACGGTACAACCAAAGCACATCAACAACGTGAGCATGCAGTTAATCAGCCGGCACAACATCGCCAGCATCGTCCCCGCGGGAGGACAAATCTCCTTCGCCGAGATCGCAAGGCACACGGGCCTCGGTGAATCCGCTGTTCGGCGCATCCTGCGACATGCCATGACGATGCGCATTTTCCGCGAGCCGGAGCCCGGCATGGTGGCTCACACGAAGGTGTCCAAGACGCTCGCATTATCCCATGTGAATGACTGGCAGTACACCGGGAGCCATGAAATGTGGCCCGCAGCTGTCAAGGTTCGTCTTTTGGATCCCAGCCATTTCCTCCGGTTGCGATTTGTTCCCAGTCTGAATTCCATGTACTCACATGCGATGCGTCTAGACGATCGACGCGATGCACAAGTGGCCGAATTCGGAAGAACCAAATGAGACGGTAAAGATAAAAAACTCATGCGCCCAGCCCTCTGTGAACTTGAATCGTGCTTATCTGGTCCCAATGCAGGGGTACTCTCTCGCCAACAACACCACGGAATCCATCTATGGCGTCCTCTCCGCCGAGCCGTCCCGCGCCCTCCGTTTCGCCGGGGCCATGAAGGCCTACTCCCTCAGCTCCGGCCACCACACCTCATACATCGTAGACCACTACCCCTGGGCCTCCCTGCCTCGGGGAAATAGAACAGCAGCAGCAACGACGACGCCGACAACAACAACGACAACGACAACAACAACAACAACAACAACGCCAACCCGCGTCGTCGACATGGGCGGCGGCCGCGGCCACGTCGCCATGGCCCTCGCCAAGCGCTTTGACAACCTCACCTTCCTGATCCAGGACATCCCGCAGATCATCGCCGGCGCCGAGGCCGACGTGCCAGGCGACCTGAAGGGCCGGATCGCCTTCGCGCCGCACGACATTTTCGCGCCGCAGACCGCAGAGGCGGCGGACGTGTACTACCTCCGCTGGATCCTGCACAACTGGTCCGACAAGTACTGTCGCCTCATCCTCGCATCACTGGTTCCGGCGCTGAAGAGGGGGGCGAGGGTGGTGGTGCAGGATACGTGCATGCCGGACGAACCGGGGGCCGTGGCGCTCTGGAGGGAGAAGGACCTGAGGGCCGCGGACCTGAATATGGCGGCCGTGTTTAATGCGCGGGAGAGGACGGTGGGGGAGTGGAGGGAGCTCTTCGCGGGGGCGGATAAGAGGTTTGTGTTGAACCGGGTTATTGAGCCGAAGGGGTCGGCGTTGGGGATTCTGGAGTTTCTGTGGGATGTGGAGGGGACGCAGCAGGGAGATGGAAATATAGCTGCTTCGTAGTTGCAAGTCAAGTAGGTCTATACTTGTTTATGAATAGATGCATGTTACGTTCATGGCTGGGCGTAAAAACTGCACAGCCCAGTGCAACTTTTATGACTGCCGACACTAGTCGATCGAGGCATCTTATTTGCAGATTTCAACTCGGATTCGAACCGAGCCGTGTTTCCACATGCACTTTGTCTTGTCGAACTTGACGTCTCTTCGTGTCTGATTCAACATGAAAGCTATATAGTGACGCTCGAGTAGGTATTCATCTCATCCACGTCGCTGGTTCGGATTCTGCCGGCCGTGCGCCCAAGATGACGCCTCCCGGTTCATCTACATCAGGGGTCAGGGGTTTCAGGGGTTCAGGGGAAGTCGGTGAGGCATGGGAGGGGTGGGGATACATACGGATAGTGGGAGTACAATGTAGGTGGTGGGGGTGGTGGGGATGGCGGGTTACACTACTTACACGTACCTTTGGTTCTCGATCTAAGGAACCGGTAAAGGCAGGTTGATCTGTTATCTGGTTCTCTTGCCTTTTCGGCTGGGAATACGGGGGGGAATGGGATCACCGAGACCAAGCCAATAATGTTGACAGAGCACGCGTGACGCTGCACGTAGACGTAGCAATGGCGGCCAAGAACCCCCCTCGACGTTCCAGCATCACTGAGTCTTGATCCAATGAGTGAGAGGCATCGGGTCTGCACATCCTCTAGGCTCCTCCAGGAATCGGAGAAGGGGAGGGGTTGGGTAGCATTCAGAGGGGGAGGCGTGTTACGGTGTTAGTGATGGCACGGAACACGGAGCGATTCGGCCCCGCCTGCCATATCGGGTCTTAGACTCGTAGTCGACCAGCCACCCGTTGCTCGCCTCGCCAATCCAACGGTTTTCGTTTACACGTGTAGCATTTGTCTGTATTTTTAGAACCCCTCTCCATTGATCGACAATGTCAAGGTCGAGTCCTACGTAAAGAGGGGTCAGATGGGATGTCTATCCATGTAGAGTATGGACAACGGAGTAATTCGTGCACTGAGATTGGCAAAGGCTTAGGTATTCCAACTCGGTTGGATATATCATATCCCTAGTCTTTCTTTTGGCGTGTCCAGGTTTGTTATCACACCAGACGCCATTATAGCGCCGAACCCACTACGTGTAGTGACCACGATTATTCCTTTTCTTCGTAACTGCCATGTCGACGCGGGATGATCGAAGCATTCGATTCATCATTCGCCTTCCTGGAGGGGTTAAAGGTGCTGCTGTACCTTGCAAGTTGTAAGATCCCGGTAAGATGCTGCACGTTCAAGTGCGCTTCACCAATAAAATCAGGGGACTGTCGCATTCGTTGGCATTGTAGGAACGGCAGACTCGGTTGCAATCTTGCCGGCCATTCCCGGGCGTTGGACTGACCAAGGGAGGTGGGGAGGTCAGACCTGTCAGAGTCAGGGACTCAGGGCACCTCAGCAGATTGTCCATTCAAGGGATCAATGATGCAAGCAAGTCTGAGACTTGTTCCAGTAGGGAAGAAGGGGGGAGGAAAAAAAGGAAGAAAAATTGGAAAATTGGAAAAAAAAAAAAAGAAGAAAAAAGAAAAGAAAAAGACCGGAAATTCGACGGAACCCTCAGTCGGCTAATGAGCAGACTGAGTAGACGGTTAGGGGGACTGACAGCGGACCGGCCTGTAAGTGTGAATGTGTGATACCGCCGGACCGACCCCTGACCACATGCATCTACACCAGACGTCTTTTCCACTTGGATATATGCCCCAATTGATATTTTATTTGTTTCTGCTTCAATTGTATTTCTTCTCCGTTTAACCTTTCAACTGTTCAACATTCGCTTTCTTTTTTTTTCTCCTCGGGCGGTGTGCATGCAGGCAGAGAATGCAGTGCAGTATGCAGCGCAACTGTGGCGTTAGTTGAGGTCCCGTCGTTCGGAGCGCCATAATCCGAATGCGCACGACGCCAACAGCAGTGAGGTCAATTCGAGGAAATTGGGAATAATTGACCTAAGAGAAACCACCAAGATTCAGGCCTGCAAAAGAGAACATGAAGTAATATTCATTCAAAAAGAAACGCTATGCTTGTCTACCCATGAGGCTATGCATGATTCATCTATGATCTATCTATGTACTACAGTCTGCACGTGCAGCCACACTTGTAACTCCCTACTCCCTCGCGTCCCCCCCAGAATCACAGCCCTCAGGATTTTGTCCGGGGGTGATCCGTAAACGTAATAGTAACTTCATCCGTCCTCCGAATCTGCCCCATCTCGGCCGTCGACAGGTCCATGGGCGGCGTCTCGCCCCCCGAGCTCCCCGAACTCGACGACAACTGCGGCGCATGACGGTGCCCGCCCGAGCCACTCGAATCCCACATGCAGTCGCCGGTATGCAGCCCGCGGCGCAACGACTGCTGCGACCCCCCGGAGAAGCGCTTCGAGCCGCGCTGCTGCTTGTGCGTGTGGTGGGTGCTGTTGCGGGTGCGGTCGGCGCTGACGAAGCCGACGACGGTGGTGCCAAACCAGCCGAAGCGCTCGACCATGAGCGCCTTGAACTTGGCGCGCAGCGGCGGGATCGAACCCATGATGATGACGAGGCTCTGCTCGATGCCGGACCACAGGACCGCGAGGCTGGCGTTGTACTGCGCGTCTTGCGTGTTGCCCGTGTCGGCGCGCGGGGTGGTGATGGTCTTCATGATGGAGGCGCCGGCGGTGATCAGGGACAGGCCCATGAGGAGGCCGAGGCCGATTTTGCGCCGGAGGGGCATGTGGAGCTTCCAGATGACCATGACGGGGAAGAGGACGTAGGTTACGTCGGAGAAGGTGAAGAGGGCTGTGGAAGCTTTAGCTGTACGTCATTCTTGGAGGGGAAGCGGGAAAAGGAAAGGGGGGAGAGAATAACATACATTGCGCCAAGTAAGAGGTGTTCTGTTGAATGCGAGGATCCCACCGTCGGTTCACAGCCATGAAAGGGTTCCATAGACCCTCGACCGGGTCGACCTGGACCCAAACGAGTACGATAAGGACGCTAGAAACGACGACTTGCAGACCGGTGAAGATCCAGAGAAACCACCGGAGCCAAGGCTTGGTCCCAAACAGCCGAGTGAGCAAGATGTTGGCCGAGACCCTCGCCAGGATGGAGACCATGATGGAAGGCGTTGTCGAGATCCAGTTCCACTTGAGCACCTGGATAAGTTGTGGAAAGACCGACAAGTTGGCGTCCCGCTTGCCCAGCCCCCAACGAGATGCTTCGGTGATGCATCCTTGGAAAGTGATTTGCATGACCTGTTCGAGGGGAGTGGCGATGACCAATTAGCGATTCCATTGTCTTTGATGTAGCAACCAAGGACCGAAACATGTTGCCGTTGGGCCCTGTGGTCCTGTGTGTTGGGTGTTGGGTGTTGGGTGTTGGATGTTGGAGACGAAGAACTGGAGAACGACATACCACGGCGGCTAGCATGAACCAGTCGTCCGAGCTCACTTTCCGTGCGACGGTGGCACGGACATAGAAACGGGCAGAGATGATGAGGATGCACAGAATGGTCATGGTCCAAGTGACACCCATGATCAGAGGCCCCCGACCCGGAGCATCGGGATCGATGGGGTCCGGAAACTGGGGCATTCCGGGCATCTCGAAGGGATCGGGGGCAGGAATTGGTTCTGACATGATGTGCCGTTGGAACGAGGCAACAACATGAAAGAAAACAAGCCCAACGACAAGAAAAGAGAAAAGTAACCTGTAAGAAAGAGGGGTTTGCGGCCTGAGACGAAAAGAGAGACGTCCGGTCAAGAGCGATTTCTGTTCTCTGCACCAACGACCCGTCACCCCCAACTATATACAACGTAAAGATGGAGGAGAACGGCCACAGCGAGACAAGGGGGGGTTTAATAGGAGCCCTGCTAAGCTCTCACGTGTGTGACGGGGGCGAGGGTGGTATTGGTATTGTGCTAGTAAGCACCATGTCTGGCTTGTTCCATGCGGCGGCAAGGTCGCCTTGGGATGAAGGACTTGAAGCGAAGGATTCCTTTTTTCTTCCGGTCGTGGGTCTCACTCGTTGTCTTTCCATCCCAGCACGGCAGCATGGGGCGGACCACTTGGCGATCTTGCAGCGTATCGTGTACAACGGTACCCTCGCCCACTTTACCAGCCACGGTCCACGGAGACTCGGATGAGAAAAAGAAGAACAGACTCGACTTCCCGGTGGCGCGTATGGCTCATGTGCGTTGTGCATCGGTTGATAGGCAAGCGCAAGCCACATCCACACGATGGACAGATCACAGATCCGATTGCTATCCGATCTGTACGAAGTACGTTTGTATTGCCCTACTTAACGAGGCGGGGTAATACTGAACGGGAAGCCAATCGGGCAAGTGTATCTGAGCGCCGCCGTGAATCGGACAAGACAGGGAGGGGAGAAGGAGGAGGGAGGGACTCGAGGGAGAGACTCGAGGGAGAGACTCGAGAGAGAGACTCGAGAGAGGGGCCGAGGGCCACGGCCCACATCCTTACCGTCAGATCTGTCGATCCCTCAAGGGTTGGAAAATCGCTGTGCGCTCTTGCTATAGTGTACGTGCTTGTAAACCAAGCACAGGGTCAAGACCACATGAATTCTGGTGTACGATGTAGGTTGAGTCGTGAACAATTACTCCGTGACGTGTTGATTGACGATCGCGACCGCCTTCGACTCTTCGTTTCAGGGCGTGCGATTAACACGGAGGACCATGTGGATAACCCCACACCGTTACCCCACATCGCTTCCAGCGGCATTCACCTGCCGTCGGTTAGACACACAGACCACACAGAATCCGGGCTTTCAGGCTCATCTCACCTCCCTCACCTCCCTCACCTCGCACCTCGCACTCACACCGCTGACACAGAAGCCCCATGCCAAGCCACTCAGCCACCCGTGCAGCTTAGGTAATATAAGGCTTAGCGTCCACTATGTTCCGAATCGGGACTGTATGTGGGGACCTAGGTAGGGAGCACTTGGACCAGGAGATGGGGTTCAACCGTTGAGCCCAACTGCCATCCTTTTGTTGTCAAGTACGCGTACCACGAGTACGTTGTACGACGTTCTCGCGTACCACACCAACGTTGTTTGCTTACGCTTATTTGCTCCTCTACCCCTTTTTAATCGGTCGGGTCGCTCTTAGTCCCCTCCTTTACCTCCATTCCCCCTGGTCCCATCATCTTAGCCCACATCAAATCTATTCTCGTCCATTCTCGTCCCTACTGCCAAGTGCCATCTCATCGCCTCAGCAAGTACTCAGAAGGGCTCCCCAGTAATTTTCACCATGACTTCCAACTCCGAATGGGCTTCCAAGCCCTTCGCTCTCTGCTCTACTCCCACGGCCGCTCTGCCAGAAGGGCAAAAGGTAACTGTCGATCCGGCCTGACGGGAACCACCAAACCTCTTCCACTCATGACCATCATGACCTAGGATGAGGGGGTTGAATGCTCACTGACGGCCCCCGGCCCCAGCCCGACATGTTCGACGACCTAGCCTCCACCATGGCCGTGGTCCACAACATCATGATCCGCTGCCTCAACAGCATCCACCAACAAGCCCCCCACGTCCGGGCGGCCGACGTGCCCGCTTTCCTCAACTACGCCCTCACCTGGTGCCAGATGCTGCAGCTCCACCACGACGGCGAAGAGGAGATGTGCTTCCCCGCCGTCGAGCGCATGGCCGGCGAGCCGGGCCTCATGGAGACGAACGTCGAGCAGCACGCCGCGTTCCACGACGGGTTCGATGCGTTCAAGACGTACCTGGAGGCGTCCCAGAAGGGGGAGGTGGCGTTTGATGGCCAGAGGGCACGGGAGCTCATCGATGAGTTTGGCCCGTCGTTGACGCAGCATCTGCATGATGAGGTCCCTACGCTTTTGGCGCTTCGGCGGTTTGGGCTGGAGAAGATGAAGGACCTTCCTAAGGTTTTTGAGGAGGAGGCTCAGCAAAATATGGTGCGTTTTTTTTTTTCTTTTCTTCTTTTCTTTTCTTTTCCCCCCTTCATGAAGGTGGACTAACTAACATCTTCTTACCCCAACCTGCAGGGCAAAGCTGGTATGGCCGCTGGCGGTATGTTGGCATTCATGTCCCACGACGTGACCTTCGAGGGGGGCCTATGGAAGAACTTCCCCCCTGTTCCCTGGATCATCTTGGTTATCATCCGCAATACCGTATATTGGGTCCATTCGGACTGGTGGAAGTTTGCGCCCGTCGATCGATACGGACAGCCTCAGCCTCAGTATGCTCGGCCAGAACAGTCTTGAGGTCGTGGGAGCTATGGAGGTCGGAAGGTGGATGAACCTTCTGTGGTCAAACACATAAAGCGATTGAGCATTTCTTTTTGTCCTTTCCTTTTCTTTATTTTATTATTTCTCCTTACCTATTGGGTCTCTGGACACCTACTGTATGAAGCTCTTCTGGCTTATGGCATACCTTTTCGAGACCAGTACCTGCCTTACCTTTAGGTACCTTAGATACCTAGGTAGGTAGTTATGAGAGATACCTTCTACTTCTCACGAGGCAGCATCATGTCATTGTCCCCTCGACGGGACGTCATCACATGAACCTTACATGGCTCTGTCCACGGGTGAGAAAGTAATAAAGTATCTTGTAGTTGGTTCTTCTTTCCCGCCAGCAAGGTGAATCAGGAGTACCTTGTTCTTTGCTTTCTTCTTCCCTCCTTCCTTTCTTCCTTTCTTCCCTTCTTCATCATCTCCAACCACTATCAACCACAACGAGAACACCCAACCACTATCAACCACAACGAGAACACAAACGGCACAGGCAAACCAACACCACCAGGAAAGCCGGAAAGAAAATCAACCATGGGCAACAAAAAGAACAAGGCCAAAAAGAAGAACGCCGCCAAAAAGGCCGCAGAAGTCGAGGACGCCATTGAAAAGCCGGACGAAAAGGGCAAGGGCAACGCTGTCGAGCAGATTGAACTATCCGGGCCAGCTACCCTCCCTTCCAGGGTAAAAAAGAACTCGGAAGAAGCGGAAATTGACGACGACAAATACAAAGACGCTGTTATGTATGCCTTTGAAGGGCCGCTGAACGCTGGCGAGTACAAGAAAGGTAAAGACAACTAGCCCGCCCCGAAGTTATAACTGTTACATTCTCTTTCGTCACACATATTGCTGAAACCCTTGCTGATATCTCCTTACACCAGCCCAGAAAGCCGCCCTGGCAGCATGTGTTCACCGGCCACTGTTGTCCCCAACCCCCGAAGTCAACGCCATTCTCGCCTTAGCCGCCAGCTGGGACCACTCCCAGAGCAACCGCGTAGCAGCACTTTATGCCAAAAAGGCTCTCGAACAGTGGGAGCACGTCGACGCCGAATTTTCCTCAGTTGCGAAAACCGGTGCTCCTCTCACGACGATTGTCTTCCACGGTTACCTTGCCAACTTCGACCTGGCAGGTGCGCGGACCTGGCTGGATAGTATGGAAAGGAATGAGGGCATCCGTCAACGTGGCCTCATCCTACTCGTAGCTCAGCTGAAGAAGCGGCTCGACAACGTTGCCGGTATTTTCAGAGCATGTCCCAGCAAAGGGGAGTCGTGGCGCATGATCCTCTCCTGCGTCGCCCGCTATAAGCCCACCATGTACGTTGTGTCGTCTTGTCTTTTGACTTCTCCGGCCCGGTCCGTTTAATATATTCTATTCTACTTTGGGGACATGTTCGTCTGTGTCCGCACTGACGATGCGAGCCCTATGCGATGCAGGAGGGGCTATTATCCTAGTGACCCCGTCAGCGGCGAAAGGCCTCGATCCCTCATCGACCACTGCACACTCAAGGCAGCCCATCAAGAAGGACGAAACGTCAACGTACTGCACGCCGGAGCCGGAGATGGCAGGCATCTGTTCCAGACCATTTTCGAACTCGGCGCTCTCCTTCACAGAGAGAACGACAACCTCAACAGCAAGGTGACGATCCTGATAGTGGACCGCCACCCTGCCGCCGTAGCTCGGTTGCTCGTCCTCATGCACTTGATCCTGACGACCGAAGCCCAGAAGGACAAGGCAAAAAGACGCCAACTCTTGGTTTCCCTGGGCTTCATCTTTGGCTTCCCCATCATCCCTCTCAGGGCGCACACGTCGTTGCGCGAAGCAGCAACGGCGGTTGCCGACGCCCTCAAGAGTTGGGACAACGCAGACCGCAACATATTCCATGACACTATCGAGGTCCCCGAGGACATTCGCTTCCCGGTCCTCGCCGCGGTCCTGGCGTGGACTCAGGCCTATTCCCTGAGAAAAGAGAGCCAAATGACGAGAGCTTTCATCCATTCGTACCGCGAAAAAGTTACGGGACTGGGGCAATGGGCCGATATGGCGGCGCCTTTCCTTTCAAAATACCTGTTGCCTAACCCATGCGGCAATAGGCGGGATCGAGCGCTCTGGTCGGCCGCCGGCATCGTCGATGTGCCCCCCACGATCTACGATTCGAAGAGCCCGGAGTCTGCGTCTGAGTCTCTGGACAAAGATGGACCAGCAGACTCAGACTCTCACTCAACCACCGACGTCGCGACGGCGTATTCCGAGATTGTGGACGTCCTCTGCGGCCTTTTCGAGACGCAGGCAGACGGACGCGAGGTACAAGTGGAAACTCAGGAGGCTCTCGAGAGGCTCGTTATGCTCGAAGAGCACGTGGCGACCAACTGGCGCGGAAACCTAACGCTTCTCGCCAACTGCGACGAAGTGTATGCCGGCACCAAGCCCCTTCAGTACGAATTCTTTTCGCCCTTCGAAGTCGCCGGCCGTCTGCACGGCTTCAACGACGACGACAATCAGTTGACGGAGGCAGCTCAGGCTGTTTCGGTCATCGAATACGTGACGGATTACTTTGACAGCGTGGTCGGCATGGTTGGCCTCTGCCTAGAACGAAAACAGTTCCGGGTGATCCTCCACGTCGATGATGTGTTCAACACCATGGACGAGCTTCATGCTAATCTTTCGCCCTTCTTGCTCCACGAGAAAGCTTTCACCTGGCTCGATTACAACCCCAAAACCGACGGCCATTTCGACGTCATTGACTTGTCCAGTATCCCGTATGTCGTCTTACTCTACCTTCATCATTCATGCCGCGATTCCAATGTCTTTTGTCTTTGTCCCTTTCTGGAGGAACCGACTGCTGACAGAATGTCCTGAATTCTCTTTTGGGGGGCCCTCCCTTCCCAACAGAGACAAGGCTGGTGGTGTGCTTGCCGCACTGATGCACGGTAGACCGCTTCTCCGGAAGGTCCCGTCGTCCCGGGTCACGTACGCGACGCGAGACAGTGCCTTGCGATATCTGCGGTGGTCGGAGGAGCACAACGTACAGTCCCTTGGCACCACGGTGCCGAGGGTATACGCGGCGTGTTACGGGATGAAACAAGACGAGGTACCACCCTCAATGCAAAACCAGAGTTTCCCGATGATTTACGGTCTTCCCCTCTCGTGGCGTCTCGTTCCTCAGGATGATTCCAAGGAGGAGAGAGCAGAATGGGGCCAGAGGCATGTCGAGAACATGCTCCAAAACCTCCTACTGCGAGTTATGGTCCCCCCCGGTGGACGGCCTCACTGGCGGAACAAGATTCGCGCCCAAGAGTGGTTCCCGTTCAACATGTGGACCTTCTTCCGCGCCCTCGTACATCTCCAGGATCTGGGGTTCGACAAAGAGAGCCTCTTCAGAGGAACCAACTACGTGCTGTCGCGCACACATATCACAAGTGAGTACGGACTGAAGAGTCACGCGTCTGACAACCGCCACGGAAGCTGGTATGTGATGACCTCGGTCGATCTCCAGCCGTGGAGCGCCGAGTTGACGACGCAGTGCTGCCTCTGGCAAGGTCTCCTGGACTTCGTCGTCGGGCGGGATAAGGACGACACGCTGCTGCCGCACCAGATCCACAAGTACGGCGTGAAGATAGCGGCGCGGGGGAAAGAGTTCACGGACGAGAGACCGGAGCACATCGTCGTCTTCGTGCGCAGGGTGCACGCCTTTCCGATGGACGACCTCCACGGCATCCTCACGGGGACTGTGGACAGGGAGCTGAGGGACGTGGCGAGTTCGATCCGGAACGAGCACTGCCACATTGTCACCGTATGGGAGTGGTACGAGGTGGAGGAGCGTGCGGTTTTCTGGATGCGCGACGACGTGATGGAGGAGATGTTGCGAGACTACCCGACGTGGGACGCGATGGTCTACAGGACGGATGTCTGGACGCCTGTTCTCGGGCCGGACAAGACCAGCCCTCTGGACATTGTCAAGTGGGAGCAGTGGGGGGACCAAGACAACATGTAGGGCGGACGGAGAGGGAATGATGATGGTGGATGGAACTTTGTATCGCTAGAGGACGTCGGAGGATAGGGGCGGGCACTGCTTTCTTTACTCCGTTTGACTCTGCTATAGCCAATCGAGTCCATTATGATTTGAGAAAGGGAAAGGGGAATATTGTACAGAGTATCGAAATAGATAAAATGAAGTCGAGGTGATCAAGCGGTCAGGGGTATTACGTAAGGCCTGTATGCAGGTACCTACATAAGGTACCTAGGTATCTACACTACACTACCTTACCTACCTTACCTAAGGTACCTTCTGAGGATACAGACGCTCAGGCCAACGCCGTTGACCATATGAGGTTAAGCGCTGCGGGAGTTTGAGCAAGATACCAGCAAAAGGCGGGGCCCAGATGAGGGAAATCGAGGGGGTTCCGCGCTTCCAGCCACCAAGAGCCTCATTACGCGCCTCATGTGTACGGAGTGCGTTGTACATGTACGTTGTACGTTGTACGATGGACTGCGCGATGTCATTCCACCACGATTATATAAGCTTGTCGTCTCCTATTGTTATTGTTCTCCGAGCCTCGGTTCTGCTCTGCTTCATCCAGGAACGCGACACAGAGAAAAAAGAATACAAACCTGGAAGACCAACCTCCTCATCTTCTCAATTGAAACCAGATAATGGCTTCCAATATGTGATGGAACAATCGCCCAGTAACCCAAATAGGGAGTCGCGGACAAGATACCTACCTTAGCTACCTTACTATTACCTACCCCCGTGCCTGGGGCCTCATATTTAAACTTGCTCACTTTATCTTGGCGCCAAACGCCGGCGATGGAATCCCCCAATCAACGCGGCCGGCCCGAGACGGGACAGGAACCACGGACCCTGACCACTGGGTCCTTGTCCGGGGGATGAGCTCGAAAGACGAAATGGAACTGCCTTTCGTCGAGGTATATATATTATGTCTCGAACATCGCAGCTTTCCCTCCCCGTTCTTTTGACCAGCTCGCCACCTTCGTCTTCTCAACTGTCTCCCGTCTCGTCTTTCAGTCGTTTCGTTGTGATACCCCGTTGTTATCGTCACTTATTACGACCGCTCGCCAAAATGTTCACCACCCAGGCTCTCCTCACCCTCGCCGCCGCCGGCCTCTCTTCCGCACATTTCACGCTCAAGTACCCCGAGTGGCGCGGCAACACCTTCGATGACACCCTGAACTACACGCAGTGGTCGTGGCCTTGTACGTCGTCCGCCTCGTCCCTTTCCATCCTTTCTCCTCTCCTCTCCTCTCCTCTCCTCTCCTCTCCGGACCGAACATGAAGCTGACAATCCCTTCCCAGGCGGCGGCCCCGCATACGGCTCCGGCAACAGGACCGACTGGCCCCTCTCGGGCGGCTCCCTAGGCGTTACCCTCGGCCACGCCTACAACTTCCTCTACATCAACCTCGGCATCGAGGAGAACGGCACCGTCGCCAGCTTCCCCACCTCGCTGACCCCGAACCCCCTCAACACCACCGGCAGCGGCACCCTCTGCCTTTCCGACCTGCTCGTGCCCTCCGACCTCAACATCACCGCCGGCACCAACGCCTCGCTGCAGGTCATCAAGGTTGGCAGGTCGGGGCAGGCTCAGTATAACGTGCGTTTTCTTCTTTTTTCTTCTTTTTTCTTCTTTTTTCTTCTTTTCTTCACCCCCCGTCCCTTCTCTTTTCTCTTTTAGTTGGCGATGGTGTGCTAAAAACGTAACCTCTTACCAGTGCGCCGACATCCGCTTCGTCGAGGACGCCCCCGAGCCCACCGAGGAGCAATGCGCCACGGACGACGGCGCGTACTTCGCCATCGAGCCTCAGAGCCACGAGGAGGCCAACGCCACCGACGGCGAGGACGGCGACGACGCGGCTTCCGGCGACGAGGACCCCGACAGCGCTGCGTCCCTCAGCTCGGCTCACATGTCCACCATCTTCGCCGTCGGCATGGCTGTCGCTCTTGGCCTCGCCCTTTAAACGACGAGGGCTTTTTTTGACGACGATACATGGGAGTAATGCGCGGGATTCAAAGCCGAGGGGGGCGAAACCACAAAAGCAAAGTGTACATTGTAATGTCTTGATGTATTGTTGGGCTTAGAAAACCAGATGATCTTGTTGTCCGTCTTCTGGCGGGAAGCCAACGTATGTATAGTTGTTTGTATGGTGATACAATACCCGGCGTATGCTGAAATGAATATGATAGTTATATCAGAGAGGCAGATGCGCAAACATGCAAAAAAACACCCCGCCACCTTAAAACTGGACCTTGCCCGCCAATTATCCACCTAAACAATGATCCATGTTGGCAGCTCCGATGAGACCCATGACGGGAAGGGAGATGAGAGCCAACATACTGCAAATGTCCAAAAAGACCAAACGCCTCAAAATATGTCCGCGTCCTGCGCATGGATATGGACCACGACATGAAGAACACGCTCGCTATATACATTCAAATGTAGACCAAAAGGGCAAAAAGGCAAAAGGGGTCTATCGCCTCGTCATAATCATAATAAATGACGACAAAGTAGCGACACAGATAAAAATCATGAACGAATCGCCATCTGCTCATCAACCAAGTGATGCAAAATCTGCGCCGTCGTAATCCGTTGCTTCGGGTTCAGAATCAACATATCGCGTATGATCCGCTCCATGCGGTCCCGCGGGCTGAGCCGATCCGCCGCCTCGCGCACCTCGCTCAGCCACACCATCATCTGGTCCACCGCCGACATGCCCGCGCCCCGCGCCGCCCCGGGTTTCTGCCGCGCGCCGCCGCCCGGCCGGTTCAGGTCCGCGATCATCCAGTACAGCGGGCGCGGGTGGGCGCGACCGGCGCGGGCGTCCGGGAACGGCAGTTTTCGCATCACGTAGAGCATGGTGACGCCGAGGGCCCATACGTCTGAAGCCGCCCCCCGCAAGCGGCCGCCGATGAACTCGGGCGGCACGTAGAACGGGGTCCCGCCCGTCGTGGCGGGGGCGTGGGCGGGCGAGCTGAGGCCAAAATCGCAGAGCACGGCGCCGCGGTCGGGCGAGTAGAGGATGTTCGCCGGTTTGATGTCGTTGTGCACCAGGCCGCGGTCGTGGAGGTAGTGCAGGGCCGAGGCGACGTCGTGGAGGATGCGGCTCGCATCGGCGCGCGACCCCATGAACATGTCGTCACGTGCTCCGCGCCAGAAGTTGCGGGCGGAGAGGTCGCGGGCCTCCACGTGCTCCATGTACAGAGACAGGAAGCGCGCGTCGCCCCCGTACAGGCGGACGATGGAACTATGGCGCAGGTCGTCCTGGGACTGGTACTCGCGGAGCCACATGTCGGCCTGGCGGATCACGTTGCGTTCGGCTTCCTGGGGCTTCTGGGCGGCGGCGGCGGCGGCGGCGGCGTTGTTGACGGAGTGGGTCTTGAGGATTTTGACGGTAATCACGCCGTTGGGTACGTTGGAGTGCTCGGCGGTAAAGACGGAGGAGAGACTGGTGGAGGCGATCTGGTCACGTTTGGTCACCGTGTAGGCGTCCAGCTCGCAGCCGCTTTGGACAGCCACGGTCTCGTCCTTTTGGAGGTCGAGGAGAGCCTGGCCCGTGGAGGCCACCAGCTCGTTGCCCTTGCCCTTGCCTGCCGTGTTGCCCTTGCCCGTTGTGGGCAGGGGAAAGACGAGAGGGTCGGCAGACGATCGCAGGAACATGATGACACCATCTTCCTTCTTCGCCGCTCCGGCTCCGGCTCCGGCTCCGGCTCTAGCTCCGGCCTCGGATGTCTTCACTTTCTTTTCGCCCCGTCCTTGGGATTCTTCGGCGTCCAGAGACCTCTTCCCCAACGAATTGAGGACGATGTCGCTTTCGGAGCTGTCCCCATTCTCGATGGCTTTCCTTGGTTGGACGAGGTGGAAGGGCATCCGTTCCAACACCCTAAAGTCGAGGACCCTGATACCCTCGACGGAGATACGCCAAGACCCTGGAGACAGAGCCTTGGTCATTAGAGGTTTGATTTCGTGGTTGGGTCCCGGGCTGTTTCCCGGGTCGTCCGAGAGGCGGGACAGGGTAATGGGGGCTTCGGACCGGTTCAACAGGATCTGGTTGTCGCTGGCCGGGTCGTAGTACAGCTCGCACCACACCGGAGGCCGCGGTACGTGGTCGTCCAGGTGTTCGGAGGGGATGCGCACCGAGAACTTGATGTCCCTGGGGGTCTGGGTCACGGCCAGGACCTTGTGGTGGGGACGTTCATCCGACGCGACTTCGGCGCGGAGAGCAAGCCACTGGCAACTGCCGTTGCCCGGGCTTACAGAGCGGCTCCGGGTGAGAGGGCGCACCAGAATGCGGATGCCTTGCTTGTGGTGGTGGTCCTCGACCATGAGCTTGTCCAACGGGACAGCGTCGTACATGACTTCATCGACGGCCTCGTGAACGCCCATGCTCTTCAAGCGGGCGTCGACCTCGGACTGGGAAAAGGGCTCTGTGCGCTCTTCTGACGGGGCCTCCGAAGGGTGGCCCCGGTGGTCCGCCATGACGAGGTGGGAGGGGGCCGGGCTAGGCAGCCATCCGTGATATGACACAGATGGCGAGCGACCTAGGCAGTGGCGCAAGGGAACAAGAAGGGATGACTCCAGACAAAGGAGAGCAATGTGGAACCTTTTGAAGGCACGACAAAAGATAAGATGCTGGGTAAGGGGAGAAGTGAACTTCGAATGCCGTTTCGATGAAAGGACGTTGGGAAAGCTTGGGCCACAAGTGGACGCCGAGAGCAACGGTTATTTTGACCTCCGATGGTAGGTCAAAAAATGAATGCACGGAGGACAGGCGAATGAAACGAGGAGACGGGTTAAGAGAATAAAATGGAGGCGGATGGGTGAGTTAGAGTCCCCAGGAGTAGACACTATGGGGTTTATGTGGAGGGGGGGGGGACAGGGACAGGAGAAACAGACAGAAACCCAGAGAGAAAATGGAAGAGAAAAGGCCTTGTCGGACAGACAGCGAGTTCAGAGCAGGAGGAAAGGCCCGGTGATGGGTATCTCAAACTGCAGCCTCACGGGGATGGAGTCATCGAGGGAAAATGAGAGACGAGGAGTGGCCTGGTGCCTGGTGCCTGGTGCGTGGTGCCTGGTGAGAGGCGATAGGGATAGGTAGGTAGACAGTTGAAGATAGTCAGCCAGCGCAAAGGACGGCAAGGAGAGGGCTCGGCCAAGAAGACAGAAAGAGAAGAGCGTGGAGACTGAGGGGGCGGGGGGCGGGATGCGAAGAATTAGGGCTCTGCTCTTCATCTGCGAGTGCTTGAAGACCCCTGTCGACACCAGCCTCATCTAACCCCAGGTTTGAGCCCTGTAGGCGTAGGCAGTATTCGTGCAGAAGACGCACGAAGCATGGGGGTCAGCCTCAGCCACAGGGCGCTGGGAATAGAAACAGATGACTGTGGGAAGCGGGCGGTGCAGTGGATGAGGTGGGCAATGTTCCTCTCTAGTTCTCCCCTTGATAGGCGCCTCCCCTCGACTCGCCGCCCTCCTGTTCGAGTAGGATTCTGTTCCTGTTTTCCTATAGGGCGGTTGGCTTTATGTGCGACACACTTCGTATTGTACGGATGCTCGCTGGTTGTCACGAGGAGAGTCGGAGAGATGCGGTTGACCGCTTGTTTATCAACCAATACGAACTCCTTCGTACGCTCGTGCATACAACGTGCAGTGTTCGAGGGCTAAGGGCAATCCTGCAGCATGGGATTTGACCACGTTGCGTTGCTCGTCTCCTGGTTTTGTCAGCAGACAGCAGACAGCAGACAGCAGACGTATAAAAGAGTGCTGGTCCCTCCCCGTCGTAGCCATGTTGATTCTTCCAAGTTTCCCTCCCACCCCATAGAGGTAGGAAGGTTTGGGTTGGATACAGTAATTAATTACCAAGTACCCACCCCTCTCCAGGGCAGGTCGAAGTGAACTGACCTGCCCATCAGGCTCGAGGAAAATCACCGTCTCTCTGTCATGCAGAGGGATCAGGTGAAAATGCCAGTCGGAGAGGAGACGTGGACGTAGAGAGAATGACGATGTTGCTGGTTTTTTGCTGGTCCGTACGGTCGATTTCATCCCCGCCGTTTATCGGTTACTCGTTGCATGGGGAAGATTTTGGGACATTGCATTTGATCCAGGGGGCCATCAAGCGACGAGGAAAATAGAAGAGTAAAAAAATTGGGGGGGGGGGGGGAGTCATTCCGAGATTGGACGGTGAGGGAAATATGGACCCGGGGTTCGTTGTTCTGGCTTAGTCACGTACTTGGACGATTCAACCTGGAAGCGAGCCGGGATGGTGTCATAAGTTGGGCACGAACCCTGGGCAGAGGACGACGAAAGGAAAGAGACGATGGTATGGTGATGTGATGGTTTGGTCCTCCCTTCCGTCTTCGCTTCGACCCCCAAGTTCTTTCCTTCCGGTCCAGGATTTGATCATGTGGGTCTCTTCTTCCGACTCGGAATGTTATTGGATATGGTCCTACCGCTGGAAACACGGCTGACGCATGACCATGGCCTTCTAATTGGTTGGCTCTTTTCAATATCCACTACCCATGCATGCAGCCGGACCAGAGCGGGAAAGCGCTATGCAGTGTCCGAGTGATTGGTCGATATCCCTTGCCAGTTGTCCTAGTCCTAGGACCGACCCATAGTTAGCCCATTGCGGCGTCCGCTCCTTCCGCCCAACTGGCCAGCCCTTGTCTCTGCCTTTGTGGTGCGTTGTGGTGTGTTCCGGAAGGCGAAAACATGGAATGTCGTCTCCCCTGTCTCCCTGTCCCCCTTTTCCCTCTCCCAAGTCCTGTCTAGTCTACCCCCCGTGTCGTCCCTTTCCTCGTCCCACATCGTCTCTATCCTCACCTTCACCGTCAGTCAGACTTGTCAACTCCTCAGTATCGGTTTCGGTTTCGGTCTCAGTCTCCGTCTCAATCCCTCACTTCCTCTGTCCTCTCTGCCAACATCACCCAAAAAAAGAAAAAACCCCTATCCAGCTCACTAAACGAGTAAAGCCTACCTTTCACGGACTGGACTCACTCGGCAGGATGGAAACTCCCACATCGATGCAATAGACCCGCTTCAACAGCGTCGTCTTCGCTCGCTGCGAACGCAACCGTTTGGACTGTACCGATAACCCGCCTTGACTTGACTTGACACCGACTTCCCGTCCTCAGAGAGAGGGCCGGGACGATTACTACGACCTTTTATACCATGGACGATCCCATATACACCTGGCCATCGTGGAAGTTTGGAATGGAACGAGCCGACCTCTTTACCAAGCTACATGATCAGTACAACACCTTCTCCTTTACCCTCCAAGATCCCGACGCCTTCCACCATGACGTTTACGAGATTTCCACCGAGGCGAACACCGAGGCCGAGTTCCATCGCCTCATGGCCAAGCGCCGCCAGCAACGACTCGACCAACTAAACGAGTCCCTCCAATCCGTCGCCTTTGAAATCATCGGCAACCCCAAACTTATTGGCTCTGAGCAGTGGCCCATGGCCGTCCAGCTCTTCCGCACCCGCTCCTTCGACTCCCTCATCCGCTACTTCGCGAACTACCTACCCGAAGATTATTATCATCGCCACACAGATAACGATGCCGCCTCCACCATCTCGTCGTGCACTGACAGGAGTAGTCTGTATGCAGGGAGCACGAACGCCAGTAGTGTTGGCGATGTTGACGATGCGCAGTTCTTCCCCGAGCCCGCCGAGGAGAAGAAACCTGTCCCGTCTCGCGCCCCCATGCTGCGCGTCGACACCTCGTTCAAGACGTCCGAGCTCGCCGACCTACCCCCTTCTCCCCAGTCGATGACCATGCCATCCGACACGTCCGCCGTGTCCTCGCCCACGGAATCTCATCACCGCGACTACTGTCTCCACCACCCCTCGCCCGCCCGATCGTTGTCCTTTTCGGGGTCGGAATCGGCCACTTTTGGCCGAGATCGTTTGCTGCGTTTGAGCGAGAGGCGAGGACGGGAGGAGGACGAAGTGGAAATGGACGAGGAGGAGGAGGAGGAGGAAACGTCGCAGGCAGACGACTTTATTACCTCGGACGACTATTACACCATGGACGAGACCTTCAAAGAGGAAGACCTCGCTGCAGCCCAACTCCCGTGCGATATCTTCGACTCCATCATAGAGTCCATCGAGACCGATCCCCTTGATACCCCCACCCCCCAACCAGAGCGGAAAGCCACTATCAGCGCCGCCGCCACATCTACCGCCACATCTACCGCCACCTCTACCACCGCCACGACCACCCACGGCGACGCCAAAAAGCGTGCACCGACGATGATGCGCAACATAGCCTGCTCCCACCGAGAAACCCCACGAAACCACCGCCCCCACCGAAGCGGCAGCCCCAGAAGCATACGTCGCAGCCCCGAAGAGGCAGCTTGTCGGATATCGAAGCCTCTCCCGGAGACTGCGCGAGCGAGCAGGCAGCAGAAGGGGTGGAGGCAGGCTCTTGACTAGCATCAGTGGCGCCGCTTCGGTGGCAGCTTTGAGCGTCGGGCAGGAAGAGCAGGACGGATTTATAGGTGTTCGTCGGACAACGACGTCATCATGGGTCTGGCACTTCTGTACGCTTACGCACATAGTTCTAATTTGCTTTGTAGTTTCGGCGTTAGGCTTGATTCGTTTACTTTTGATTTTCTCCATTCTTTTGTTTTTGTTTTCTGGTTCAAAATTCCGTCGTGATGTTTTTCGGTCAAGTTCTGACCTTTCGGTTGTGATCTGAAGGTAAAGTCACGTTGGCGTTTTGATAAAACCGTTTATCATGCTGGGCTCTGTTTATCATTCCCGCCGCTTTGTCTTCCGTCAGACGACCCGACAAGGTAAAGTTGGCGTTTCGTTCGTGACCGTTACGAGGTGGCTGATGTTGAAATCCGAGACCACGGATGACCGTGTCATGTGCCTTCGTTCTGTCTTGAGCAACGGATGACTTGGACGGCTACCGTGGCTGTGTCTTTTGTTTCGAGTGCTCCTTTGTATTATTATTTCATGTCATTCATATATTCTTGAATTTTTTTTTTTTTTTTCATTTGTTCGATGCCAAACAAAACGGTTCGATCGACGATTCATGTCTGTTGGGGAGCACGGTGCGCGTGACAACTGGGGCGTTCAGGAAGTCTGGGACAATAATGGATAGATGGGTCAATGAGCCAACCTGCTGATGGCTTTCTCGGTTTTTGTTCGTTTTCGGGGGGTGTCTGGACTGTTTCTGTTTTGTTTACAAACAGGTTTGATCTCGCGCTGTCGTCTGGCCCTAGGTCCTGCCCTGCGTCACTGATGTGCCTAATTATTGATACCGCGCTGGGTAGACGGAGTTGTTCTTCTTTTAACCTCCCTTATGTGTCGTAAGCGGAGGAATACAGTCTGCTTTGTTCTTCAACCTTGACTAAATAATCGTATCCATCCCAAGGTACCTTAAGGTACTTAATACACCGAGTCACTTTGACTTGCAACTCACATCTGGAAACGTTTAACAACATGATGCATACTATCCGTTCCACAAGTACAGACTTCGATAACTTTGACCTTCTATCTTATTTTAAGTAAGGTACCTTAAGGTAGTGTACAGCATGATCTAGGTATATACATCTATTACAAGTTCAATCCATATATCCCGACGGATTGTACTCAAATCAGACAACGCACGCTGAGCTCCCCCAAAACTCCAGTTCCCAATATTACATACCTTACATGTACATGGTCCATCATGTAGCCTTCGAGGCAACCTCGCCACCATTCTCATTCTTCCACGACCCAGCATAATGATGAATCACCAACGGCGGCGGCACCACCTTCATGCCCGGGTACTTGTTCATCGACGCCGCAAAAGAATGCCCAGGCAGCACCAACACGTCCCCCACGAGCCTCGGCTGCTCCAACCTCCGAATCTCCGGCAACGTAGTGTTAAACTGCTCCTCAAACACCTTCACCAGATTCCGCGTGACGCGCCTGGGGCCCGTCCCGTCCACGACGTCCCCGATCATCTGCAGCGTCAGCCCCTGCGGCGGGACGTCGTGCTCGCGCATCTTCTCGTGGAAGAACCGCACAATGTCCTCGACCACGCGCCAGAGGTGCGGCGACCGCGGCTTGGCCATCATGGTCCAGGTGGCGAACTGGCGCAGGATGTTGTCGCCGTAGCCGCCGTCGAACTCCCACCCGACCACCACGGCGGTTTGGGCTTTGAGGTCGCCGGGGATCCAGTCGTCGATGGGCGCGTGGCAGGAGACGTCGAGGTCGCAGTAGACGCCGCCTTCGGCGAAGAGGAGGAGGTAGCGGAGGATGTCGGCTTTGAAGATGGGGACTGTCGAGGTGTGGTTGTCAGCATTGTGTGTGTGGGTTTTTTATTTTTATTTTTATTTTTATTTTTATAGGTAGTACATACCCGTGAGGTTGAGGTAGAGATCGACGAGATCGGGATCGGACTCCCCGAAGGTTCGGATCACGTAGGTGTCGGCCGCAGAGTCATTAAGGAACACGGCCTCGTAGTCTGTGTTGTTCTTGATGCAACTGTCGGTCCATGCTTGCGTCTTCTCGTTCAGACCCTTGGGTCCGAGCTTGTACCAGAGCTTCTTGGGTATTCCGGATAAAGGCTGCTCCGCTGGGGGAACGAAGGGCTGCTCCGGCGAGGACTGTCCCTGGCCCGGCGGTGTCGGTTCAGGCGGTGTCGGTTCCGGCGAGGTATGGTTCTCCGAGGCGCGGTGCGATCCGAGTCGACTGCTGACCCTCTGCAAGGCATCCAGGTCCCAGACACTCCAAAGAATAACGAGAGTAGAACATGAAAGGAACAATGCAACGAGTGTGATGATTCTGGAGCGTTTGGATGCTACGAGACGGTGGAGGAACAGCATAGCTGCTGCTGGTGGATTCTCTTGTTCGCTGAGACGTGGTGTTGCGAGAGCATGATGATGATGGCGGAAGCGGGCACGTTCAGTTTTTAGACCGTCAAATGGGGACGATACGAGAAAAAGGAGGCGAAGCGAAAGGATTTATTAGAGGGGAAATTTTTACCCAGAAAGGGACTTTTCTGATTTGCCAAGCGGCGTGCAGGAACACGCATAGAACGGGAAATGAGCCGGGGGGGGGGCCATAACCATACTGGCCTAGACACAATTTTGGGCGCCCGGCTTCTGCCTGCGTAGTGAGATCTGAATTCTGCATTCTACACGTACCTACTGAATCGCCAAACGGTCCAAGATACTAGCGCTTGGCATGGTCGCTGCCGGGCCCTGATCCATACTCTCGGGACGCTATCTTCAGGAGGGCAAACGGGAGTATGATTCGAACAGACCAGTCCTCATTTCAACCAGACATTACTCGGCATGTACGTGATGAGCTTCCGACCTCTTCGACCAGTGCCGACGTCAAGTTGGACTATTTTCGATGGTCATATTGACGCGGCGACGTCCCTAGTCGCGTCGCCCGTGCTAATCCCATGCCGATGCCGATGATAGGCAACAACCACGGTGCGACAGCCACGGACCCAGCCCAGAGCTGCAGGATAACACCAAGCAGCAATATGGACCGGTCGAGATGAGCTCTGTCGAACATGGAGTCCAGCAACTGTCAGTGTCTAAGGTAGTATAGTTACTTTATGATCTGGCGAACGTCTCTAATGGCTGCGCGTGATCGCGATCTCTGGCGAGTAGCAGACGGGATTACCATCTCCGCACATCAGACCTCTTTGATGGAAAAGACCACTGGATCGCCTCGCCCAGTTTCGCCCGCCTGCGCAGAGCACGCCATCGCCGTCGACCCGGAACTCACCTTCATCCCGTACCTGTTGGGGATCTACCTCCTGACGTTGAGTACCGAGTTTGAGGTGAGGTCATTTGAAAAGAATAAAAAGATATTACCATTTTCTTCTTATTCCTTTTTTTTCTTCTTCTTTTTTCTTTGTCTCCCGGTTGGGAAGGAAAAAGAGTGATACGGTCAGTGGTAAAGTTGCCTCCACCCCTCTCACCTCTCACGAAGGGTACCTTAGAAAGCTAAATACAGTAGCTCCGCTCCAGGGCGGGCTTACGTAACCGGCCCATCAGTACCGAGCACGGTATAAATACTAAATAGCGTGTCGCTCCACGTCCCGTATCCGTATAATACTCTGCAGATCGCTCCCAGGCGCCCTGTGACAGGTCCCCTGTATTCAGCAATTCATTGACAAGCTGGTCTCACCCGGTGTCACCCACCGCTGTCGACCATCCAGGCCTTCATCACCTCGCGCATCCTCGGCATCCGTCCCGTGCACGCCATGCGGAAGGTCATCCTCGGCTTCTTCGACGCGAGGGACAAGCGGGGGGTCAATGGCTCAATGCGACCTCGGCCCGCAAGGCGTACGATGCGTACTTTGAGCAGATTCTGTAGGAACATCAGACTCACAAAAGACCAGTGATAAAGAAGGCAAAGACGCCCAATATACCGATGAAGAGGATCAAGATGGGTGCTTTGACTGTCCAGCATCCTAGGACGGCCATCCACATGGATGCCACGATGGTCTGGAGGGAGGTGAGCCGGATGGTCGAGGAGTAGAAACCGAGGGAAAGGGGGAAATAGTACGCACTCGTCCGATGAACTCGATTGTTGTTCCGGGCTCGTTGAGTTCTGTGCAGCTTTGTCAGATCTCCAATGCTCTCACCATGACCCATGAGACAAGAATCATCATCTCAGTGCTATCATTCATCACCAGGGGAATACGGACGTGTAAATTGGACATTGTAGATTGCGCCGCCTGCAGGCTGCAGCCAAGAACAAAACCGCCAGAATAGAGAGATCTAGAAATCGACAGTCAGTCCCTCCTTTTACGAGAACACGGGATAAGAGTTGTTCAGGAGGACGACCCTATTCCAGACATGAGGGACAACTCACAATCGTCAATCAGCAGCTTCTTGTGATATCGCATGCCGTTCACAACTCTGAGGACGACCAAAAGGGCTGAGGCGGCATCGAAGACCACCGTGGCCGCCAGGAACCCTTCTGCTGTGACATCGGTCTGGAGAATATCACCGCCAGACTCTGACATGTTGAAAGCGATCAACGACGTTGGGGAATAATGCCAAGCTGATTGGAACTTAAGGACCACGGATTATGTCCATAGATGCCTGCGATAGGCGCCGAGCGAACCAGGCACTATGGATCTATGACATCTGGAAGGAATGGTCCGAAGTGGAAGAAAGAAGTATGCGATTGTCTGTCGGCAAATATAAGGACGAGATGGGTTGCTTGGCTGGGGGGTCCTCGTCACAGTCCTCAGTCCTGGGAGGTCAGGAAACAAGTCTATCATCTGACATCTGTCTCCCTGCGGTCATCTAAACCTCAGCAGTAGAAGTTCACCGACTATTGAACAGAGAGTCAGACACCCCGTCTGCCATGGATTCTCTCGTCCTCCTAAGTCTTCTCGCCGGAGTACTCTCCTTGTGTTTGGTGCCGGGATCTAGCAAAGACAGTGCAGTCCCCTAGGCCTACATATATTTACCAAGCCCATCTTATCTCCCTTAACTTCGCCGTCAACATCGACGACGCAGCCAAGCCCAACTACGATATTCAGCCATCTCGTAAAACCCATCGTGAAGCGCATCCGAGTCTGGGCTTACCTTTTAAACGGCCAAAAGATCATCCAAGAAGGTTACGATAAGGTAAGCCCGGTCGAGTTTAGTGCGTGTAGTCCCCTTTGGGGTTAAAAGGTGAGAGAACTAACCTTTATCAATATTAGTGAGCACTCGTCGACGTGCGCTCCAACCGTTCGATCTATCCGACGGCACCAAGCTTGCAGTTGGCGACTGGGCTTGCACCCCATCGGGGGCCATCATGCGAGACGAACGACACTACGCCGCCGCCTCAGAGTTCAATGGCTTCAGATTCGTGGATCCCGAGATTCTCGGTCGTATTGGGACCCAGTCCTCCTTTAACACTCCGCAGCCCAGGCCGTCCAAGCTGACTGACGTTGACAACACATTCCCCATGTGGGGGACGGGACGCATGAGTTGGTAGGAGTCTATCATTCCAGCCATCCTAGTTGATATAAATGGAAAGGAGTTTATAGAGCTGAGCTGATGGCTCAACTTGAGCAACCCCCCCTCGCCCCTATTTCTTTCATTGATTCTTCTTCATTTCCCTTGACATTGCGATGCGAGTTCCCAGCTTAGATAGAGAAGAGAAATCTTTACTTGAATGCTCCAAAGGATTAATCTTCCTCAAGCACATCCAAATCAGGGTCAACCAACTCTGATGACCACCTTAGAGAAGTGTCTCTTCTCCTGTAGCCTCTTATACGCCTCCTTAGCCTCATGTAGCTCGAACACAACGTCGTCAATAGCAGGGACAATGCCCTTCTCGTCGACAAAGCGCACCATATCCTCGAACTGCCTTCTGCTACCCAACAACAACCCCCTGGCCGTGCAAGCGTGCAAAAGCGCTCCCAGGAGAGGGACCGGCTCCGCCTCCCCGCCAGCCAATCCCACCACAAGCACAATCCCATCCGTCCGGACCGCCGCCAGAGATTGCGCAAGGGTAGCGTTCCCACCAATATCGACCACGAAATCGAAGCCCCTACCTCCAGGCGTCAGGTCCCGCGCCTCCGCACCCCACCCGTCCGGGTTCGTCCGGTAATCAACCGTATGTTTCGCCCCCAACCCGCGCAACCTCTCCGCCTTCCCCCCCGTGGACGTCGTAGCAACCACATCCGCCCCCACCGCCACCGCAAACTGCAGCGCCGCCACACTCACCCCTCCCGTTCCCTGCACGAGAACCCAGTCGCCGGCCCGCACCTCCCTCCCGCGGAGGCCGAAGAGCGCGTTCCACGCCGTCAACCCGCTGCACGTCAGCGTAGCGGTTCGCAACCAGCAGTCCAGCGATTCCGGCGCCCGCACGAGCGCATGGGACGCGAACACGCCCTCCGTGCGCAGCGTGCCGTCCACCGTCTGGCCCAACCCGCGGCCGATGTCCGAGAACGTTGCCGGGGCGTCGTCGCCCGCCGAGTCGACCACGTTGGGAGTTAAGTGCGTGACGACGCGGTCGCCCGGTTGGAAGCCGGTGACGGATGGTCCTACTGCTTTGACTATCCCCGCGCCGTCGGACCCGGGGACGACGTTCGGCGTGATGGTTCCTGCGGGGCCGTTCTACCGTGCAAAACGTTAGCCAGACCCTTCTCGTCTCCCTTCCTCTTTTGGCCCTGGGATGATGAGGGTATGAAAGGTTGGGCAACTTACTTCGACATTCGCGATGGCGAGTTCGCGAAAGTTGAGACTGGCTGCCCGAAGCTCAACCAAGACGTCGTGAGGTCCCAGCTCCACCGGCAATGTGACGCCCTCCTCGTATTTCAGAGATGTCTCGAAGCCTTTTTGGCCGGTCAAGGTCCATCGGTTGGCCATCTTCGTCTGTAGGAAGACGTGCTGTTGACTGCCCTCAATATGTTTGGAGACAATGGCAGGATATATGTAGTTTCGTGCAACAGTTATCGTTAGCCAACAACGTATAGACAGCAGAGGCTAATACTAAGAGCAACAAAACAGCAAGACGACGTTGTTATATATTTGGTCTTCAAGCTTTGATCCCTGACCCTGACCAGTGGAAGCGTCCCCCCCCTAGAATCGATGATTCAGGGGCTATCCAAAGCCCAATGGAGAGGACAAACAATAACGCTAACGACCGCTAATAGCGGAGATTCCCCGTAAATACGAGTCATGGGAGGCTATTTCGGTGCCAAGACGTCGTCAGGGACATCAGTAGCCGGAGGATGTGAATGTCTCAAAAGTCAAGGCTCATAAACCGACAACCTCACGGGTTCCGTCCCACGAGAGAAGGAACCCCATCGTATATATTACGATCGGCGGCTAGTTCAGACAACTTCCAGCGAGGCAGATTTCACTTGACACTTTCAAACACGTTCAGAGTATATGAAACCATCTTCAAATTGCATTGCTATCATCATCATATGCGAAACGTCCTCCAAAGCAAAAAGAAACGGAGTATATGAGACCGACAACTGACAACCAGGAAAAAGACGACGACATGTGGAGGGTCGCTTATCTTGTCATCATGCCCCTCAAACCTTTCGCTATTTCCAGCAGCCAGCCCGCGGCCCCGAGAAAAAGATCAGTAGTGCATCCAAGAACCTCCTCGCCCCGCCCCCTTTTTGTTGCGCACCCCCCGCCCGCCTACTCAACCCTTTGTGTTGCTGAGAAGAGAGGGAAAAAGATAAAGGCAAAGGTGCGAATTCGATTTGTCCAAATAAGCGGCGAACGAAGAAAAGGGAGCTTAGCCGGCGTAGCCAGCTTACTGGATGCCGTTGCCGTTGTAGGCGCTGCGGTTGGGAGAGCCGTTGAGGCTGCCGCCAATAGCGTTGGTGGTGGCGAGCTGGATGATGCGGTTCTTGACGGCGGCGGGGGTGTTGAGGTTCTCGAGGGCCTGGAGGTAGGCGGCGAGACCGGCGACGTGGGGGGAGGCCATGGAAGTGCCCGAGATGCTGCGGGTGGCGGAGGTGCCGCCAATGTACGAGGAGAGGACGTTCACACCGGCGGCGAAGACATCGACGGCGGCACCCCAGTTGGAGAACGAGGCACGGTTCCAGTTGCTGTCGTAGGCACCGACGGTGATGGCCGAGGCGGCGGAGGCGGGGGAGACGTTGGCGGCGTTCTGGTTCTCGTTACCGGCGGCGACGACGCTGAGGACACCGGAGTTGGAGGCGGAGTTGACGGCGTTGTTGAAGGCGGACGAGAAGCCACCACCGAGGGACATGTTGAGGACCGAGCGGCTGGCGCCGCGCCTGATGGCGTCGTTGACGGCCCAGTTGAAGCCGTTCAGAATGATCGAAGTCGACGAGGAGCTGCCGGAGAAGACCTTGATCGAGATGAGGGTGGTGGCCTTGGCAACACCGTAGGTGGCACCGCCAATGGTACCGGCAACGTGGGTGCCGTGGCCGTTGGTGTCGGTGTGGGAACCGCCGACCGCGTTGTAGCCGAGAATGGCACGGCCCTGGAACTGGCTGTGGCTAGTCAGAATGCCAGTGTCGATGACATACGAGAAGGTGCCACGGCCGGCACTGTCATCGTAGACGTAGCGGGTGTTGCCGCGGGTGCGGGACGAGATGGAGCCCAGGCCGTAGGGGGCGTTGCTCTGGGCCACCAGCGCGAAGAGGGTCCAAATCTGGTCCGCCTCGACAGCCTCGACCTGCAAGTGCACATTATATTAGTCACGGTTTCGAGGAAGGGGGGGTGGGCGAAGGAGGCATCTCATTCTCACCTCGGGGCTGTTCTTGATGGCCTCGATGGTCTCCTCGTCGAACTCGCCAGAGTAGGCATGGAAGTCCTTGATGTCGAAGGTCTGATCGACGCCGCTCATGTCGCGCTTGTGAAGGCTACGGGCGTGGACGCCATCGACCCAGCTCAGGTGGGACTGGACATCCTGCTCCTCGAGGGTGCTCTTGAGGGTGACGATGTACTTTCCGGGGATGGTGGAAGCAACGGTGCCGTAAGAGACTTCCTCGGTGGGGAGCTCCTGGGCAGGGGCAGCGAGGCCGAGGGGGGCGAAGGCCGCCGCGAAGACGGTGATGCGACGGAAGTTAACCATTTTGACAAGTCGAGGTGGGCAAGATCGTAGATCAGGGGCAGAGGCTTGGATGGAAGGTTGAGGCGGATGATGACAAGATCGGCGTGATGAGGCAAGAAAGAAAAAGGGATCTTCAGGGCGGGGATCGACGCCTCTCTTTATAGCTTTTCTCGGCTCATCAACCCCGTCCGAGTTCAACGGGGACGATGGAGATCATGGGGGTGGATGGCATCCCTAGGGTGGCGCCCAGAGGGAAGCGCCCGACCCGGGGCACGGGCGTCAACGGCGGTACGGCGCCCGAACGGGAGGGGAGGTCATGGTCGGCGGGAATTTTCGTTCGTCTCGAGGCTCCAGAGGCAGAGGCAGAGGTAGGGCCAGAGCCAAGAGACAAACGACTTGCCCTATCCAGGTAACCAGCTCATGATGCCAGCCGGCGCGCAGATGTCGTCGATAACGATGATGCGCAAAGGGGAAGGAGGAAGACGCATGACGCAACCATCGCGACGAGAGTAGACTTGCTCATCGGCGGCGAGAACGCGGGGCCAGGTCATGAAAGAGGAAGCTGAAGTGTGAACATGGGACAGGGTAGTCGGCGCATGAGATCTGTGGATGACGGGGGAGGGCCCGTGGGGGGCATGTCGACCTAGTCGTTCTCGACGATTCCACCTGGCGATGCGACAGAGGAGTATCACGCGCGCCGACTCCGCAGGTGATGGCTGGGGACACTAGGCAGGGTCCCAAGCTTCACGGAAGCCCGGCGCAGGCTGGTGCTTGGCTATTTCTCGCCTGGGGGCAGCCGAGTTGGGCTCAGAAAGGTCCGCGAGGCACGCTCCCGCTTCCGCTGACGCTAAAGTCCATTGTAAGTGCTGCTCCTGCTCCGTACGTACCCCAGACACACATTCAAAGGCAACAGGGGTACTGTGCTCCAAGGTGAACTCGGCAACTTGATATGAGGGGCAGGAGAACGAGGAGAACGACGCCGGCGCTAGGGGCGCTGGTTCACGACTATTACCATGGTACGTCGGCAGTTGAACCAGCTTGGAACACAACCACAGGGGTCAGGGGCCTCAGGACCGTCAGGGCTGTCAGTGTGGGAAGTGTTCGAGAACTCACGTGATGCTCGTGAACCGGGAAGCGCAGGGAGATAACCCATGGCATGCTGTACGTTAGGTATGCTCCAGTGTGCATGAAGAATACTCCAATACTTCTTTGTCATCGCCTGATTACTTCGTACAGTACGCAATCCAAGAGCCAGATGGAGGTAGAACCGGGGGGCCGGGTTGTCTCGCACATGAGTAGAGAGATCTTGGAGGAATGCCGGAATGTGAAGAGGGTGCGGCGGGGGGATACCCCGGTGCCCAATCCGAGGAACGCTTTACGACAGGGTCATTCCAACTGCCGCAATTGTACCTTAGCTCCGAGACTGGCTGGATATACAACGTACTGTGGCGTATCCCTCGAGATAATGGTACAGTCCATACTCTGGGGGAGCGGGCCCAAGGGACAACAGGGTCGACAACTGAGAAACAAGACGATCAAGCTGATCCGGTTCGTTCGGAAGTGCGAGATGGTCGATCCTTCTGGCGTTTTGAGTGGCCCAGGTTATGTCCGGGAATTGGGGCATAATACTGCTTGCCTGTTTCTACCAGGTTCTCCGCGCTGACCACTTCAACAGTAAGGGAATACCTAATGCCTGATATCCAGAGAAGCACAGTACGCACTTGCATATGCTGTTATGGCGGGGAACGGGGGCTCCTTTTTGGTAAGTCGCGCTCTTGCGATTTGGAACAAGTCGGTCCTGGCAAATCGTAGGGGACAAGTCGAATCCCAGTCGAGTGCGAAACGGGTCGAAGTCAAGTTGAGTAGCAAAGCCGACGAGGAGGGGAATTTGGGCTCGGGGAACAGGATGGATGGGCCAGCTGGGGAAGCACACAAGACGTTGTCGCCTTCCTAATTTGGAGATCCGGCCCGCCCTAGGTGACCTTATTCAGGTGGTCAGGCGAATGGGGCACGGCGCTATGCTTGGCTTCTTATGCGCGCTATCTACCCTTTTTAGGAGTTCGAGTTCGAGTGTGTGCGTTATATGAGCGAGTTAGAACATGACGAATCTGCTGCATTGGTATATTAGTTCATGGCTGAGTAGCGATGGTGAGGAAAAGGACCAAGGACAGACAAGCCAGACGAGATGGGATAGGATGTATGTAAGAAGCCCGAAACGGGCGAACAACGAGCCAGACTCGCGCGACTAACTGCCATCATCGGGATAATCGCTGCGTGTCTCCATGACCAGCAGCGGGTAAAGTGCAGGACAAGCAAGGGATATCCGATAGGCGATCTGCTGCGAGCATGCACTACCGGGGTATGATCACGCACAGGGAGAGAGGGTCGGTGTCAGTCACTGGTCAGTGCCTCGCTGTCCGTCCGTGGAGTACATGAAGAAGAGCAGGGAATGGAGTGTGTCGTGTCGTGGTCCTGATCGGGATAGCGGCACGAAGGGTTGTGATCCAGAAGGGTGGGCCGAGGTTCCCGAGAGTAATTGGAACGATGAAAATGGAGATGGAAGTGGAAGAAGAGAAAGGGGAAGGGGGAAAAACGGGGTGGTGGTAAATTGGACGGAGGAGAGATGGCGGCGTTCGTCCGTGCTTCTTAGACGATACGTACCTACGCTGGTAAAGGTATCTTATACCTTTGGTTCTATAGAGCTCTTGGTGTGTTTATCTGTACTTGTACACAGTTAAATCTCTAATCCCCTGTTGAAACCAGATCGGCAGTCGTCCGATCTAGTGGGGCCCTAGTATCGTCCGGAGGGGAAGGGGCAGGGGACAGGCACGATCATTTTGATGTTGACTCAGGGCTCCTTCCATCACTCCTGCCACTATAGGAATATCCTCAATTTCCTCAAAGTATACCTTACCTTAGGTAGTTAATCGGTACGCCACCTTACGTACACTGTCCGTAGTGAACCTCCGTATGCGTCAGGTATAGTGATGACCCGGATGGATTTTCACATGCACGATACGTTGTTATTTCGAAGTACCTTATGTGGGGTATAACACTACCTTGACAGGGACCATATCGGAATTAGAGTCTCTCATTTTCAACGGTTGGAAACGTTTCTTCCGGACTGCGGATAGCAGAAACCCGTCCTTGACTAACACAAAGGGCAGTCGTGATAAGCTACCTACCTAGACAAAGGCCAAGCTCCCAGCTTCGGCAGTGATGGTTTTGAAACTAACTTCTTTAGTGAGGTGCATTTCAATCGCGTCGGTTTAACCTTGAGCAGAATACCTGAACATAATCGCGCATGACCGTGGGCCAGCCTTTCGGAGATGGATAAATTCCACTGTCGCGGTGGGCTGTATGCAGTACATAGCTATACGGGATGTACGAAGTAGATACCCGTTCCTTAATTTCATAATAGCAGAGACTTTGGCGTATGCCCCCACGCTGGGTACATCGACACAGAAAGTGCGTAGGTACAGTTTACGTCTACCAATCACACAACATACGTTGTATGGCAGGTGGGGACTTCACACATCAAGGTAGGCAGGGGGGGAGGGTGCATTGCATTATCTCATCATCACTCTGCATTCGTCTATCTGCGCTTACCCAATCTCTAAACCCCACGTCTTCTCTTCTTCTCTCGTCTTCTCTCGCATAATCACATCAGTTGTCGTGTGCTCTGTCCGCTGAAGGACACCGAACCCATTGTACCCCCTGTTCTCCGCGAGATGATCTCGTCCTACTTGGTAGATCGAGAAATGGGTTGTGCATGGGAAGGTAAATCATCGCTTGCTTCATCAGCGTCTTGTGGGTGTCGACCACTTTGTTGTTCGCTGCCCCCCCTCCCTACCCCTAGGCATCTCCGACTCTCCAACTCTCCGACGCGCTCACTATCACCAACGAACAAAATATCCATCTGACGGCCGTATCCATAGTTTACATCGCACCCCATCAATTCCCCCACGGCGCGGCCCGGTGCAGGCGATACTAATCTCGGATTTCCAAGCCCCAGAAATCCTCCCGTTGTCAGTTGGTGCACGATGATGAGCTGCGCCACTTCAGCCATATCACGCAACCGCTGGCGCCGCTGGGAATCGGGACTCGCAAAGGAACAGACAAAAACGAATGCACATTGAAGGCCCAGAGAGTAATCCCTCTTGGTTGCAAAGTACGTACTTGCAGACAAGCCACTGAAGCAAGCCCAGCCTTCCTTTCGACACATGACCTTCTCGTATGTTTCTAGAAAATGCAACGCAACCTCTTGTCCTGCCTTGTCTAAATTGAGTCGACGAACCAAGCTGTTGAATTACCAGGTCAACCCATGCTGGGGGAGTGAAGATCTCCGCCGAAGCAGGGAGGCGGCGAACTCCCTGCACGGTGCACCGTCAGCCGTCCGTCCCGTCATGTCTCGCGGAGAACGCCATTGACTATGGTGGCGCTCGTCATGGTGTGCCTACGGAGTATTACTGAGTAATGACCATGCTGCATGCATCGAACATGCACCCGATAAATCAAACAGCCTTTGGTAACACAGATGACCTACCTACCTGCACGGGTGCGCGGCAAGATGCCCCTCTCCCCAAAGCGCCGCGTCCTCCCTCCGTTTTGATTGCCGTGCCGCGGCCGCCACCCAGCCAGTTTGCGACGACCGAGCTAAGCCTGCAACGCAACCCAACCTTAACAGCCTCGAGTATCTCAATTCAGCAGGTCGTCTGCTTTTCGACAAGAACTCTTACGGCGTGCTACGCTGACGCGATAACGCAGGCTCGTTGTATCGATCCGACTGCCACACACCACACCTCGTCTCGTCGACGATGAGACAACTTCCTCTCTTGGTCACGATCCCCGCCTTGCGCACCACCACCTTCGTGACCTGCCCAGGGAACCAGGCGAAAGGAGCCGGGAACACCTCAAGGCCTCACTCGGAATATGAACCTTCCCTCCATCCTCTCAGCATCTGGTGGTTGTTGTCAAAGCCTCCGCCACTGGCAGTCGAAACCACCTCACCATCTTCTATCTTATGGCACTTGCCGGATCGTCGTGATGCATTTTGATTGCCAAGGCACCTCGTTACCATTGGATCCCCCTCCTCCCTCGACTTTTCTCGACGCAGAACGTCACCGGAATCATGTCACCCTCCTAAACGGGTCTGTCACTGGAGTCTTCACCCGTCCCTCCTTCGGCTTTAAACAAGCGCTTCGCTTTGCGTTCTGCCGCAGCTTGATTGCCGAAGGTAGCCATGACACTCCCTCCTCGAGTCCTCTCGTTCTCTCGACATTCCTTTTTCCAGGCGCGAAGGAGCAGCTTGCTGTGCTGTCCCCCCCACCCTCCGACTCCCATCTCAATACCCACGCCAGCTGTCTAGGGCGCCATGAACCCGAATGAAGAGCCATTACCAGAAACCCCCAAGTCTCGGCGCATGTCCAGCCAAGTATCACTTTTGACCCCTTCGCTTCTATTCGCTCCTTTCGGCGAGCTTTGGACTTCAATAGTGAATGTCCCGTTCAGCTACCATCTTACACAGGTCTTGGATTGCCCCGCCTAAAACCAGCCTGCCCAACCCCGCTACATCTCAGGATTGGACTTGCCCTATTCGGTGCGTTAAGAGACGGCGACTCGGACACACGTTCGGTCCCCGTCCAGTGTCCCGCAGTATTGTTCGGAAACAGACGAGTAGTAGTATAGTTCACAGGAAACGGCGCATCTGGGCGAGGGCAGGCTGCAGGGGAGAGAGGGAGATGGCAGGTTGACGGGGAAGCGCTCCAGCTCGCAGAAGGGAGGGGGATAATCGCGTCATTTCGTTCCTGGGCGCGTCGACTTGCATAGGTGTCTTCATGCGGTCGGTGCAGTGGCGGCAACCAGATCTCGTAAGGCGTGCTCGGGTCCTCGGCATCTTTGTTAGGGTCTCGGAGACCGATGTCAGGGTCAAGGCCTAATCCTCATCACACTAAGGGCCTGCCGCAGTTGCGGCCTCCTGCACATCTAAGCCCAGTGGCTGGCTTGGATACAGGTTGATTTCAAAGCAACTTGAAACCTTGTTGACCTTGGATGTTTTGGTGGTTGTCGATGTATTGAGGCACTGCTTTTTGCCATAGCATACCTAGCAGAAAGGACCTGAATATGGAAGGTCGTTCTCTGAGGACTGAGAGAGTGCGTTCAATGTTTGAATCAACGGTACGAAGCAAAGGTCAACGGCGGTTCGAAGACCTGGTCGTCAGTACTCGCTTTCTCTCTCTCTCTTTCTTTCTCCTTCACTCCCCCTGCTCTGACAATCTACGGTCATACAATATTTCCCCTTCTTGACCAACGTTCCCAAACGTCTTTCCCGACTTTATAACTTCAAAAAGTAGCGTACCTTGGTCCTTGGGCCAGATATTACAACAACACGGGCTTGATTCTCTGCAAATCCACGTTATACCGCTCCGGTGCTGTGCAGGAGTCTTCTCGGAGCGTAAGGAATAAGATTACACATATATGTTCCTCTGCACCTGAATCGTATATCAACACCATCTAACTCACCAGACCCGAGCTTATCGCTTAGAGACATCGGTGTCGTTACTCACATCATTGAAAGTAAGTAAATGGATGATGCCGAAGATATATTGTGCAACCATTACGCAGACTGCCTACTGGGTCAGTTCGGCGCGCTTGAGCTAGGGGAAGTAACGTAAACTTCCCGAGTCGGCAATAGGTACCGCGATTGGTTGTAAGCCTTGATTGGTGTCAAAACAGTACCTTAATGGGCTTACCGGGCCACGAGGTGTTTTCCAGGTAGCTCTGGTCAAGTTGACTTTCTATCTCCACGTGGGAGCCATAGGTCGGGCGACGTGGATTTGGGTAGCGAACTACTACGAGAATGCGTGACCACTAGATTGTGAGTTGGCTTTCTGGACTGTCATGCTGGGACCCATGATATACCTTTGGAGAGCACATTGGCCAGTTGACAGAGCTCATGTTGCCATCTCGGGTTGCTAGCTTTTAGGTTCTGACAACCGAATCAAGCCAGACTGACAGACTAGTTTATGGGAATCTGCACCGATCTTGGTTGGGTTGAAAGTTCTAGCTACCTACCGTATACCGGATCCGAACCACGATAGTGCGGGTAAGACTCAGATTCAGTGCAGGTACATCAGCCATGTTCACGGCCCAGTCACAGGACCACGGTTGGCAACAGTATAGTGGAAGCTCTTTACGGAAATGAGGCAATTTTGACGGCTTCGACTTTGTTAATGTCGGACTTCCGAACCTAGAGTCGCAACTTAATGCCAAATATCCACAGCTTGTGGTTTGTTATACGCGTGCCTTGAGAGACTGGCTGGCGGTGTCATGTCCGTCCGGCGTCCGTGTTTTTCCCATTTCATCCGCTGAAGGAATCCCCGTGGTATCGTACACAGTGTAGGATGAATCACTTCAAAACTACCTTTCATAACAATAGTTCTTAACAGCAGTCCCCTAGAGACTTCTAGGTGTTTTTATATATGCCGGCTTTGTGGGAACTTGAAGTGACCAAGTTCCATGATTTCTCTCCTGGAGAACCTAAGGATCTCAAAGAGTCAAAGATATGAACCATCACTGACACATATCAAACGACACTACGAGGCAATCCACGCAACCGAACAAGCTTACAAGTTTATTATACCAACTCGACTACTTCAAAGTTTATGATGTACGGCGCAACAACATGCATCGCCGTGATGTACGGTGGCGTAGGTCTCGGAGAAGGCGCAGACATAGAAGCCCCGGGGGAGAGAGGGGGGGGTCGTCCGAAGACAGCTGCGGGCCAGCGGATGGTAAAAGTCGAGTCCTGGCATTGCCAAAGATCTGCACTCTGCAGCTATGCGGCCTCGTGTAGCAATAAATGCTGTGGAGGGGGTGTCTGTATCTCATGGAGACCATTGTCACTGTCGTCCATCGACCTTGGGCGACCGCGACTTATGACCCAGGACTCACGTCACGATTTAGATTTCGTGAATTGGAGTCCCGATATAAGGGAGCCGAAGTGGAGGGAATCGACCCAGGACAACTCTGCGGCGCAAGTCAAGGAGTGAAGACTGATGCTATATGCTCATCATGAGGAGGGGATAGATGTGGATACTAAAATAGGAGGAGCATGGCCGATCCATTCCCCATGAGTCATGCCTTGGCATGGCTTAGCGAGAAATTGTCCGTACTATTGTACGGAGTACAAACCTGGAAAGGACTCGGTATGGATCGTCGGATATCACGATTCACTTGGACGGCTTTTAGAAGAGCTAATCTTATCTGATGAACTGTAATCTTATCAGATCAAATATCTCCACATTTGCCCTGAAGGGGCAAGTCACATGACTACATTGCCCACATTCTGGCCACCAATTTCCACTCCCCACTCCAAATTCAACAAACCTGCACCACTGTTTTGCATTCGCCCACTCCTCTATCCACTCCTCATCCACTCCTCATCCACTCCTCTATCCATTCAGAAGCCGCGCTGCCGGCGCTGCTTCGGTTGCTCGGGCACCAAGAGAACCATAGATTTCCACGACTCACGGCTTTCCTCGTCATGAACCCGCACACGCACATCTTTGGTTCTAATTCTCCAGTCATTCAAGCCGTGACAATGACAGTCTCGCCTCGATCACCTCAACGTTTCAACGTCCCAGCCTCCTGAGCGCCGAAATGTCTGACCAATCCTCATGGAGCATTGGACAGACCCCTGTCCCTGAACGAAAACTCCGCTCCCGTTACCATTCGTCACCATGGACCATGGCACTCATTCAGCCAATGCTAGCTCTGGTAGCACAGCCAAGTGGCTCTAGCCGAGGAAGGGAGAAAATATTATCAGATCTTTTTTTCTCCTTCTCCTGTACACTAGCTGATTAGCTACCCGTGCCCTCTCATTTCGACTCAAATTTTATCAGATCCGAGCCCGGCATCGGAGACGGCTACCGAGCACGACATGCATTCGACAAGCTCCCACCCCTTGTCTTGACTCTTGTGGTCCCCTCATCGACCAACACATACCGTCTTCCACCGTTCCCCTCTTCAAAATTGTTCGACTGCCCACACCTTGTATTTCTCACGTCGCCTTTCCATCTCGGCCCCGGCACATTGCATCGACGACTAACTGAGCGACGCGCTCCCCCCATTCGATCCGTGACGAACGAACAGCTACTGGTTCAGGCGATCGAACAGGGCCATCTCCAATTTTTCGCGTCTGCATGGCGTGTGCTGTCCCGCGTCGTTTGCTTGGGACTTGAGGCGGAATTGAGAGAGACGCCATGGCGACCGTAACTGAGAATGAAGCAGTGGCTTCCTCCACCCCCGTCTCCGAAACCAAGGAACAGCTTCCTGAGCAACCTCCATCTCCTGCGTCAGGAGGAGATGACAAGAAAGACACCACGGAGAAGCCCAAGAACGGCATGCCGGTATGACCCCTCGTCCATTTCTTCCCTCCCACTGCTTGGGCGCCGATCGGCGGACTCCACGATTAACGCCCGGTTCTTCTTTTGCCCTCCCAGCTTCACAAACAAGCAGTAATCTTCTTCCGTCTGCTCTTTGCCGCCCAGCCAACATGGCTCGACGTAACACTTATCATCCTGGGGACGATCTTCGCCATCGCCGCCGGCACCCCATTCCCCCTCATGGCCATCCTCTTCGGCCAACTCGTAGACGACCTCAACGACGCCACCTGCGCCGCGACTGGATCGACCGACGTGGACCCCTTCTCCTACGGGCCCGCCATCAACAGCAAGGTGCTCCAGATGGTCTACATCGCCATCGCCGCCTTCGTCCTCATCTACGCCTACATCCTCGCCTGGGGCGTCATCTCCCAGCGCCTCGCCCAGCGCCTCCGCATCCGCTACCTCCAGGCCCTCCTCCGCCAGCCGCCGTCCTTCTTCGACGCCCGCGTCAACGTCGGCGAGGTGTCGTCCCGCCTCCACGGCGACATCACCGCCATCCAGGCCGGCACCTCCGAGAAGGTCGGCATCTGCATCTCCACCCTCAGCTTCTTCGTCACCGCCTTTGTCGTCGCCTTCACCCGCGAGGCCCGCCTCGCCGGCATGCTCACCTCCATGGTTCCCGCCTTCCTCCTCATGTCGCTCGTCGGCGGCGCGTTCCTCAGCAAGCTTGCCGTGCAAATGTCCAACTCGGTCGCCTCGGCTTCGTCGCTCGCCGGCGAGTGCTTGTCCAACATCTCCGTCGTCCAGGCGTTCGGTGCCGCTCCCCGCTTGGAAGCCAAGTTTGCGAGTTTGGTGTCGGACGCGAACAAGGCCGGTATTCGCAAGGCCGCCGTCGCCGCCTTGCAAGCCGGCTTGTTGTACTTTATCGCCTATTCGGGCAATGCTCTCGCTTTCTGGCAGGGAAGTATCCTCATTGCCGAGACCATCGAGGGGCGTGGCAGTGGTACTTCTGTCGGTCATATCTACACGATTATCCTCGTCCTGGTTGATGGTAGGTCCGCGACGTCCCTGTCCCCAATTCTTGCTGACCGCCCCGGTCTTGACTGCTAACTCCCCATCTCCCCAGCCTGCGTCATGTTGGGATCCATCGCGCCTCTGATGCCCCTTTTCGGCGGCGCCTCCGCCGCCTACCAGCGCCTCCTCGAAGATATAGAGTATCCCTCTCTGATCGATGGAACCTCGGAAACCGGTCACGCCTTGACTGCCAACAACGTGGACGCATCAGGGATCAAGTTCAACAACGTGTCTTTTGCCTACCCTACTCGTCCCGAGCAGCCTGTGCTTCGCAACCTGAACCTCAGTTTCCCGGCTGGAAAATACACCGCCATCGTCGGCCTCTCAGGCAGTGGGAAGTCTACCATCGCATCTCTCATTGCCCGACTTCAGGATCCGGCCGAGGGCACCATCACCATTGACGGACACGACCTGCGGGACGTCAATGTCAGGAGCCTCAGAAGCCTTGTGGGCTTCGTCCAACAAGAGCCGTCGCTGCTCAACGCCTCGATCTTGTCGAACATTGCCTTTGGCCTCGTCAATTCCCCGAATCCATCCCACCAACACCTGAAGGACTTCTTTTACGGACCTAAACTGGCAGAGCTGGCCGAAAAGGGAAATGATATCGTCTCCTCTGCACCGGCATTCGGCCCAGAAGCAGTAGAGATCGTCGAGCTGGTACGTCAGGCCGCCGAGCAAGCGGACGCGGCCTCCTTCATCGAACGTCTCGAGAACGGCTACGGCAGCAACGCCGGCCCCAAGGGAACCCTCGTGAGCGGCGGCCAGCGGCAGCGCGTGGCCCTCGCCCAGGCGCTGATCCGCGACCCGCGCATCCTCGTCCTCGACGAGGCGACGTCCGCCTTGGACTCGGCCAGCGAGCGGCGCATCCAGGAAGCCGTGGAGAGGGCGGCCAAGCACCGCACCGTCATCTCCATCGCCCACCGACTCTCGACCATCCGCAACGCCGACAACATCGTCGTCATGGACGCCGGGCAGGTCGTCGAACAGGGCACGTACGCGGAGCTGATGGCGCGGGGGGACGGTGCGTTCCGTCGCATGGCCGACCTGCAGACTCTCTCGACGAAGGATTGGACCGAAGGGGGTTCGGTTTCTGGCGATTCGCTCGATACGTCGACGCTCAAGACGGAAGGGCCTGCGACGAGCGAACGTATGGTTTCGGCACAGGATGAAGACGGCGGAGATGGTAAAAAGCCCAAGGGCGAAAACGAGGAGGAGCAGAAAGATACCGAAGAGCCCAAGACGGAGCTGGATACCAAGCAATCTCTGGGCTTCGTAGTCAAGGGCCTGGGCCGGCTCGTTCGGCCTTCGCTTGGCTGGCTCGTGGTCGCCATGATCGCGGCAGTCCTCGTCGGCGCGACCTTCTCGTCGGCGGCTCTGATTCTGGGCTTCACCGTCGGCGAGCTCAACCCTTGCAGCAGCACGGTGGACCGCATCCTCTCGATGGGCCAGCTCTTCTCGGGCCTCATGTTCATGCTGGCGGTGGTGGAGCTCTTCGCCAACTTCTTCGCCTGGTCGTGCTTCGGCGTCGTGGCCGAGAAGCTCCTCTACGTGGTGCGCGTGCTCTCGTTCCGGTCCCTCATGGAGCAGCCCATGCAATGGCACCAGGCCGAGACGCCGGCGAAGCTGCTGGGCATCATCACGAAGGACAGCGCCGCCATCGGCGGGTTCAGCGGGTCCACCATCGGCACCGTGTTCGCCGTCGCCGTCAACTTCCTCGTGGCCATCATTCTGTCGCACATCATCGCGTGGAAGATCGCCATCGTGGCGCTCGCGTCCATCCCCCTCCTCCTCGGCGCGGGCATCATGCAGCTCCGCATGCTCGCGCGCTACGAGGAGAAGAACGCCGGCGCTTTTGCCGACGCCACGGCCGTGGCCGTCGAGGCGGTGCAGTCCATCCGCACGGTGGCCTCCCTCTCTCTCGAGCGCGAGATCATGGGCACCTATGGCCGTCTCCTGAGGGGACCGCAGAAGCTCATCTTCCGCGCCTCGGCTTCGACCAACGTCTGGCTCGCCCTGACACACACCTCCGGCACGCTGATCTACTGTCTTTCGTACTGGTGGGGTTCTCGGCTCATCATGCGGGGGGAGTACACGCAGACGCAGTTCTTCATCATCCTCATTGCCATGCTGGTCAGCGCACAGCTCTGGGGTACCATGTTTACGCTGGCGCCCGAGTTCTCCCGCGCGCGTACCGCCGTCTCGCGGACCATGAACATTCTTAGTCTGGGGTCGACTAAGGACTTTAGCAAGACGGGCGTGCAGGCCAAGTCGGTCACGGGGTGGGGAAGCGGTAGCGGTAGCGGTAGCGGCAGCGGCCGAGGCAGAGGCAGCGGCGGCGACAGCGGCTACCAACCAGACCAAGACATCGAATCCGTCGCAGAATCATCCAAAACCCAGGGCGCTTCCTCCCCCGAGAACCGCGGCGTCAAGATCACATTCACCAACGTCTGGTTCGCCTACCCCAACCGCCCCGACGTCCCGGTCCTGGACGACATCTCCTTCACCATCCAACCGGGCCAATTCTGCGGCCTCGTCGGCCCGTCCGGCGCAGGAAAATCCACCATCATGTCCCTCGTGCAGCGGCTCTACACGCCCATCTCCGGCACCGTCCTCCTAGACGGCCACGACATGGCGTGCCTCCCGGCAACCTCCCCCCTGCGGGACGCCATCGCGCTCGTCCCGCAAGACCCGACGCTCTTCGACGGCAGCGTACGCTTCAACGTCTCCCTGGGGGCGAAACCAGGCCACGATCCCAGCGACGCGGAGATCGAAGAGGCCTGCCGGCTCGCCAACGTGCACGACGTGATCGCGGCGCTGCCGGAGGGGTACGACACCGAGTGCGGGCCGGGGGCGACGCGGCTGTCGGGCGGGCAGAGGCAGCGGCTCGCGATCGCGCGGGCGCTGGTGCGCCGGCCGAGGCTGCTGCTGCTGGACGAGAGCACGAGTGCGCTGGACGCGGCGAGCGAGGCGGCGTTGCAGCAGGGGCTGGAGAGGGCGTCGCGCGGGACGACGGTGTTGGCGATTACGCATCGGTTGCATACGGTGCAGCGGGCGGATGTCATTTTCGTGGTGGAGGGGGGGCGGATCGTGGATCAGGGAAGGCATGTTGAGTTGATGGAGCGGAGGGAGAGTTATCGCGTTAATGCCATGCAGCAGATGTTGCAGTGAAGGGGTGGATGGTGGATAATAGAACTGAGGTGGATAGCTAGCATTTTGAATTGGTAGGATATGCAGCATGCACCCGGTATCAAGATGGAATAAAAAGCAAATCCCATTTTCTTCTAATTCCTTTTTTTTTTTCCCTTTTTTTTTTTGCACCCCCAGGGGGCCGGCCGTTGTCCCGAGGTCTGCGCCAGCGCCCCTTGATTTCCAACCAGGCATGTCAGGTCACTAAAACATAGCATGCATTAACATACACTCCATGCCGACGGTACGTAGACACACTTCTTTACGCTGCTTTTCCGTAGACTTATAACGGGCTAGTAGTATGTTTACGAGAGATGATTCGGGATCTGTACGGGGTTATGGTCGAAGCCTTCCGACACGCCATACCTAGACATACTCTTCGTACAATGCCTACCAAACATATACAGATCGTAGTGAGAAGCGGGAAAGGAGGTCTGGGGGGGGGCGATGATGGAATTTCCTCAGCAATCTTTGCGTCGTTGAAGCAACAAAAAGGAGCTTTCCCTCCGGGCGTCCTGGGCACTTGCATGTGCCGGCCTCCACCCCAACCTCTACCGGGCCTATCCCCGTCTTCCCACGTTGACAGTTTTATGCAGCGGAGGACCAGTCGCCGACCCGACGTCTGAATAGTTAGAGGCAACCAGGCCACACTGTTGCAGTGATAGATATGAGGAGTAAAAAGGAAAGGAAGAGCACCAACAACTGTGACGTCAGTCACGTCACTGCGCGTGTCCGTCACGTCTACGCCCGTAGCGACACCCGTAGCGACGGAGTATAGATAATAGGAGAATGGGAATGAGTCTGGACTCTGGAGAGGGTCAAGGCTTGTGTTATAAAGGAAAGCTCCGATAGTGCAGCGAGTTTTGAAGTTAGTATTACCACAGACGCCCGGGCATTGCACGACATGAAGCGAACGGTCCGTCTTGGACTGGATCAAATCACACAGCACGGGAACGAGACACGTCGAGTATGGTGTACCAAACCTACCACGGGCTTGTCTTCGATACCGCCAGTTGATATCTGCGACAGTGGGGACGGCAGTGATGTGACAGCATCGGAGAGGCTCGTCGCGTGGTCAGGGACTCAGGGCGAACCAGAGCTCAGCTGTCATGCAGATGCTGTTTATCAATGTAGACAGACTGTAACGCAAACCCCACCTGCGGGGGTGTAGGCCCGGTAGGTAGGGGGCTTACAATTAGACTGGCCCGGTCCTTTGGGATGGGTGACGATTGATGGGATTAGTGGTAGACATATCCGTACCCGTAGGTTGATGCAGTCCAGCGGGCCGGGTCGAGACTAAGCCAGCGATGGAGGACTCGACGTGAACCGATGGCCGGGGTGTGATTGCCGCATTTTCTAGTCCCTATATGAATCCGGTTAGTGAGTGTGAGTGTGAGTGTGAGTGTCAGTGATAAAAACGAACAAGAGGCACGGTTAGGGTAAATATCCCAGTGATAAAAACGTGTGTCGAGGCACGGCCTTGAGGAGCCCTACGAATAAGGTACAAACGTACGAAATATTTCGTCCCGTATGTCCTCATTCAAGAACTTTCCAAGACGGCGCCAGGGGGTTGAGCAATGCTGTCATGTCATGATCACAATCATATTCACCAATGATTCGTCGTCATCAGGCGTGAGCAGTCATCATCATCAACGCCAGGCCACAACGGGAAAGTGGGAACATGGGCACGGTACGTAAAATGATCGGTCCCTGCATCTCATCTGAAAGCAGTATGACGCGAGAACTTACGTCATAGTCGTGCGTGTTTTAGGTCTGAGACGAGGTACCCGAGGTAACCACTTCCAAAACCAGGCAGAAACATGGCTGTGAGAGAAGAAGGGAAATGAGAAAAAGGAGAGCATGTAAGACATGTACTCGTACGAATACCTTAAGTTACCTGCCTAAGGTACCTTAGGTAGTTGAAGCTGAGAAATGAGCATCTTACCGAGTATTACGGAGTGCGTCGTACGTGTCCACCTATCCGGTGGCCTTACGTCAGGTCTACACAGCTACCATTCATCTGTGCCTACAAAGTAGGAGTACATATGTACGGGTACAAGTTGAAACAAAATTATGAAGGTATAGCACATTATAGCACATGTGGGTTGGCATGTCCCAAGACACGCGAAGGTGAGTCCTATTCGCGGACATATACGAGTACAGAAGAATGCTTCATGTTAAAAAACTTCAAGGCTTTTTTTGCGCCTACCCTGTAATTACTTTGTAGAATATCATGGGTACCTAGGTAAGGTATGTACTCCGTAGTACGTGTAGGGCATATTGTGGCTTATTTTTCCATTCCCAACCACAAGATTTCAATGCACGTCATGGGTTCTCTTCTTTCTTTCGATTCCCTGTTTTCGTCCATCCGACCTATTACCTTAGTTTGTTCTCTTAAACAAGTCGCAGGTATATGGATCGGAAATCTTCTTTTTGGTCGTACTTACCTCCGAATGAATCCTTCAACCCCTCATGCGAGGCTGATGGAGTACCGAGTACTTACACCCTAACACCCTATGACCCTTAACACTCTTGGGAGTCATACTTTGTCCTTCGCACCTAGCCTGGCTGCCTACCTTATTCATTATCATCTACGAAGCAAGTAGACCCAAGTACCGCTACCTCCCACTGCCATTGCACGTCACATCCCATCAGTCACCTCCATCAAACGCACCGAATCGGAGCCGCTACCTACGACCTACATACGCAATTATCGTCAACCTTCTTCCCGCTTCTATCTACGACAACACGTGTACCTATCTTACTTCGTACTGCTAACCGTCTCTCTCCAACTTCACTTCCTCTTCTTCACCTCCCATCTCGGCCAAGGCTACCTTTTCGTTTCCTTTTCCTTTCCTTTTTTTACGTATCGACTAGGCAACTCTGGAGTTCTCCTTTTCTTCTCCTTTTTCTTCTCCTGGATAGCTCCCAGCTCTACCGTTACTTTACTTTACTTTACTTTACTTTACTTTACTTTACTTTTTTACTTTAGCCTTCTCCCCTTTCGTCGCCTGCTTGGCACCGTCCCACTCCGCTTGGCTCTGCTCTGGTCTCCGCTTTTCCCTGCTTTATTCGAGTGACCTCATCCACTCATTTGCTGGCCTCCGCACTTATTTTCCCACCCTCTGCCATCCTCGCCATCCTCGCCATCCTCGCCATCATCACCATCATCACCATCAATCACCACCACGATCAAGGGCCACCTCCTTACACCTCTCCCTTCTCGAGCGCCGCCATCTTTCCCTCTGCCTCTCCGACTCGTGAAACTTCACCTCTTCTTAATACCTACAAACGTGTCCGACACACCGATTACAACGAGACCGACAGGCACCGCAGCCTTCGACACCACTTGGGCCCAAGATTGCCCTCGCCCAACTCATCAGCCATTCCAACTCTAGCGAGCGCTCTCTCTTTCTTCACCCGCGCCGAAGGAAAATAACTCTTTACATCTACTCAACCCGATCCTAACGCAACCATGTCGACGATACAACAGCTTAAGAACTTTATCCGACATGGTAAATAAATGCTTTTGTCTCACCCTTGGAGAAGCACCCGCCCCCGGCTTTCTTCGTCCAGCTCTCTCGCATCAAGCTTGGTCTGCTTCATGAATTCCTTGTTACCGTGCTAATACCGTGTCCTTGCCCTTCTATCAGGAAAGCACGCCCGTGTCAACCACTATGACGAGCCTCAGCCGAAGCAACAGGCCGCGCCAACCCAGACCCAGAGAGTCCATGCCGAACCAGTCATGACTGATCCTTCTACGGCTCCCGTTGATTCTCTAAATCGATCTGGTGTCGAGTCCAGCCATGCCCACTCCACCACCACCACCACCCAACATGCGACCCCCGGCGCCACGAAAACCAAGAACAACATCGACAGCGCCGAGATCGCGAGGCTTGTCGCCGAGGAGAACGAGGCGAGGAATAAGTTCCCAACCTATCCCGGCCTGGAACGATGGGTTCTGCTCGAGAAGATGGGAGATGGTGCCTTCAGCAATGTCTACCGCGCCCGCGACACCCATGGCCAGTATGGCGAGGTCGGTGTCAAGGTCGTCCGCAAGTATGAAATGAATAACATGCAGGTGAGTTGCAACCTGGCCGTCGCTCTTTCACAGCTGGCCTGTTTCCTTGCTTCCACATCTTGCATGTGTTTTTTCGTCTTCTTTTTTCTTCTGCTTTTTCTACTTGGGAATTATTTTGGCCGTTCCGACAATACCAACCACGGCGCTCGTCTACTTAGGGAAACAAACATCTACACCCGGACTTCAAGAAGGTCCCAAAAGCTGCAGAGGTGCGAGAAACTTTCCTATATCTCCTTTGTCTTTGAATTGCGAGGCGTCTTTGACTTTTGGGGCGGATTTCGTCCTTTTTTTTTCTTTTTTCTTCTTTTTTTTTCCCCCCTCAGCGCTCTGCTTGCTCGTGCCTCTTTTCTTATTCGCCACCGGTCTTCTGCGGATGCCTCGTGCCCGACATGCCTGGTCCACCGGCAACTAACCACTGTCGTTGTAGCGAGCAAACATCCTAAAGGAAGTACAAATCATGCGCCAGCTTGACCACCCCAACATCATCAAGCTCATTGATTTCTCCGAGTCGCGTCAATACTACTACATCATCCTCGAGCTCGCCCAGGGAGGCGAGCTCTTCCACCAGATCGTTCGCCTCACCTACTTCAGCGAGGACCTGTCAAGACACGTCATTGTCCAGGTTGCCAAGGCGCTGGAGTATCTCCACGAGGAGCGCGGCGTAGTTCACAGGTATGTATCGCCGACAAGCAGTGTGCCGCGCCATTCACTTAACCGAACTATATCTAACCTCGGCCAACGGCAGAGACATCAAACCCGAAAATATCCTGTTCAACCCTATACCGTTTGTCCCATCGAAACACCCCAAACCGAAACAGCCTGGCGACGAGGACAAGGTGGACGAGGGCGGGTTCATTGAGGGCGTTGGTGCTGGCGGCATCGGTCATATCAAAATCGCCGACTTTGGTTTGTCCAAGGTCGTCTGGGACAACCAGACCATGACGCCTTGCGGTACGGTGGGATATACGGCGCCGGAGATCGTCAAAGATGAGCGCTACTCCAAGTCGGTCGACATGTGGGCGCTCGGCTGTGTGCTGTACACCCTGCTCTGCGGTTTCCCGCCGTTCTACGACGAGAGCATCGAAGTGCTGACCGAAAAGGTGGCCAAGGGCCAGTTCACCTTCTTGTCCCCGTGGTGGGATGACATCTCCAAGAGCGCCCAGGACCTCATCTCCCACTTGTTGACGGTCGAGCCGGAGAAGAGGTACACCATCCGGGAATTCCTCGCGCACCCTTGGGTCCGTGGGTCCGGACCGACCCCACAGGAGGAGCGCAAGGCACAGCGGGAGGTACTGCGGGCCTTCGACGCGTCGCGGTTGGTCGACGGAGCGGCGCGGTACGATTTCCGATCGCCCGGTGCCGTCAACCTGCGCGAGGTCTTCGACGTCGGTTACGCCGTGCATAGGCAGGAAGAGGAGGGTAAGCGGCGGAAGCAGGTTGGCGCCAAGACCGGGGCGCCGGCGCAGGTACTCAGCGGATTGAACGAGGCGTCGGAAGAAGACGAGGATGAGGCCATGGCGGACCGGCACGAGGCCGAATACGTCCACAACGCGTCGCAGCAGGGAACGCAGGGCCTCGAGCAGAGCATGCGCGACGCTCACATCAAGGATCAGCAGTACGAGCGGCGCGGACGCGAGCGCGAGAGGCAACCTCCGCCGGTGCAGGTGCAGCAGGAGAAGGGCTACGGGCAGCACTCGGCGGCTGTGGCGGCAGCGGCGCGGCAGCAGGTGCGGGACCGTAACAAGCAAAAGGCGCCATTCGAGCTGAACCTGGACGGAGCGACACTTCTGGGACGGAGGGCGAAGCTGAGTCCGGGCCAAGTCGGAGTTGGGGGAGCATAGGATGCATCTCTCAGTTCGGCCTCGAACGCGGTGGACGGCTCAAAGGCAGACGTCTCAGAGGTGGGTGTCTCGAAGGCGGACATATCTCAAAGTCAAAGTCGGACGTCTTAGTCCAGCCGAGCCAGTCAGCCTCTGTCTGCATGATGGATGCCGCTGAAACGCACGACACAGCGGAGACTTTGTGTCCACGGATGCTGTATTTTCTCTTCTTCTATTTTTCTTGTCTTTTTTTTCTTTTTTTCTTTTCTTTTTTCTTTTCCCCCCTCCCTCCCCCGCATCGTCTCCTTTTCTTTTTGTATCTGGTTGTGTCGGTGCAGAGAAGGACATGGCTGGATGGAGGCCACGCAGCCTTTCTGGCATTATGCATACATTGGTTCGGAGTTCTGGGCACTGAAGACGCGAAGGTCATCTAGGCGCTTTTAGTGAGTTTTCTGAGTTGACGAGTTAGTGCAGTCTGAATATGTTACTTGATCTCCATTGTGATGTGATGGATCTCTTCGTAAGGTAGGGAGAATGCTAATGGGATGCAATGCCCCGGAAGTCAGTCATTCGGTACGAAGTGATTAGATATCTCTAACCCCTTTCCAGAGGTGGTTTGATTTCTCCCGATATTAAGATATCGTTGGCGTCTGTCTAATTCTAATTTTCTACTTTGTAATTTCTCCCATGTGGAGGTCTATGCGCTATCATGTAAGACATGGAGACCATACCAGACTGTAAGGGGGGAAGTCGGAGGGACGAGGCCTTGTTGGTTCGAGACTGGCCGAGTGAGACAAGGACGCACGATCCATCCAAGACTCTGTGGAGTTTGATTTCCACCTCATTCAACCCCTGGCCAAGGTCTGACAAAGGTCTGGCAAAAGGTCTGGGCACCTCGGGGGCTCCAGAGACTTGATCGAAAAGGAGCGGCAGTTGAACCGAGAAAGCGTACGTGACGATCTGACGATGTATAGATGATGGATCTGCATCGTTTTTGTCAACTTGAAGGAAGAACTGCGGCTTTCTCCCAGGATTACGACTCACGCCTCTCCCACCATGCTTTCTGGCCGAAACGGGCCGGCGCCATAACCGTGGAAAGGAAAGGGGGGGGGGAACGGCTGGTCGTAGGGGGGCGGCGGCGGGGCCAATATGCGACCAAACCCCCTTCTGGTGACCTCGTGAAATTGCCGACTTCTTGGCCTTTTGGCTCCCTGGTGGCCTGTCACCGCCCGGAGAATATCCCCATGAGGGAGAGCATTGCTTTTTCTTCAACTCAGAATACGGGATTGGGGGAAACAACGACAAAGGGAGATGCTAGCATGCATGCGTGTCTCTCGGCGACGTCTCTCGGCGACGACAGCCACCCAGACTATCGGAAGACTTTGCCGGATCACGGATGCAGGGAGAGAGGTAGGGCCGGTAGGGCCGGTAAGTAAGGGCCCAAGGGGGAACAGGGGACAGGGGACACGATCGACACACGGTAGTCGGTCGGGTTGGCTCTTCCGGGTGGATACCCCGTCCGGCGGGCGTCAGGCTAGAGGAGGCCCGGCCTCGAATCCCAGCCCAAAACCAACGTTCGCGTGTTGTAGGGATATCATATCATGGTCTCGGCGAGGTTGGTTCTCAGGACAGTCGGGCACCCATGCTTGCTTCTCGAGTTCTCACTCGTTTTCTTAGACAGACCACGGGGACTCTGGACCCTCGGAAGAGACCGAGACTGATTTGATGTCTCTCCCTCGTGTCGGTGGCAAGGGATCGTGAGTCGTGAGTTGTGAACGCACAGATGGAAAAGATGCGGTCAACACTGAACGAGGTAGGACAGCCCTCTCTCTCTCGTGGTTCTTGCATCCTAAGATTGCTCTGAGACCTGCAAGCACCCGAGCGTCACCAATATTTCCCCCTAGGCAAACTCGCCCTTACACCGGTTACTCTCGATAGCAAGTTGAGACGTTAAGATCAGACCACCGTCTATAAAACACATCGCTCCCACCATCCAACATCTCGAATCTCTCCTCATCATCAGCTTCAGCATCCATCACCATCCTTCAGCAGCATTTTCCTGCATCCGGTCTTTACAACCAAGTTACTCCCTTGACACCATACAACAATAATATCAGTCTCTCCGACCCTCTACACCCAACCGCAAAAATGTCTCTCGCCCCTGTTCTCGCTGCTCGTGGCATCGCCACCTTCCCCGGCACCTGCAAGATCGACATCTCGGCCAAGCTCGAGGGCTGCGTCGGCGGCGTCGAGATCATCATTGGCCGCAGCGCCTACGACATTGTGGAGACCCCCGACTACATCACCATCACTCCCACCAAGTACTCTAAGCGCACTTATGGCCATCATGGAGTAAGTAGCGTCTCTAACACCGCACCGAGATTCCTCTCTTGTGAAAGGCCACACACCGCTAACACTCAACAGGGCCACAAGGATGAGTGCGATGGCGACTCTGGCGATCACGATAGCGACAGCGACAGCGATGACGACAGCGACGATGGCAGCGATAGCGATGATGACAGCGACAGCGACGACGGCAACGACAGCGATGATGAGAACGAGTACGGCAATGGCAACGACCATGATGATGACGAGGACGAGGACAACGACGGCGGAAACGACGGCGACGACAACGAACAGCCCGAAATCTGCCGCGAGCCGACCCTAAGCCTCAACCTCCTCGACTTAGTCGACCTCGACCTCTTCACAGGCGAGGACATCACCCTCCTCGCCGACATCCTCGGCATCGACCTGAACCTAATCCTCGCCGGCAGCGTCGGCGAGCTGTTGGGCAACCTGGTCGACAACCTGGGCGACACCCTCGGCGGGCTCCTCGGCGGCCTGCTGGGCGGCCGCCCGCGCACCCCGGCCGGCGAGCAGGAGAGCGACCGTGTCCGTTCCGAGTTTGAGCGCGAGTTCACCGTCACCTGCGGCTCCATCATCGACGATCAGCACGCCAACAAGACCACGGCCGAGGACCTCGAGGACTGCCTGGCCCGCTGCGAGGCTACCGCTCTGGAACTCACCCTCGACCTAGGCTTGATCTACGACTGCCTCGGCGTCTCTCTTGACAACGGTGTCGAGGCTGATAACTGCCTCTTCATTGCTGGACAGAAGGTCCTCGACTTGGAGCTGAACCTCGGCTCGAACCCTAATGCTGTTACTGCCCAGTCTTCTTAAGGGCTTCCCAACTGTTGGCGACACCCGCGCTGTCTATTCGAGACAGTCATCGCTGACTTATCGGTTGCTTCTTCGTTTCTTCACTTTGACATTTCTCTTCTTACATTAGATCTTTTTGACAGACAAGGCTTGGTGAACACCTTACATAAGGGGGATATACACATAACTTCATTTCAGCAATGATATAGACTTCCTTTGGTCTTCGGACACCTTATAATACACATTTAATTTCTCTCTATGTTTGCACTGTTCTCTTGTCTTCGACTGACACGAAACGATCCTGTGAAACTTTGAATATTAATTAGTGTCTTCGCTTCGCTGTCCATAGTGCTGGTAAGCCGCCTCTGCCCCTTCCACCCCTTTAGCTATCCTTCACATCAGACTCGGTCACTCCTGGTGTACATCCATTCAGGGGCTCAGGGGTAGTCGCGGCAAAGCATAAACCGCGTGTGGTATTGACAACAGAACTAGGAATATGAAGCTATAGGCGATGCCTCCCAGTGAACCAAGGATACTCCATGCGTTCTCTGCTCTGAGCCCAATTTTCAATTCTGTTTAACGGAGAAAAGCATACAAGGTCGAGTTCGACTCGGATAAGTATGAAGATGAAGCTCGAGCGCGTCTTAACCAGCCGAGTGGGGACATGGAGTTGGTCATATAGGCCCGGACAGCACATATAGCATTTGATGACAGCATTTTAAGAGCTCAGTGATCTTTTTACCCTCCGCCCAGTCATTGCTTTTTCGGCCGAGAATTATTCTCATTCGTTCGATCATTACCGAAAAACAAAACTACTGTCTCCATCTTCACTCAACTGGTGCCTTGTTACGAAAACTCTCCTCCCCAACACGTCCCACGCGGCATATCGTATATGCGCCCAGCCCTTAGTCTCACCTAAGGAGTACCAGGACACGGAATATACCGAGTTGATACTATTTCATCTTAGCTAACAGTTGCTGTAGATCGTGCTGCCTTGTGACCCGTTTCACCAGATGAAGTAAAGATATCGTCCGGGGTCCCTCGTCCTCATCCTCATCACACCATCTCATCCCACGCCACTTGACAGAGGTAGTCCAGTCCGTGAGCAACCCGTGACCGTCTGCAGTCCTCCGCTCCGCGGCGATCCCTGGACCCAAGCTGTTCATGCCAACACCATTGTCAACACCAGACAACTCCAGACGCCCCGAGATATCAATTTTCATCGAAAGCTCATGCATGACCACGTCCAATGCCCTCTTTTCCCAGAAAACCCCCACCAACATCCCCCCCTCCATCCGACTATTGTGACCAAACACCACCAATCAGCTCGACCCTTTCGATGGGATCCATGATCAACAGGCCAGCTCTGCCCCAAGAAAGGCGAGCTGCAGTTCTCCCCGTCTCCTTTTCGCCTTGGCCTGCCTTTCCCCTCGCCCCCCTTTGCCCTGTTGCCTTTCTGCCCCGCCCTCGGCCCAACAGCTCACTTCAGAAGTTTAGTGCCATCGAATCAACCGGGCAGTCCGTCCTACCTACATCCGAATGAGACCCTACGGCATGGGTAAACCAAGCTCCTTGACCTTCTGAGCCGTGGCTGGTGAAAGATGTCCCAAGCAACGCGTGTTGGGGTGGTTGCTGGCGTGTTGGCGTGTTGCCTATCGCGGTGTCTCCCCTTCGGCTTTCCAGTTCCAGACCTCTGGTCAATTCAGCTCATCTTTGTGAAGTACGAAGCTGCTAAGCTCGTACGATGTACGAAGAGACCAGGCTTGCGGCGGCACACGCGGTCCACGCGGAAAAAAAAGAAAAGAAAAGAAAAGAAAAGAAACAAAGAAAAGAAAAGAAAATAATCCAGCCCAGCCACATCGCCCGGTTCGGCTTCTTTTACATGAATCCGCCCCCCTCCTATTCTCTCCCCCCACGCTGGAGGGCCGCGCGCTGTGGATCCTGCAAGGGAGGCAAAGGTCTCTAGCAATGTCACATAGACGAGGTGTGAGCACGAGACGGTGGACGAGCGTCGGATGATTTTTGAATGTTACGCGTGCACGCAGCACGCCTTGGGTAGTAAACATTCTCCTATGGTGGTCGGGGCTCCTGGGACGATGAATCTGAGTATAAAGACCCCTCCGTCTGCCGCCTCTGGATGGGAATCTTGACATCTTCATCCCAGACAGAACCCCAGATCGATATATACATTTCAACCAACAACTTAACAGCCTCTCACCTTTTGCTAATCACCAAGCAACCATCACCGTCAACATGTCTCCCTGGTGAGTTCTTCCTCCACGGTCCAGTCGAAACAGAAAACGAGACCATACCTGAGATTTCAGCCTCGTCTATCTTGTCTCGACCGTTTTGAGTCTCACTAACACCCTCCATTCAGCTCCTGCTCCAACTGCTCTTCCGCCTGCGCCGGCTCCTGCAACGCCTGCTCTTGCAACTCCTGCGGCGTACGTCTTCCTCCTTGCCCCCCCCCCCCCCCCCCCCCCCCCCCCCCCCCCCCCCCCCCCCCCCCCCCCCCCCCCCCGGGCGGCTCTTCCCCCCCCCCCCCCCCCCCCCCCCCCCTTTTGCCCTTATTCCACACCCCTGAATCTCACGTCCCATACACCAACTAACAGCTCACTTACAGCACTAAACGGCCTTCTCTCGGGAACTTCATCTCCGCCTCGTCGCTTTTCATCCCTTTCCCTCCTTCCTAGCGGCCTCAACAAGACCTCACCCCCCCGGCAACGGATACTGTTCGATTCGGATAAGATGGTCTTACTCTTGAAAGACAATAAGGGGTCCAGGGGCCAACTATGGAAAATCTGATAGGAACATGAAGGAAGGAAACAGGATCCTCGACGACAATATGGAGCGATAAAGAGAGAGATTTGCGTTCTGTCGGGCGGTATCGGATGGAGAAGCATGCTTCACGTTGGTCCATGGCCTTCGTCCTGCCTGCCCCCCTTAGATCACAACGACAAGATGCCATTTATTTCGCACCCTTACGTACCCCTTCACCGAGTGGCCTGTGATGATACCTGACCGATGTGCCAAGTGTAAGAAATAACCTACACCAGCGAGAGGAGGCGAGCCAGAGGCCAGCTATGCTCGCCACAGGACGACGCAACGCCGTGTGACCACCAGCTCGATCATCCACTGCTCCTCTCCCTGTTGTCCACAAGTCATGCGCTTGACCTGGCCTTGACCTATTCCACCTGATATTCAAAAGCCTCCAATCGCGACACCTTCCCGGCGTGCGTCATCGCAGCGAGGCAGCAGCCAAGCCGGAGTCGCATCTGGGACACGATTGCACCAACCGCACACCGAAGGACGCCACCGAAGAAGGCCATAGGCCGGAGCAAACCCGCAGGTCATGCATGTCTTACTTTTTCCAGTCAGCCTAGACCGTACACACGCATGTAAAGTACGCAGTCCTCTCCATCCATAACGGGGGCCCCATGCAGTTGTCTCCAAAGTAGGAATCTATTCCGGTGAAGCTATGCTGTGTAGACCGTAAACCCGCCCCCCACCTTTTCGCAGACAAAAAGTCGAAGTCATAAATGAGTCGAAAAAGCCAAAAAAAAAAGAAGGAAAAAAAAGATCACTCTTTGTATCCAACGCCGTGCTGTTACATTCAACCCACAATAAATAAATAAAACGAATCCCATAGAAGAGAGAGAGAAATGTTCCCCCCACCTCAACAGGTGCCTTCTCCCGTCTCGTCATGCGAGCACTGTAGGCACGCCCCCCCTCCACTGCAACTTCCCCCCATGCTTCAGCTCGTAGTGCCGCGACACATTGTCCCGGCGTCCATGGTAGTCGCACCCGTCAAACGGACACCGGCGGTCCTCGGACCGGAGCTGGGCGCGTGCGGCTTCCTCCTTGTGGCGGGCGTGCATGTGGCGCTCGAGGTCGCGGACCTGGGCGAACCTGTGCACATGCGGGCAGAGGTGGCAGACGAGCTTCTTGCGGTGGACGCGACGGTGCTGCTTCAATTGGGTCTCTTTGCTGAACGCCTTGTAGCATCCGTCGAACGGGCACGGGTAGAGACGACCCGACGACGCCTCGGACCCGTTGGAGGAGCCGGGCGACATGGTGGTCGGGGAGGAGGAAGAGGTGTCGGAGGGGTGGGAGGAGGGCACGCCGTACCAGGGGTGGATGGGCCCGGAAAAGTCGGAGGGCGGTGCGCCCGGAGCAGCGTACCCCAGACTGAGATCTTGTAGGCCCGAGTTGACGCCCTGCGGCAGGAAGGGGATGAAAGTGTTGGGGTCGAGGTTGAAATTGAAATCGAAGCCGGGGTCCATGGAGAGGCCTTCTTGACTGAGAGGAGCGAAGCTGTCCATGACTCCCAGGTCGCCTAGATCGGTGGAGAAGGACCCCAGGTCGATGTCCGGCTGTGCGGCTCCTGATAGGAACACGTCGCGGAACAGGTCGTCGAGGTCGGCTTCGTCCCCGTAACCGATATCTTCGAAGATTTCGGACATTGGCGAGTCAAATAGTGATGCATGGGGAGAAACATTGGGCGCGGAGTAGTGTGCAGGGCCGTGACCCTCCCAATCCGCGGCTTTGCTCGTCGTCATTGTGAATTGGGTGGTGGTGATAGTGTTGGTGCAGATGCTGGCGGTGATGGAAGTGGTGATGGTGCTCAGAAGCACAATGTCGTTGCGGGTACCGATTGAACTACGACACCTCCAGCGGTGGTAAGTCGTAGGATCAGTAGAATGGTAGTAGCAGTGGGCAGAGATTGTGGAAATCCGGTGAGTATGTGAGGCAAGCAATAGCGTTGCTGCGTTGATGTAGCTGGTTGCGTGTGATGGCGAGAACTCAGGACGTCAAGTTTAGACGACCGAACGAGACAGTTTAACGACGTACTCGGGTCTTGTGCCAACCAGGCGAACAACAACAAGCGACGACTATGACTATCCTCCAAGGCACCTCATGGTGACTGTCTCAGTCAGACCCGAATGACCGGGTGGTGCACACTCTCATCCAAGGACGCATGTGGTCGAAACCAGGCTCGGGACGTGGCCACGGCCTCCAAAGAAGCCGTTTCCACAAAAGCCGGCTCCACCACGAGACGCGAGGCGAGAAGAGCCATGGCCTGGACGAGGACGTGGGGGATCGCAAATCGGCGGTACGTGTCATCGCCGGCAAGCTGAGAAGAGCAAAAGCCCTCCGATGGATGCACTGGCGCGATGAATTCTCGGGAAGAACGATTCGAGTCTCGGCCGAGAGTGTCGCGGTCGAATGATGTTTGAGCATGGCGGCAGCTTCGTGGTGCGGTCGAAGGAGCCTTTTCTTCGTTTTGGTGATTTTTTTGATGATTTTTTTGCAGGAAATTGTCCTGGTAGGTCGAATCGGCGGCATCGCCAATCAAATGCAATGAGCCATCATAGCTGTGCTGCAGGGAAGAACATGAGGGAGTACTGCCACGCAGCGTGTGTGGCAGGAAAGCTCTCTCACGTCCCGAAGGCAACGCAAAGACGATGGACTCGAGCTCAGGAAGCAGCAACTTGGTGGCTGCAAAAGACATGGGCAGCCCAGAAGGGGTCTCTCGCCAAAATTGACATCGCTAGAAGGGGTCAGTAATCAAAGTTGTACGTGTGAAAGTGAAATCAGCCACCACGTACATTCAGTTGGCTTGGAATCCTTTCCAGCTTCCGTCTGACGACCTGTCCGACGGAGAGGACAAGAATGCATGCATCCACGAGGGAGCCAAGTTTCCCAATGTCGTCTGCAGTGGATGACGGAGGACGCATCTCGCGGTCTATCCAGAGCTGGACGCCAGGGCGAGAATTCGCGCTGCTGAGGCGGATCGCAGCGGGCAATCCGACTAAGCCGGCACCAATAACGACAATGCTTGAACGGGATTCATGCCCTTGGAAGGCGTCAGAGCCTTGCGTTTGCGCCGTATCGGCTTTCGTAAGCGGCTTGGAGCAGGCATCGGGACGACCGTGCATGAGGCCGAGGCAGGACGCGAGATGAAAGACGTGATCTTCCACGACGCTAGCCGAGGAGCTTTTCTGTGAAATGGGTAAGTTAGAGTTTGTATACGGGACAGAGATATGTCAGTAATGATCCGGCAGGTTTCTTACGAAGCGGTGCCTTTAGGCCCTGGGGACGACGCGGTTCAGGTGTTTGCAGCAAGATGATGCGGGAGTGACATATGGCAAAGGTGACGAGTCAAAAAGGAGTGGAAGAGAGTTACGATGTGCGAGTCGGAAGAGGTTTGAAGAGAAAGAGGAGGTAGAAAGGAAGAAAGCGAGGTCGAAGAGCGCGATGACGATTCTTTAACTCGTGGGAGCACGGGGGTCAGATGAGGCTGTGAGATCACCGAGATCACAGCGCCTCACAGTCAACGGCCTTCAACGGCCTCCCTGCTTCTTCCCCCTTACCCCAGGTCGAGTACCTGAGTACCACGGTTCCTGATTGGCTGCCTGCAAGCTGGGACCCACTGAGGCCTCACTTTCCAGCTGCAGGTCGAATTACAGGCCGGTTGCACCGCCCACGCTACTGTGAGGCCAATCTACATGCCTATGTAGTTTGCTTGTACACGGATGGACTGGTACGCCTAAAGTACTACATCTACCATCTACTTCTAACCAGACCCTTGGTATCCGTCAAGTTTTGTATTATCATGACCAAGCCTCGGCATCCCTTTTTTCCAATTTCTCCGAGTACACTACAACGGACAACGTACCTCGACACGGAATAACCGCGATCAGACCCCCGGCAATGAGTCACTCATTAATTGGTGACAGCGATCCGAGCAGAGCACTTGGACGTCATCGGTGAATATTAATTGGAATTCACAATTATTGCATGGTTAGACAATCTTGTGTAGCAGAAACCATTCTGTAAGACAATACGGATAGTTCATGTGTACGAGAGGGGAATTAGTTGAAGGTAGGTAGTGTGGTAGTGTAGACGTTATGAGAATCGTTTCCACGCCCTGTCACAAGGACCAGGAGCAAGCGTGAATGGTTTAGTGGTAAAATTCTCCGTTGCCATCGGGGAGCCCTGGGTTCGATTCCCAGTTCACGCATCTGATCATTCAATTTTTTGAATCTTTAATTTTAATCTTTCTACCAGATACTATTAGTTTGCTCTGTTTCGGGTCTAGTCGAGGATAGAGCCTCGTCTCTTTTCCTCTTCTATACACACACTATACGGTACGTGCTTGTCACACATGCTCTATATTGGTACGGTGTATGCATTTCTACCTATGTACAACCACCGGTTCGGGCACCGGGCGATAAGATAAGAAGTGGCGACAGGCTCAGATACCTTCTTAAGGTACCGAATCGTTGATCGCGTCTCTACGTGCCGACACCATTCACACCTCTCAGCTTACACCTACCGATACGAAGCATGGCCAAGTTGAAAAGATTTTCCACCGTTTTTGCGCTAGCCGGTCGGCTCTACGCTCGGCAACCATTGCCAACGGCCGAGACACGCGGCTGAGACGGATGGTAACCAGAGATGTGCCCGGCGCGGCCGAGAATTCCCATGGCCTTCTGATTGTACTTGCAGGACGTTGGTTGAAAAGACCAGGCAAGACGTCAGTACAGTCGGTATTCCATCCTCGCCAAGGGGCCGTGAGCATGTGTCGAGCAACTTATCTCTTGTCGTTGTTCCTTTGCCGGGTAAGATCGAGTTGCCGTGAGGGTGGAGGCTAGACTGCGTGGACAGCTCGGGGTCTCTTCATCGTAACTGCTCTCTCCACAGGGCCAAATCGTCTAGTTCACGATGCCCCAATCACGGCATCTCGATTTCGTCATGCCGACCCCATCCGGACGCCCTAACCCCCGCCGGATCTGCGCCGGATCTTCGCCGGACCTGCGCCGGACCTGCGCCACCGCGAGGTTCTGACTCGGCCCATGCTTCAACGCTGACGACCCTTGAAACTCGGCCCTCAAGTCTCTTAGTCTCTAGCCCAGGAACTGTCACAGCTGTCAGACTCCAAAGTGGGTGTGAGGCAGTCCTGAGTGCTGCTCACCAACTCACATGAGCACGTTTAAGAGAACAATGAAGGACGTGTGAACATGAGGTCATACCCCTTTTCGTACACCCTAGCAACGAATGGAGAAGGTCTAGACGCCTGGAACCCTTCGCGTCCACACCTACCGTTCCTCTACGTTTTGCCCTGCCCTGCCCTGTCCACCGGAAGTCTGGGGAAGTGGCGAACAGTGAACACCCCTACTTTTCCTTCTTCCGGCCTGGCACCATCCCAGGGTTCTACGGCGTTCGTCGATGTTAGGGAATATGGGTGGCCTTGAAGATCTCACACACTCGGCCATGGCTTGATAGTTCCATTCTTTTACCCGGCCGATCCGGCTGTAGATTTTGCCCCATTGCATTTCTTCTTCTTCTTCATCCTGGTATGTTTCATCTGGCCGGCTTGGCTTCTCAGGAGTATCCGTAAACTTCATGCGAAGAACGTCGACGACAGAGCCAGGACCTCCCGTTGGTCGCGGCATCACGCCGACACTCTCTTCATACCTACCCGAATCCACCACAACGGCGGCCCAGGTCTAAGAGCGTTTGACTCGGCTGTTTGGCGGGGAAAGACGGACGAAAACCGACGCCATGAACAGGACCTTGGAGGACACGGCCTACCCGGGGCAGGAGGATGACCTGAGAGAAACGAGAGGTGACCTCGGCCTCAGCCGAACCATCGTCATCGTCACGGTGATTATGACGGCTCTCGCCACCATCGCTGCCCTTCTCCGAGCGTACGTCCGGGGTTCTCGGGCACGGCATTGGGGGGCAGACGACACGGCGAGCATGGTATCATGGGCGCGTTCACCCTTCTCATCTGAACCCCCCCGCCAGAAGAAAGTCTCTGCCATGGATGACATGTGGACTAACTTTTGATATCCTCAGGTCCTGGTCCTCACACACAGCATCATCGTCTGCGTCAGTACGTTTTCTTTTTGTCCCATGTCGACTGCTGTCCCCATACCCCATAGGCAATGAATGCAGACGCTGACACGAAATTCCCTGTAGACACAAAATACGGAATGGGACGAAACATCTGGGACCTCGACTTCCACACCTTCGCCACGGGCTCGAAGATCGCCACCGCGGGCCTCGTCTTCTACCACACGGCCTTGGCGTCGACCAAGACGACGTTCCTCCTGCAATACCGCCGCGTGTTCCCGTTGCCGAAGTTCCGGCTCCTCTGCGACGCCATGCTCGTCTTCGTCTCTCTGTTCGCCGTCTCCCAGATCGTCATCGGCGCGCTGCGGTGCATCCCGCTCGCTACGGACTGGATCCAGCTCAGGGAGGGGCAGGGAGGGTGCGTTCACCTCGTGGCCTGGTGGCACGCCAACGCGGCTGTCAATCTGGCCACCGACCTTATCATCCTTGTCATGCCCATGCCGCATCTCAAACGACTGCCTTTGCCAAGAAAGCAGAAAGTCATTCTCATGGCGATTTTTGGACTGGGTATCTTGTAAGGTCTCCCCCTTTTTCTTTTTTTCTTTTTCTTTTTTTTCTTCAAGTTTTTGTTCTTCCCTCCTTTTCCCTTGAAGACGGCCATACTGACAAGTCTAGTACGTGCGCCATCTCCATCATCCGCATCAACGCCTTGGTGATCGGCGCGACGTCCCAAAACATCACCTACGACAACGCCATCTCAGGCCTCTGGGGCACCGTCGAGCTCTGCTGCGCCACCATCTGCGTCTGCACGCCGACCCTCCGCCCGCTCGTCGGCACCGTCTGCACCCGGCTCTCATCCATGCACTTCCGCCCCGCCTGGTCCAAGCGACGCCTATCCGACGGCACGACCAACACGGCGCTAAGCAGCGTGATAATAAAGCCGGAGCCCACGGGCCAGGACCAGGACCAGGACCAGGACCAGGACCAGGACCAGGACCAGGACCAGCATCAGCAGCAACAGAAAGAGCGGGAAGAGCAGGAACACCACGATCGGCACTATCCGCCGTGGACATCGCGTTTCCCGGACGAAACCGGCACCGACGTGGAGGCGGCAGCAGGCCGAAGAGGACTCGGTCTGGAGATACGGCCGCCGCCGCGCGTGGCGCGCCACGATTACGGTTTCTCCCGGAGCGGGACCGCGAGTTTGCGGCGGAATCCGAGTGCGGCGGACTGGCCCATGGATGATGACGCCGCCGACTTGGAAGATGACCTGGACTTGGATATGGATATGGATAGGATGGACCTGCACGACGACGAGCTGCCTACCTTGCTGTATCCTCCCCCGCGGAGCCATGTGCAGCGCTCTTCCATGCCGAGTTCGATCGATGGAGGGGGTAGCAGACCACCACCGGAGGGTGTGGAGGACTCGCCTATTTTGAAGGGGATCGACCCGAAGCGTCCGAGGCCGGGGTGAGGCTGAGGCGAGAGGAGTTTTTGGACAAAACTACGCACTTTGGAACCCACCGGATGGGTTTCTTCTGTCTCCGGCCCGCCAATCGCGGGTTGTTGCGCTTGAGGGTCGGGGGCCATTTGACCAGGGATATCGCAAGTCGTCCAAAGGTGCCGGTACATGGCATTGACGGGCTATCTCCCATCTACGCCTCCTGTCGGCGCCTCATGACCTCGTTCTGGCCGTCCAAGTCACGGGGGTCTCAACTTCGACAAAGGGACCCGGCTGGGGATATAAGGGGCATGACTACCCCGACCGTTCACCGAGGCCAAGCGGAGACGAAGTCAGGGTCGTGAATCACCTTGATCATCTTGTCTCTATGACAAGTTTGCCAGTCAGCCATACAAAAGCGACAACAGTTGAGAACAGCGACGAGCATGCATCCTTATCGTTGCTCAGCTGGGATCGGAAGAATTCAGGGGGGGAGAAGGCTGTCAAATACCACGGCCTTCCCTTGGTAGTCGAATATCCGGAAGAGAGAGACGCGTCGGTGTCAGAGTCCTGCACTGAGCGCAGGGAATGAATAGAATGGATACGTGGAGGGGCTTCGTAGAGGACCTATGCAGAGACATCAGTTTGGCATGAAGCAAGCGATACGGCCTTGGGAGGATGCAGTGTTATATATCCAGCACCCCTAGCGAGGCGCTTATCTGTCTGTTTATGTATTCAGAAATAGCGACTACTATTCCAAATCATTGCATGGCATGAGAAAGACGGAAAGAAAGTATGAAGAGTGATGCATTCTGATGTGGATCGCGATGATAGAGACGCGAAAGGAATTGAGTGATGATGGTTGTCGGTAACTGGCAGCTGGCGGCACCTGCACAGAATATGTCCCGCCCACTTAATCTCGGCCGATATCGGATCGCAAAACGAAGAACGGAGTACGAGACGGAGTACATACCTACCTACCTTAGGTACCTAGGTATAGGTACCTCCAACGTCACATTCGAGGTCTTGGGGCTCAACGCTCACACTCAATCACCACCACAGCATATCCACACCACCAAACCAACCCATCACCGTTCGTCGGTGCAAGTTCCCATCTTCTCTTCCTGAGCTAGTCCGGACACCTTGTAAATGCATCATGTGCGTCCACAAGCACTACGACTACGCACATTCTTCCGTCCATTCTTTGCCCCGAGGCCTCTCGTGACGCGCACCATGGCCACCGATACCCGTACCTACAACGTCCGTCACCATCCTTTTCTCCCTTGACGACGGCCACTGAATACCGAGATTATACAGGATGCCATCGATGCGCTCAACTCCCTCCAGACACCCTTCGAGGTGATCGAAGCCAGGCGAAAGGCCGGCATCCGACCAGACGAGACTTCCATCCAGGAGATGCAGGTCTATCTCGCCCGTCTCGGCCACTCCGTGAGTCCTCATCAACCTCTTCTACTCCCCTCGAACTAACCAACTCCTTTTTTTCTTTCTTTTCGTCTTCAAGCCCTCCGACCTAAACCGCCTCAACGTAATCCACATCGCCGGGACCAAAGGCAAAGGAAGCACATGCGCCTTCACCGACTCGATCCTCGCCCACCACCGCCTCGCCTCCCCCTCGGGCCTCCCGTCCAAAGTGGGCCACCTCACGTCCCCGCACCTCATCGCCGTCCGAGAACGCATCCGCATCAACACAAACCCCATCTCCGAAGCCCTCTTCGCCCGCTACTTCTTCCAAGTCTGGGACCGCCTCGGCGCCGGCGCCTCCCCCGCTTCCCTCCCCGATGACGCCGCCGCTGCCGCCGTACCGATGGCCACCCGTCCCGTCTACGCCCGCTACATCACCCTCCTCGCCTTCCACACCTTCCTATCCGAAGGGGCAGACTGCGTCGTCCTCGAGACAGGAATAGGAGGCGAATACGACGCGACGAACATCGTCCCCTCGCCCGTCGCGACGGGGATCACCACCCTGGGCATCGACCACGTCTTCGTCCTGGGACAGACCATCGACAAGATCGCCTGGCACAAGGCCGGGATCATGAAACCCGCCTGCCCCGCCGCGTTCGCCGTCGAACAGGTCCCCGAGGCCGAGCGGGTGTTGCGGGAACGCGCGGCTGCGAAGGGCGTCCCGCTCTCGGTCGTCGGCGTCGACCCGCGCCTCGCGGGCGTGAAGATCCGTCCCGACGCGCGGTTTCAGAAACAGAATGCGAGTTTGGCCGTCGCGCTTGCGGAGGCGGCGCTGGCGAAAATCGACCCGTCGTTTCGGAGGCGGGAGGACCGTCTGCCGGCGGACTTTGTCCAGGGGTTGGAGAATGTGGTTTGTCGTGGGCGCTGCGAGGTCAAGGTCGATGAAGAGGACCGGGTCGTTTGGCAAATTGACGGCGCGCACACGACTGATAGCCTCCTGGTGGGGACGAGGTGGTTCGTCGACGAGAGCCGTGCGAGGCCGGGGCCCAGGGTGCTGGTGTTCAACCAGCAGGGTCGGACGGAGGCCGTTGACTTTCTCGACGGGATGTATCAGGCAGCCAAACGCGAGGACGGCACGGCGTTTGACCATGTCGTGTTTTGCACCAACGTCACCTACACCACGGGTTATAAGAAAGGTTTGTTTCTGTTTAGTCCCCGGGGTGTAGTGTACGACGTTGTTGATGTGGCTAACATGAGATCATGCACGCCCCAGACTTTGTCAACAACCAATACGACCCCAAGTCCATCGAAGCCATGTCGGTTCAACGCATTTTCGCCGACAAATGGCGGACTCTCGACCCTTCGGCCAAGATCAGCTTGATCCCCACCATCCAGGAGGCCCTCGACCACGTTCGGAGTCTCAGCAAGGACGTAAAGGAGGACCAGACGGTCCAGGCGTTTGTCACGGGGAGCCTTCATCTCGTAGGCGGTGCTTTGAGTGTCCTCGAGGGTGCAGACGCCCTCTGATACGCGGGTCGCTTGGCCTCAAAATATATATGTTCTATTTTCATCCTCTGCTTGCTTGCCATGATACAATTCTAGTACTCACTCAATCTAGACCGTCCGGCTCTAGTAGCCGAATGACACCGCCGACCAGGTGCAAGCTACCCGTCACCAAGACGATGGTCTCCTCGCCCGCCTCGTGAAACCGCGAGGCCATGTCGCCGACGCGGTCCATGGCCGTCGGAAGATCCGGACACACCTCTGTTGTGGTCCCGGGGTGGCAAGACGCGAAAGTCCCCCGGCAGCTTTCCTGGACGCTCACGTCGGGACGAGTGTCAGTGTCAGACCTGGCGAGGTCGTTCCGTGAGAAGAGCGCCGCGTCAAAGAGACGCCCGTCACTGCTCGCCTTGGCCTCCCCTACCGCTAGGGCTTGACGGAGCTTGTCCAGGAACCCACCAAGTAGCTTGCCCGCCTCCCTTTCCTGCTGGTTAAAGAGCAGCACAAACCTCCTCCTCTTCCGCACTAGGTTTTCGTCCTCTTCCCTCTCCGCGGCCAACCATGCGGCCGTCTCGTCCAGGCTCTCGACCGTATGAGCTCCGTCCAACAACCATCGGACGGCTGGCCTTTGCGGGTCTTCCACAACCTCTTGCCTGCCTCGAAGTGAAGTCTGCTTCATCGCTTCGGTCATCCACGCTGGAAGTTCGGCCAACTTTCTCGTGGCCTTCGGCTCCGCATCGGGAGAGGTCGAAGCAAGTGAACACAAGTGCTCCTCGGCCGCCAAGGCAGCCAGGGCCTGGTTTCGACTCTGAAACGAACCGCCCTTGACGCGTCCACGAACTCGCACGCCGCCCCACGCATCGACGTGTTCATCTCTCACCTCGACCAGCTCGCTGCATCCCAGTTCCTCCGCTCGACTTTTCAGAACCCGCATTACGCCCTCATCATTCTCATTCTCACCCTGGCCCCCACCCGCACTCTTCTTCTTCCCCCCCAACAACCTCGTAAAAGCAGGGACACCCCGCTTCATCACCCCAGCCTTATGCCACGCAATCTTCTCCGGCGTATCACCAAGCATGGCAACATGATCAACCCCAAGCTGCGTAATCACCGCCGCCGTAACCGCCTCGGGCGGCAACACATTCGTAGCATCATACGCCCCACCAATCCCCACCTCGACCACCGCGCTGCGTACCCCCTCGGAGAGGAAGACGTGGAAAGCAAGCAACGTCAGGAACCGGAAGTAAAACGGCTTCGACCCCGCGCCCCGCGCTGCCTCGGGCGTCATGACGCCCTCCGCGACCGCGGCGTCGGTAAGCCGATCCCACACCTCGAAGAAATACCGCGCGAACAGCGCCTTTCCGATCGGCCGCCCGTCGAGCGCGATGCGTTCCCGCGGCGTGACCAGGTGCGGCGACGTGTACGTCCCGACGCGGCCCGCGCGTCTGTCTGGCGCCGCGACGAGGAGGGAGGTCAGGTACGCGCAGGTCGAGCCTTTGCCTTTCGTGCCGGCTACGTGGATGCAGCGGAGCCGGGCGAGGTCGGAGGGGGTGTAGCCGGCGCGGCGGAGCCAGGTGAGCATTTCTGGCAGGGCTTGGAGGTTGGGGTCCGGGGCGGGGCCGGATGTCGGTTGGGGCCGGTTGTCGAAGAGGGCGGTCACGGTCCGGTTGGGGATGAGGAGGTTGAGGTGGGTGAGGGCGTCTTGGTACGTCCTGCCGGTACCGCCGGCTTCGGCGCTGCTGGATGTTGCCATGGTGAGATGGAACGGGTTGATGGTCTTGTAATAGGTTCTGAAATGGGAAGAGGTTGACGTGAGAGGTGTGATAGAGATGGGCGTCCTGATAGTAGTCGTCGAACGATGGGGTTTTTGGCTGGCAGAGGCTCTCCCCGTTGAAGATCCACCTGGGATTAGAGCGGTAGAAAGGGTGCGGTTGGATATGGATATGGTTATTGTCGACTGTCGTATTCTCCACTCGACATATCCGTGTACTAAACCTGGTGATAGTAACCCTGTCGCATCACGGTGGCTCAAGACTCTCAGCGCTTTCATCTGCTTCTCTTCTGATTGAGGTCTCAGAGTCGGCGCATAACGGGTGAAGTTGGCTAGATCTCGGAGCACCGGGCGTGTTGCGGAAGTCTCTACTTTTGGGTTTGGACTGTACTCGGGTCCCTTTCTAAATATATAGGCCGGTCAGGTCCGTTCGAGGTCAAGGAGGGAGTGAGGGAATAATACGAAGTAGTTAGAGATGGTGGGATGCTATTGAATTCCGACTGTGGTTCGGACATGGACCCACAAATTTCTCTTTTCGGAGTACCATCCTCCACACACAGCTACTATCGCACTGAAAACACGTGAGGCTGTTTTCTGTGTTTCTATTGGTTGTTACTAGCCCCATATTCCTCGCGTGGAAAGGGGGTAGATGTATTTAGAACCCCCACACCTTCCAGTTTTTCCTTTCCTTTGTGTATCGAATACATCATACATCCATTGAACCAACGCTCCGGCCGGATCACACGCCCGTCAATTCAACAGAATCAGTGGTCTCGTTTGAAATAGCATTTCCCTAGTCCTCTATATACGCCTCACAAACTCCACCTTTTGTTTCGTATCGGGTGTATAGACGAGAACATGGTTATACTGCGGCACTTTTGGCTTCTGAGCAGACGGCAAGCGGAGCTCATAATGAGTAAGTGCATGGGCGACAGCAGCCTTGATCACCGCAACAGCCAGGAAGCGGCCAGGGCAGGCGTGAGGTCCGGCACCGAATTCGAGCGCTTGCGCATTCGACGACACGCTGAGGAAGCGCGCTCCCTGATCAGGCTGCTCAATGCGTTGACGATACCACCGGAAACCGTCGAAGGGACGAGTTGCGGTCTCTTGGTCAGCATCAGGGTCGATTGATGGGACGCAGACATAGGACTGCGCAGGCAAGACGGTGCCGTCGCTCAGACGAAGCGGCCGAAGTGCTTTGCGGTAGACGGAGAGGACGTTTTGCGCAACGTGGCGTGCCGATTCCTTGATGAAGCTGTCCATTTTCTCCAGTTTTGCCAGCGATGGGACAGTCAATTCCTCCCGGCCGTTGGTAGATCGGACTCGCTCGAGTTCAGCGCGGAGATCGTCGGTATACTCGGGATGAACGGCAATATCCACAAAAGATTGCATCACCTGCCCCGTCTTCGTTAGCCAGTGTCTTGGATGCAAGCAAACATAACATGATCAAACGTACCCCAAGACCAGTGCTACGAATGCCGGCAAAGTTGAGCTGGATCAATGCGACTACCAGCGCGGATAGATTGTCCGGGTCGCGACCAACTGCAATGGACTTTTGGATCCACCACTGGATAAAGTCTCTCGGCGGCTCAATGTCGCCTCGATGCTTGTTCTCCAGTCGCTCCTGGATATATTTGTTAGACAGTCCATGCTTACTGTCGGTAGCCGCTTACGCAGTTCAGTTCTTTTGGCTTGTCATACCGTGAGTATCGGACGGATCTTGGCCTCCATTCTGCGTACGTTCGCCTTGACATGGCGGGGTCCGCTCATGAAAGTGGCAGCGGCGGGTCGAAGCCAAGTCGGCACACGCATGAGGGACCCGGCCACGCCAACAGAGCTCAATCCCAGCTCCACACAGGCCGCTTTCTGTTGCGGCAGTCAGTCAGTCAGCAGGCGGCCCAGAACAAGACCCTAGGGAACAGGGAAGAGACGCGATGACTCCGATGAGTCCCGACATACCCACTCTGGGTCTCTGGCCAGTTCCTTTCCAACAAAGATACGCTGGTAAAGAGCGAAACAAAGGCCAATGCAGAAATCATGGACGGGTAGCGTCGTTTTATCTGAAGCAGAAATGATTCAGTTATAAAGACACTCTCACAATGAGGATGGCGCTGATGGTTCACCATTATCAGAAGCAGTATGTGCATGGAAGTAGGAGGCAACATCCTCCTGGACGGCAGGAAGGTAGAACGAGATCTGCTTCGTCAATTCTGACCGGACGTATTCCACAACCCAGTTATAGGGCCCGTCTGTTGTATTGGAAGGTCAGTACTAATTCTGTTGCGAGCTTGCGGGGAAACGTAAGAGCGGGCGGCATGGCATGGCACGGCACGGCCCGGCAACGTACTAGGATCATCTGGAGTCAGAGAGCCGACATAAGTCCACCGGCCGAGCAGCCGCTCATAGAGGTCGGTGTTTGAGCTGATGTGGTCATCAGGCTTCCAAGCGTATTCGTTAATGTATTTTTGCGGCAACACGTAGATTCTACGAAACGGAAGGCGGAGCAAATATATCGTTTCTCGCATCTGTTGTCTCGCAGACGATTAGAGATGGCTAACATGGCTCAACATGGCGGGGAAAACCTTCGGCAGAAGAAATAGGCGCGTACCTGGGACCATTGCTTTTTGACAACATTCTGCAGAGCTTCGGAACTCTCGCCGCCGTGCTCAGGGAACTTGGAGTTGGATGGACGGTACCAGAACACGGCGCCGGCGACGACGACGAGCCAAAGTGTGATTCCCAGCGAAGAAATGTACCGATCCATGACGGTATCAATAAAGATCTGGCCCATGTTGTCTCTCTGTCGGCGGTGCTCGTCTTGCTCGGTAGACTAGTTCAATTTAGAACGCGCATAGATATGCTCTCGAAGACCACTGCCTGCAATTAAGTACCTGGCCTACTCATAGCGATCTATTCTCTTTCAATGTCTAGTATCTAGTCGAATGTAGTCGTCTACACCCAAGAAGTTCTCGGGGATCAATACCGATAGCCTTAACGAATCCTTGATGCAGCAGCAGCACACTAGCGGAGGCTTGGCGGAGGCTTCAAACGGGACTCCCCATGGCTAAGCCGGAGTCCGCCTCCTCTATGCCGCCCGCTAGTGGAACTTATTAGGAACCACTCCGCTAGTAAGTACTCCGAGCGGCATGAACATTACTAAGTGAAGACCCACACACACTTTCAAAAGTAAGCAGTAAGTTGGAGTCCAACTCTTCTAACGTCCGCCTTGATTATCTGTTTTCCCTACTATTATTATCTTCCTGACCGGGCTCACCCTTCTCAATCGAAAAAAGAAGAAGAAAAAAGAAAGAAAAAAAAAAACAAGGCCTATTCGATGACGTCTACCACCGCACCCATGTCTACCCGAATCAATTACAGCAATGTGCTTGCAAAAGCCCGAGTGCTTGTCCTAGGCGGCTCCTCGGGCATCGGCTTCTGCGTAGCTGAGCATGCCCTGTCCTTGGGCGCGATTGTCACCATCTCTTCTTCGCGCCAAACAAAGTTGGACAATGCACTGAAACGACTAAAGACCTCGGTGCCGGGCTCGGCGGATTGCGTGGACGGACAGGTGTGCGACCTGTCAGATGTCGACTCTATCCGCCCCAACCTCGAGGCGCTGCTGAAGAGCGCTACCCGCACGCAGCTACTCGACCACGTCGTCTTCACTGCCGGTGACGGCATCAAGATTCGACCCGTCTCCGAGCTTGACGTGCCGACGATCCAACGCATGGGCCATGTCCGCTTCTTCGGTCCTATGCTGCTCGGTGGCCTCGCAAAGGATTATATGAAGCCCTCCAAGACGTCTTCCATCACTTTGACCAGCGGGGCAAGCATTCAAAAGCCAAGCAAAGGGTGGACTGTCGTCTCGGGCTATGGCGCTGGTACCGAAGGAATCGCCAGAGGTCTTGCCGTCGACTTGGCTCCTATCCGTGTCAATACAGTCAGCCCCGGCGCAGTGCACACCGAAATGTTCGATGAAATCCCCGAGACCAGATTACCCGCGGTTCTATCTGACTTCCGCAAGCGGAGCTTGACAGATAGTGTGGGCACACCTGAGGAGCTATCGGAGGCCTATATTTACTTGATGCGATGCTCGTTCGCGAGCGGTTCCTTGATTGAGGTGAATGGCGGATCTTTATTGGCAAGGGAATAAATCATTGCTGCGACTTTTCAACAATTTTACGGACAGACTTGTTGCCAGTAATATGTGACGTTGAAGTTCCCCGAGGCAAGGACAATATTGAAGCTACTCCAGATCTAAACCTCCATCTTGAACAAAGATCCGTTTGTTTCTTTTCACGCCATGTACTGTATGTCCGTGATACCCTTTACTATAAACACCACCTCACATAGGCCCTTCTGGTGAGCTCCCGATAGCGGGACCAAACGAAGTCATCAACTGCAGGGTAGCCACTAGACACTGGAAGAAGAACTGCAAAACAATTAGCGACGCACGAATTTTGTGAAGAAAAAAAAAATGGGACGGACAGACCAAAATGTGCTGGTCGAACGGCGCCTTGAATCCATTCGACAGGCCCCAAGACCACAACGCACCCGCCAGAGCTGGACCGACGGCCCTGCTCGCGGAAATAGCCGCCTGTGCAAAAGAAACAGTGACGCCACGTTGATTAGGCCGAGCAGAGAGCGTGAGCTAGAGGGGAAGACGACATGTCAGTAAAAAAGAAATTCCCTCTTTGTTTGGCTGCCTCGACATAGTATGCACTTACCAGTATCGCCACGCTGGTATACCCAATCACTACCGCCGATACGCGGATCGCGAGAAGGAGATAGAGACAACACCATTGACGATACGATTTGTTGGGCAATGCCAGAGTGAGAGGGAATGTCATGTACACGACCAGGAAGAGAATCGAAGATATTCTCCACAGAGTCGCATACGTCAGTCTTTTCGAGAGGGCAGGGTATACCACGAACTGAACGGTTAATACTACGGGGCTGAGGAAGAGCAACGTCTTTGCAATCTCACTCGACGAGAAGCCGAAGCCGATGGGTTGCCTTGTCGCCGCGATGGCAGGGTACATCTCGTCGAATGCAATGGCGTGCAAAGCAATGGTCCTGATGGCAAGTCAGCAATCGTCATGGATCTTACTTGATAGTCCGCTCAAAAAAAAAAATGGGATGGACCAACGCGTGGCCGGCGATCAGTAGGACAAGGCTGCGAGTGCGACTCGACGCAGCCTTTAACGTCGAAGTATCGCCTTGTGGAGCCAAGAGGGGCGTTTCTTCATCCGTGCGCTCGTCCGTGCGTCCCGTGTCGTCTGTGCGCTCGTCCGTGGGACCCGCGTGTTCGGCCGAGAGCTTAGTGCCCGCAGTGTCTATATTAGTCTCCCCCATGCAAGGAATACACAGCGCGACGACAACGACGTTGTAGCATGCTCCGATGGCGCAAGGGAGCAGATATGGATAGCGAACAAAAAGGTTGCCTGGACCCTTCAAGCCATACTTTTCTGCGGGTTGGCAGAGAAAGCCGCCTAGGAGGGGTCCTAGTAAAGTTCCCATGGCTGTGCAAAGTCCAAAGATTGAGAATGCGCGGCCTTGGTGGATACCGTTATTGGCTGCGAGCTCTCCGACTGATGTCCGCGAAACGCCGGCGTTACCTAGTTGTAGCAAGGAAAGCGTCAGCCGAGCCAGTTTCAACATATTGGTTGCTTCTCTTTCATGGAAAGTACCGTTGAAGAAGCCGCAGAAAGCTCGTGAAGCGATTGCCATGGTCAGGTTGCCGGAAATGCCATATAAGATGGTACATACGGCAGAGCCGAGCAGACCTAACAAGAGCACCGGCTTGCGTCCGATGCGGTCACTGACAACGCCATAGAGTGGTGCCGTGAATACCTGGGCTATAAAGAAGGCGGATGCTGTGGGAATAGTGTCAGCCACATCGAGAAGAAAAGAAAAGAAAAAAAAAGGGGGGGCGGGTTGATGTTGCCAGGCGAGTGGCTGAGCTTCTTACTAATCACGCCACACCAGAAAGCGACAGATTGTTCGTCGACATGTGGAAAGTCTTGTACCATGAACACGACAAAAGAGAGAAGCATGGTGGCAGCCAAGGGTTCGGCAAGCACCACTAGCCCGGTGAAAAAGAGCGTACGCCTAACGGCGGGATCGTGGTGGATAGCTGCCATATCGATAGGTCTTCTTCCTGCATAAAAGGTAACACGGAAATAGTACTACCTCCACGTAGTGGTGCGATAGAAGAGCAGAGGCACAATGAACTTATATGACCGGGCCAGAGATATTGTTTCCTCTCGTGCCAGCAACCACTAACAAGGCTAACTATCTACCTAGCCCACTTGAACCTGCATCACGAAACAGCCTTCTAATTGTCCCGATAACACTCCAATTGAGAAAATTGATAGACACAGTTTTTAACTTTGACAACCCTACCCCTGCCTCTTCCCCGCCCCCGCCCCCGCCCCCGCTCCCGCCCTCCCGTACCCCACGTGCACTAATTTATTCTGGAACGGTAGAAAAAGTCCTGTGCCTTGCGCTAGCGGGGAGAGTGGCTTGGCGCCGCCAGACGGCCAGAGCGAACCGCCCGTAAGTTCCCACCTTCCTCCCGAGTCCCGCCACATGGATTGTTCAGAGACAATTCTCCCGCCATCATCTATATGCCGCTAACAAGAAGGTTCATGCTCCTGCCACGTGGGGCGGACCCCACATGCATCTTTGTATAAAGGATCTACGGACACAATAGGGCCAATGGCTAGCACTCTCGACATGCAGGGTGAGCATCTCCGTAGATCCCAATCCTCCCCCGCCAACGCCGTTTCAGCCTACCCATGGCAGCGCTAGCGGCTTCTGTGCAGATTGACCTTCAACCCCTGCGTTGGACATGGCAGCCGTTCCGCATACATCCGAGAGCTCGAACGGCAGCTCGATGCCTCGCGTGGCCTGCACGCGGCGAAGCATACGCAAGGCCTTGCGGCATTCCTGCTCCGTCTCGTCCCCGAAGCTCAGAGGGCGTGCCGTGCCCACCGCCAGAGCCCCACCCTCCCGGTCGAAGAAGCCCAGGTGGAAGCGACCCGCGTCGTCGTCCAATGAGTTGACCGTCTGGAAGACGTAGTCTTCTTCGAAGAACGGCTTCTCGGGCTTGGGAACATTGTCCCAGTTCACCATGTGTGCGCGGCACCTGGTGCTGGTACAGTCGATCTTCGAGACCGTGTACTCGAACCAGTCGAATTGCTGACGCGTATGTTAGTGACTAAGCACCACTCACTCTCTGTACCATTTTGGGTTTGCATACCTCGTTGTCTGGGTGGCAGGGACTAGAGTCCGCATCTGCTGTGGCTGGTAGCCACCTGGGATTGTTTTTTAGTCGGTTTCTACTGGCAAGGATTGAACATATGGGTGACACTGGTAGTAGCACGAACCATCCGAAACTGATGTATCCAGTCTGGCCGAAGTAGGAATAGAAATTTGCCGCCGTTGCCGTGTGATTGGCAGCTCTGTGGCTGATATAGTCGGGACGCAGGATGAGCGACGTCCCGTGGAACAGAAGCTTTTGCGTCCAGTCTTCAGCAACAGCGTGCTGCAGCTGGACCAGAGCTGCCAGAGCCGTGATAGTAATGAAGCGCATCTTGGCTTTCTGTGAGCTGTAGTTTGGGAGGTGTATAGTGAGTGTGTATTAACTCAGCAAACTCGTGAGCGACCGGGTTTCCTTCCAAAGTACGTGCTTTATAGAACCTACCGAGGTATACGCTGGGCGTAAGATTCGCATTGGCGTTGCTCGTGCAGCCAGCCAGTCCAAGGACAACACTGCGCCACTCCGCAAGACGCCGCATGCTCCGACGTACCTCCTCGAAGCCCTGCTCCGGACAAGTCCCTACCTAGGTACCTAGGAAGGTACTTTTTAATATTCCAGGGTAACATCGTGCATGTCTTCAACTTCTAATACTCCACTGACGCTGGCCTGTTCTTTTTTTGCAGATAAAACTTTTGGTAGCCTGCGTTGTTCGTAGCAGTTCTACCGCTCGGCCCCGTTTTTCGACTTTTTACAGTATTTTGTAGGCAACTTCTTCTCATAGTACATAGTTATATAACCCGTAAATCTGTCTACTTTCGTAATATATATATTTTTAGCTGCTTTTTCGGATCTTTAGTAATACAAAATATATAAGTTGTCTACTATTTTAATATTTAGACTACTCTATTATATATAGGTGCTTTACGCTACTCGTAAAAGGATTTTACTATGCTATTTATTTCTAGATTATAATATTATAACACCATTAAAGTAGACAGTTAGTATAATGTATCCAATAGTAATTATAATAATAATCCTAATAGAGCAGAAAGCTATTATATATACATATTATATTATATTTACGCCTTAGTTTAGGAGGTTCAGACATTATTATAGGTACCTGCTTATTTAGAGCCTATCCGGTCTTTCCCGATAATCCCCTCTGGTATTCCTAAAGCCCGAGGTTCGAAGTCCTTAGTCAGTGTGGGGGGGGGGACCCCAGAGACCCCGTTGTGGTCCTGTGCCCATGCGACAAAGCCCCCCACCCGCGCCCCCGGGGCGAACAGCGGGGGATCCTCCCGCACGGACAAGCGCCGTGGCCTTGCCCGTAGGGCCAGCTGCTAAACTCCTGACAGTTTATCCGGTCCGCACTAGCGGCTCCTTCCGAAGCATACAGGGTCCAAACATTTATTATCATGATTATTATCATGGTTATGATCATGGATAGCACTGAGTGTATTCCGTCTCCGCCTCAGTCTCGGCAGCGGACTGGTCCGGAAGCAGCTCAGAGTCCTGCGGCGCGACGCACTTCCCCGGTCCGAACCAACATGACCTCAATTGCTTTGGGTCGGTGAAGACGATCACAGCAACTTCCCTTGCCACTGTACGTGACTGAGCCTGAAGTATATATCGACGTCTCTTCGACTCATTCATTGGCAGCTTGGTCAAGAACATGTCAAGTTCAACGAACTAAAGTCTTTCTATAATTCTATTCGGTTTATTATTCTACTATGGCTCTATCAGGAGAAGTCGCCATCATTGGCACGTCGTGCCGTGTCGCCGGCGCCAACAGCCCAGCAGAACTATGGGAATCCATGGTAGCAGGCGAAGACCTGCAATCCGACACGAGCTCTAGATTCACGGGCTACTACGACAAAATCAACGGCAAAACCAAAGGCCTCACCAATGTTCACCACGCATACCTCATGAAGGACGGCATCGACCGGTTCGACAACTCCTTCTTCGGCATCGCCCCAGTCGAAGCTGCGGCGATCGATCCTCAGCAAAGACTTCTCTTGGAGATCTGCTGGGAGGCATTCGAGAGCGCCGGCATACCCTTGGACAGGCTCCGGGGGTCAGACACGGCGGTATTCGCGGGTCTCTTCACCAGCGACTATGGCACAAGTCTGCTACGGGATATCGACACGACGCCCAAGTATCATTCCACCGGAACCTCCAACTCCATTGCCGCCAACCGCATCAGCTACTTTTTCAACCTCCGCGGCCCATCCATGGTCATCGACACGGCATGTTCATCAACCGTGACGGCCTTGCATCAGGCGATCACCACCCTGAAAACAGGTGGAGCCGAGCAAGCTGTGGTCTGTGGAGCCAACCTCATCCTCAACCCCGACATGTTCGTCACCATGAGCGAACTCGGGTTTCTCAGCCCCCGCGGACGTTGTCACTCCTTCGACGCTTCTGGTGACGGCTATGCTCGCGGCGAAGGCGTCATGGCCATCGTTTTGAAGCCTCTGGAAAAGGCAATCGCAGACAACGACCCTATCAGGGCGGTCATCCGTGGCTCCAGGCTAAACCAGGATGGCCGAACCAACGGCATCACACTGCCCTCGGGAGAGGCGCAAGAAGAGAACATTCGCAAGTTGTACTCCAGCATGGGCATTCTGCCGGGTGACCTAGACTATCTGGAAGCCCATGGCACTGGTACCAAAGTGGGAGATCCGATCGAGATGGGCGCCATCGAGAGGGTCTTTGCGAACGAGCAGCGCCGCCAGAAGCTGATCGCCGGCTCGGTAAAATGCCACGTCGGCCATCTCGAAGCCTGTGCTGCCCTCATCGGAATCATCAAGACGATAGAGTGCTTGGAACGCGGCTTCATCCCTGCCCAACTGCACCTCCTGGAGAAAAACCCCAAGATCAACTTTGATGAGCTGCAAATCCCAACGTCCACCATCCCCTGGCCCGAGAAAAACGGCCGACCACGGGTGGCGGGCATCAACTCCTTCGGCTTTGGTGGTGCGAACGGTCACGTGGTTCTTTCACAATTCTTGCGCACACATGCATGCACCTACGAGCCAGACACTACGTCCGGAGCAAGGCCGTTCCTGGTGAAGGTCTCCGCAGATAGCGAGTCTGCTCTTGCTCGAAGCAGGGACAATCTCGCTTCTTATCTATCAGCGTCAGCAAGCACCCCTATCAGCGATGTTTCGTACACATCGTTGCTACGCAGGTCGCTGTTGCGAAAGTCCCAATTCTTCGTGGCTTCATCGACCGCCGACCTGGTCCAGAAGTTGCGGGGAGAGGGCGACGACAAGTTGCCTGCTGTCCTGTCATCTCAGGGTGATGAAAGGACCAAGCGCCTCGCTCTCGTACTGACGGGGCAAGGAGCTCAGTGGGCACAGATGGGCAAAGATTTGTTAGACGTCTGCCCAATCTTCACTTCTGTCATCAACGAATGTGACGCCATCCTGTCCAGTTTGCCAGATCCCCCATCTTGGACGTTGTACGACGAGCTCCGCCTTCCCGCCGCCAAGTCGAACGTCAACAGCTCCCGTTACTCACAACCTCTCTGCACCGCGTTGCAGCTCGGTCTTATCAACTTCTGGCGCCGTCTCGGCATCCGGGCCGTTGCATGCGTGGGGCATTCCTCCGGCGAAATCTCCGGCGCTTATGCCGCTGGTATCTTGACGCTCAAAGATGCCATCACGGTCGCGTACTACCGCGGTGTCTGGATGAGTGCTGCTTCGGCCAGCAAGCCGGGTGCCATGGCTGCTCTATCCATGAGCGCAGAGGAGTGCACTCGCATGCTGAGCGCTTTCGACGGCAAGGTCGACCTTGCGGCCGTAAACTCGCCGTCGAGTTGCACAATCTCCGGAGATGCCCCCTGCATTGACGAGATTGTAAAAAGATTCACGGAGGAAGGTGTTTTCTGCCGCAAACTGCGGGTGGATACTGCGTTCCACTCGCATCATATGGTGCCCCTGGCTGAGCCATATCGGAATGCTCTCGAGAAAGCGGGAGTATCGCCCGTACTGGGTGCGAAGCCTGAAGGATCTCCGACCATGTACTCCTCCGTATACGGAAGAGCCGTCGACGCGGCAGAAGTGACCCCGGATTATTGGGCCAAGAACATGACCCAAACCGTTCGCTTCTGCGATGCCATATCTGCCTTGGCGAAGCTCGAGCACGCAGATGCTTACTTGGAGGTCGGACCGCACCCTGCGTTGAAAGGCCCTGCTGTTGACAGCATCACCAATGCTGTTGGACAGGAGAGCAAACCGGAATATTTCGGTACGCTTAGCAGGGGAGTAAACAGCAACTCGGCACTTCTCTCATCCGTCGGCGCCATGCTATCAGCTCGGATACCCCTGAAGCTCGAACGCGATGGTGCTACCGCGCTTGGTCTTTCGCACGTGATAAACCGGGTCCTCGTTGATTATCCCTTCTATTCCTGGGATCATTCCGCTGTGCACTGGGCCGAGAGCAGGGTGTCCAAGTCTCATCGTTTCCGGAAACACCGACGCGACATCATCCTTGGATCGAGGGTCCCTCACGACACTCCTCTTTCGATGTGCTGGAGAAACATCCTGAGGACAGACGAGCTGCAGTGGCTCAACGAGCGAGCCCCCACGGGCGAATCTTCGCTTTCCCCGTCGTTCTTGCTTCAACTGGCCATCAGGGCAGGCTTGCAAGTGGCAAGCGATCACTCGTACGATACGCCACCTACCATCCAGCTCACCGGCATTCGCTTCCACGAGTCACTTGATCAATCTGCCATACTCTCGAGCCAAGAAGTCGAGACCCAGTATCTGCTGATCCCGCAGACGCGTCGGGATCAATTCACTTTCCGCTTGTTGATCCATGATACCATTTCCAGTGCCAGTGGCACTTGGATTACCGCTTTCGAAGGGCACATGTCGATTTCCTTGGACGGTCTTGCGCCCCTCGGCCCCGAGAGTGCAACCGTGAAGACAGACGAAGCAGTGGTTGCTCGTATGGAGAGCCATCTTCCTCCGCTCCCTGAACCCGTATCTCTTTCCTCGGTGGATGGCGCCAGTGTCGCCGGCGAAGTCACGAGCCAAATGAGTTTTGAATCAATCGAAATGTCCGACCTGGAACTCTTCGATTGGATTTTCGGCTTGCTTTATCGTCACATGGGAATCTCGGGTGACGCTTCAAAATATACCTTGACTACGGTCGAGAAGCTCACCATCGACTTGAAAGCTGTTGAAGCATCTCCGGTCCAGTTCGCGATGAGGATTCAGAATTGCGCGGAGGGTCGAGGACAAGCCACGCTCACAATGGCACATGCATCTTCAGGCATCCACAGCCTGGTCGTTGAAGGAGCAACGTCCATCGTGAAGGAAAAAGAACGAGCGAGACCGCCTACCAGCTCTCTTTTCTTCCAACCAGCCTGGCTCCCCGACATCACGGCGATGGAGGCCTCGGACACCCGCTCGTCAAGTCTTGCACGCGTCATCGAGCTGGCCACCCATAAATGGCCAGCTTGCGACATTGGGATCGCGACAAAGAGGGAGGAGCTCCAAGCACTGATCTTGAGCCTTCTACCCGGTGCAAGGTCATCCGAACGCCCAAGGTTTCGATCCGTTACTACGATGCTGGAACCTAAGGGACCGGCATGCGAAAGAGCTTCCCATGACGGGCTCTTTTCTCCGAAAGATCTGACGCTGCTCTTCACCGATGACGCAGGACTCGATGAGAAGATCAAACAGGTCACTCCTGGAGGCTTCCTTTGCGTCCTGCTGTCACGTACATGTCCCGACCCGACGATCGAGGGGACTCAGGGGAGCGCCAGCGATACCGAGAGACTCTGTACGGTAGAGGTTGATTCATCCACCACAGCCGTGCTCTTCCGTCGCAAAGCCCCGGAGAGTCTTACTACCAGCCAGACTCATCAGACTCTGATGGTTTCGACGACCTCGGCAGAAACCACATGCACGCTACGAGACGTGCAGTCTCTGCATGCAGCCGCCGAGCAGCACAAATCGGGAGAAGCTGTGGACCTAGTCGTCTTCGACAATGACGAGAAATCGCTTCTTTGCCTGATGCCACCCAAAGACTGGCTCTCAAGCGTTCAAAAGCTGGTAGCGGATGCCAGGAAGCTGCTGTGGGTTACGAAGGACACGTGCAGGAATGACTTGCCTCACTGGGGGGCTGCGAGTGCTTTTCTTCGCACCTTGTCCTCCGAGCAACCCCTGCTGAGTGCTGCAACCCTGAATCTCCGGGCCGATTTGACACAAAACGCCCTCGATGCTGTGATCAAGCCTGTGCTCGATAACCTCCGCAACGGGTCGAAAGAGAGTGAGATGCGCTTCGAAGACGGACAGCTCAAGATTCTGCGTTATCTGCCAGACGACGAACTCAACGCAACCTCCGGAGCTGGTCCTGTTCATCGCGCATTCTCGCGCATCACCTGCGTCAACCACCAGGTTGGCCATGCACAGCCCGGTCAGATGATGGTGAACCCAATCAGACATCTGGGCGCAGCAGCCCACGTGCACCCTGCAGAGGAACTCGTCCATCTCGACGTGCAGCTCTCCGTCATGGACGTTGTCGATGTCCAAGACGCCTTCAGCCACAAAGCTGCAGCCTGCCACCCGGGTCAATTCTTCCTTGGCAAGACAGTGGACGGACATCAACTACTACGTGTTGGCTATTCGCCTGGCTGCCATACCAAGAGACTCCAGGTGCCCGTGGAACAGACCGTGGAAGTCCCGCCTTCGGCAGACCCCAAGAAGATTCTGTTGTCTCTTGCGGCTCATGCGCTTGCTTACGCCATCATGACCCAGACGGCCAGAGCCCGAACCGACGATGTGATCCGTGTTTTGTTCCGAAATAACAGCACGAGTGCTTTCGAGCATGTGGCTCGTTTCCTTGGATGCCGTGTTGTCAATTGGAACGATAAGCGTCACGCTGTCGATTTCGAGCTGGATTTCGCACCGGAAGCCGGCTATACGCTGAATGGCAAAGTGATCGACGTCAAGTCGGCTCTCCGCAAGACGCGATTCAACGAGTCTCTCGGAAAGGCTCTGATCTCGATGGCGGACCACAACGCAAGCCTGCCGGAGTATGGCTTGGAGAGTTTGCAAGCAGCTCTGGCCCATGCTTCCCAGACAGGCGATGTAATCGCCCTGCATCACGACCCGGACCATGAGCTGGGAGTCCTTCAAGAGTTTAGACACATCGGTGCGTCGGGTATCTTCCGCAAAGACGCTTTCTATGTTCTGATCGGCGGGTTCGGCGGCCTCGGTCTGCTTCTGATGGAGTGGATGCTCAAGAATGGTGCTCGGAACTTTGCCGTCATCAGCAGGAGCGGTGCGTCTTCGGAACGCGCCCAGGCCGTGATGCAAAAGATCGATGCGCTAGGGGGACGAATCGACGCCATCAAAGCAGATGCAGGCGATGCACAAGCTATGAAGGCGGCGATTTCGACATTGCGTTCGGCCATGCCCATCGGGGGATGCTTCAACATGGCTCTCATCCTCGACAACTCGCCCTTCTCGACGATGACTCCGACGCAGTGGGACCTTGGTATACGCCACAAGGTCGATACTGCTGTCGCCCTGCATGAGGCCACGCTGCAGGATGAGCTCGACTTCTTCATCATGTTCTCGTCCATCTCGTCCATCTCTGGCAACAGAACGCAAGCCGCCTATGCATCCGGCAACGCTTTTCAGAACGCCATGGCCGAACACAGGCGAGCACTCGGGCTTCCGGCTGTCTCGGTCGCCCTCGGTGCGATGGAGGGCGTCGGCACGCTCGCGGAAGACGCCGACACCCTTCGCACGTTGAAGAAGAGTGGCCTGCGGCTGTTGAACGCAGGGGAGTTCCTGCAGATAGTGGAATCTGCCGTACACGAGTCCAAGCACCAGGACAGATACTTATTGGTCACCGGCTTTGAGATGTTCCCGGCAACACAAGATGCAGCTAAGACGGAGGCCACCAAAGGGCAGGTCTTTTGGGAGGGATTCCCAGAGCTCAGCCACCTGTTCGAGCACGAGCCGAGAAGAGGCGACGGTTCCGATGACGACGTGCCGTTGGCCCAGCGACTCACGACTGTTGCCGAAGAGACCGCTCACAACATACTCTGCACCGCCTTCTTGGACTTCCTGTCCGGGCTTCTCGGCTATCCCGTCTCGAAGCTCGATCCGACGCAGGCCGTCGCTGCGTATGGCGTTGACTCTCTCAATGCCGTGGCTTGTCGTTTTTGGATCTTCCAGCAGCTCAGCCTTGACGTGCCCATCTTCGATATCTTGGGTTCGCGCTCCATCGACGCGATGATTGCAAAGTGTCTTGACCGCATCAGAAAGGCCGACCAAGCGAATAACCTGCCACAACTTCCCGCCCCTACAAGGCACGGCGGCTGCGGCTCTGGGGAGCTTGTTGCACGGACACTGTCGCACTCGCAGAGCCGCTTGTGGTTCCTGCACAACTTCCTCGCCGACAAGACTCTGTACAATTTGCTCCTGACTTGTCACATCGACGGAACCGTCAACACTGCAGCCTTTCGAAAGACATGGGAGACCCTGGTATTGAGGCACGAATCGCTGCGGACTTGCATCGTGGACTCGGGATCGGGCTGGCTTCAAATTCCCGCCAAGCAATCCACGTTTACGTTGACAGAGGTCCATTGCTCGGCTGCCGACTTCGCCCGTCAGAACGACAAGTTGACCTCGAAAGCACGCCGACACGTCTTTGATCCTTCCAAGGGCGCTCTCGTATGTGGATGGCTCTTGGTGAGTCCGGCAGGCAGTCGATTCTACATGGCGTCCCACCACCTTGCTTGGGACAGGGGCTCAGTCGGCACCATCTTCGAGGAGCTTCCCCAAATCTACAAGAACTTGATCGATGGGAAGCAGCCTGCAGAGTCTCTGGAAGACGATCCGATGCAGTTCATCGACTATACGGTGTGGCAAGATATGATGCTTCAGACGAAGGAGCTTGTCAGCCCACACGTAGAGTACTGGAGGACTCAGTTGCAAGGGATCCCCGAGTGCGTGTCGCTACTTCGCTTGAGCCGAGTGCCCGAACGACCGGTCGTCAAACAACAGGAGGCTTCTTCGGCGCAAGCCGTATTGAATGCTGTCGGTGCGAAGAGGCTGAAAGACTTCTGTGCCACGCGCGCGGTTACGCCCTTCATGTTCACCACGTTCGTCATGGGCAGCCTTGTCAACGGCCTTACTGGCGATGACGAGATCATGATTGGCATTGCGGATGGCGACCGCGGTCACACGGCTTTCGACCGCATGGTCGGTTTCGCCGTCAACATGCTCCCCCTCAGGATGAGGTTCTCGCAGGACCGCACGTGCGCCGCGCTGCTGGAGGACCTTCGGAGCTCTTGCTTGCAAGCGTACGAACATCGTGCCGTGCCTTTCGACTACCTTCTCCAGGTGCTCGATGTGCCCAGGAAGACCAGCCACAACCCGATCTTCCAGATTGTCGTGAACTACCAGTCTCAGGGTGCGTTCCCGAAGCCGGATTTCGGCGACTTCCGATTCGTCGACTACGACCACTACAACGCTCGCACCCAGACCGACATCGCCCTGGAAGTGGAGGAGCTGTCGGACGGGTCGATGGAGTTCCACTTCGAGTTTGATGCCGCCATGTACGGAACCGAGGTCGCCGAGACGTTTGCCCGGATGTACAAGTTCCAGCTGGAGCAGGTCATTCAGGGCTCAGACAAGAGGCTGGACCAGTGGGAACTCGCATCACCGGACGATTTGCAGATAATTTCGCGCCTCCTCCAGCCCGCACTGCCCGAAGGCAAGAGTATTCAGGGCATGCGAGAAAACCTCTTCGCTGATCTTTTCGACCGCTGGGTGGCGACGAACCCAGACAAGACTGCCCTGGTGGACGCAAAGGCCACCGTTTCATACAGAGAACTCGACAGGCTCACGAGATCCCTGGCAGAATCTCTCTTGAGCAGTGGCATTTCTGCTCAGGAATGCGTCGGCGTATGCTGTGAGCCCAGCGTCGAAATGATGGTTGCAGTCTACGGCATACTTCGCGCCCGCTGCATCGTGGTGCCAGTGGACCCAGACTTCCCCGTGGATCGTATCATCAGCATTGCCGAGGACACCGGCCTGTCTAGAGTTCTCGTGAATGAACACTCGAAAGCGGTCAAGCAGAAGCTCATCACGGCTGGCATCATCGACATCCGCGAAGTGCGGAACTTGACCAAGCCACATGCTCCCAGGACCGACAAGACGGTCGTGCCGTTGGAGCCTACCCGGCCCGGAGATATTTTCTGCGCGCTTTTCACAAGTGGTTCTACTGGAAGGTTAGTTCGTATCTGGGGAGCGAGTTGAGGCGAGCGTTGGTGTCCTGGTCGGACAAACGAACATGAACTAATCGAGACATCTGTCATAGACCGAAGGGAGTCTACATCGGACATGAGCAACTCCGGTACCAGGGAGAACAGTATCACGACACTCTCGGGACAAGGACGAGCGACAGAATGCTACTTTCTTCGGCTCTCGTGTTCGACATGTCCTTACACGCCATCTTCGGCACCATCCTACACGGCGCAACTCTCGTCATCGCTACGCGAGAAGGTGAGATCATATGATGACTGGACCCTTGATAGTTCTGCCGATCGTCGTTGAAACTGACTGGCATGGCAGAACGCTACTCGGCGGAGAAGATGAACGAGCTGGTAGTCCGCCAGAAGATCACCAACTGCATCTTCACACCTACGCAGCTGAAGCTGATGCTTCGTGCGTCGAACCAGACTTTGCTGGCCACATGGAAAGTGCTGCGTAGCCTCACTCTCGGCGGCGAGCCAGTGCCGTCCTGGGTCCTGACGAGCTTCCTGTCATTGAACCTGCCCCACGCGCATCTGTTCAACGGCTACGCACCCACCGAGACCACGATCATCAACTCCCTCCGCCGCTGCACGGCTCAAGATGCAGCGGGAGATTTCTTGCCGCTGAGCCCTCCGCATGCTCCTGCTCGCTTCTACATCCTCGACGGCCAAGGCCGCACAACCGCGGTGGGCGTGCCGGGCGAGCTTTTCATCGGAGGACCCATCGTGAATAACGGCTACATCAAGCGTCCCGAGTTGACGGACAAGTCGTTCGTGCCGAACCATTTGGACGAAAACCAGAACGGCGAGTCTGGCAACGCCTCTTTGCTGTATCGCACAGGCGACATGTTCTGCTTGGAGCCCAGCGGGAACCTCAGGGCGCTAGGGCGCATTGCTGGTAACAGACAGGTCAAGATTCGAGGAATGCGCGTGGAGCTGGACGAGGTCGAAAGCGTCCTGTACGCGGCACTTGCCCAGCTGGGCGAGGTTTCAGGCTTCAAGTCGGGCCTGACTGGCGTGGTATACTACCCGAAGGATGACGTACATGGCTGGCTTGTGGCGTACGTTGAATGCGACCAAGGAGAAGGCGAGATGCATGCGGAAGTGGCGAATTTCCTCAAGGCAAGGTTGAAAGCGTCCCTTGCCGTCCACATGGTACCGAACGACATCAAGTTCGTTGCCGATCTGCCCAAGACCACAACGGGTAAATTGGATTACAAGACGCTGCTTTCCTGGGACGTCAGCATGGCAGCTGACCATCGGCCAGCGGCTGGGCGGGCGGAACTGCAGGGCGACGAGGAAAGATCGCTGGCGCGCATCTGGAACGAGGTTCTTGGCAGCGACAGGGACCTGTGGCGCGACACGGACTTTTTCAGCGCAGGTGGCTCTTCGATCTTGCTTCTCCGGGTCCGGACTTCGATCTTTGCCATGCACGGCGTCGATGTTTCCCTGGCCGACATGTTCGCGTACCCAGACATCCAAGGCATGGCGGCACTGTTCAAGCCTCAGAAGGAACAAGCAACCCCCAACAGCTGGAGCATGGTTGGCGATAGCGACTCGGACGGCTCGGGACACGTGTCCGTGTCTCAATTCGACAGCCAAGAACTGGCGGAGCAGCCACGGCCACAAGCGCCAGCGATTGATTGGGAGAAAGAAATCGCCCTCCCCGCACACTGCAACTGGACCCCTGCATCGAAGGAAGCTCGGGGGATCTCCCGATCCGCTGTGGCGCTCACGGGAGCCACAAGCATGATCGGCGCCCACTTGTTGGCACACCTGCTGCGCGAAAGCACCGATATGAAGATCCATTGTCTCGCCGTCTCCGGATCCGGAAAGGAGGAAAGCCGATCCCAGATCCTATCCGCACTTGCTACTTGGAAATTAGACACGGGCCTTACGGCACAACAACTTGGCCGCATCGTGCCGTATAACGGCGACCTGGCGCATCCTACCTTGGGACTGCAGCAGTCCGAGGTTCGTGCTCTCGATGTCGAGGTCTCGGAGATCTGGCACTTGGAATCCGACGTTTCGCTGCTGAAAGGTTACGATTCTCTCCGACAAACCAACATTGGCTCTCTCCGGTTCCTGATCGAATTCGCGGGCGGCGAAATTGGCAATGTGAAAGAGCTTCACTACCTGTCCACGTGGGCGGTACCGCACCTCCAAGTGTGGAACGCCACGACACGATCGCCAGACTTTGTCTCTACCGAGCCGGTGCCCATGTCGCACATGCGACCAGGCCAGGCCCAGAACCTTGGCTACCTGAAGATTCGCTGGGCGGCTGAACAACTGCTGGCCACCGCGGCAGAAAGGGGGGTTCCGGCCTCGATATTCCGCTCTTGCATGTGCGCGCCTGCGCAAAGCCTTGGCTGCCCGCTACCCAGGACCGACGTCAATCGTCGAATCTTAGCCGGTAGCTTGCATACGGGTCTCGTGCCCGACTTCGGCAGCAGCACAGGGGGCGGTATGAGTTGGATTGACGCTTCCTTCCTCGTGCGATCCATGCGCGTCCTCGCAGGCGAGGCGAGAGGAAAGATGCCCCAGCCGGCCATTCACCATCTCACCGGAACGCAGCACTGGACCTACGCCGAGCTGGCTGGTTTGCTGGGTCGTCATGTTCGACTGGCGTCGCCCGAAGAGTGGTTCGCAGCAATGCGCGCGGACGGTAATCCGGAGATGCTTCTACAAGCTGACGTTTTGGAGGAGTGGTGGCAGGCTGGTTGGCGACCATTTGCCATTGATGGATCGGAGACGCTGCGCACAACCAAGCACGCTTTGCAGATCAGTCCGCCCAATGTGGACGGCGCATTCCTGAAGCAGGTGGTCGGTGACCAGCCTTTCTGATAGGCGAGATGTTGATGAAGATGATGTCTTCTTCGTCCCCCCTGCCGTGCCCCAGCGACGCGGCGGCGAGGACGGCAGCAGCGGTCATATCTATGTCGGGAGAAAAAGCCGCAAATCGAAGTTGCCAGGCGCCACTGTAGACAGATATTTTTAGATGTACAGCTCGATGTAGCTCGATCTGCGGACCATGCCCCCCTCAACTGTTTCATAGTAAGATGGATGACGACGGGGCTTAAAAAGAGAAATCAAAAGAACAGAATTTGTGTTGAGAGAAAATGTCCCATGTTCTTCCTGCAGGGTTATCTGGGAAGGATTGTGTCAGGATCATCCCGAAAAAACATATAGGGCTAGTTTAACGCGTGGTTAACACGTTAATACCATGCCAATCCCTGTATAAAGTGGAGATATTTCGCCTTGATTCTCTCACCGAAATGTAAGCAGTGAAAGAGGGGACTACCCGTGCCGTGCCCCACTTATCGGGTTCGTTCCTTACCAGCCCTCCTCAGTTATACACCTCTACCCGTATCTTGTCGCACGTCAAAAGGCACTTGAATGATTAACTTAGTAGAGCAGAAATCTCGTGTGTATGTATTATATTAAGTTATATCTAGGAGAGTCTCTTATACCCTTAAATTAGATGGTGAAGACTCTGTTATGGGTACTAAGTCATTTAGATTCTATCCGGTCTTTTCCGGTATCCGCCCCTATTATATCCGAAGCCCTTAGTTATAGCGTGGATCCCCCCTGGATCCCCTATAGACTACGTCGTGGTCCGTGTGCCTATACGATACACCCCCTTAGTTAAGGTGGGTCTTCTCAGGTTAACTAACTAATTAGAGGCTTCGGTTTAAACTAAACGCTCTTAACTTTTCTATTATAAAATCAATAGTTAAGGGAAAACGCCCTTATAAAAGAGATCTAAATCCGCTCTATTTAACCGTTTAATTTAATTCTATCTTAATTAGTTCCTCGATCCTAATTAGTCGGATCTACTTAATCGGATCTATATCCATCGGATCTACTACGTCCTCGGGGGCCTTTATTATTACTGCGGGCGTGGCTTTAGCGCGTTTAATCTCTTCGTGTAGTCGTTTAGACTACTCGATACGGTCCTTTTAATCTGTTAAATTAAGCTATTACTATAGTCTTTTAATTCCTGTCTCCAGTAGTGCCTTTATTAAGCCGTCCGCCATTATCTCCTTCGTGTTAACGTACCTGACCTTAAAAAGACCTTATTATACTAACTAGCGCGCCTACTAGTTATATATATCGATGTGCTATAGCCTTATCCGTAGGCGTTATGCCTTCTTATTAACGAGGTTAATAGTCTACTAATTATCGTAGTATAGCTATAGTTACTATTAGTCTAACCGAAGCTCTAAATCCCTTAATATCCGGCTAACGAATAACGTCTTTTTAGCGGCCTTTATAACAGCGAGTAGTTCCGATTCTGTTAACAACGTTATAACCGTCGGTTATTTACCAGCTTTCTAGTTAACGGTGCCGCCGAAAAGCTTTATCGTATATCCTTACGAACTCTTACGGTCTGGATTATCCTTAAAGGACGCGTCGCTTACTATTAGGAAAAGCCTATCCCCGCCGAATTCCAGGTAGTAGTGTCTTATATAGTATAGGAATAGCAGCACTTATTAAGCCCTCTTAAGGTAGTTAGAGGAGGGGTTAACGTTATATTAGGAAAGCTTTAAGTAGGCGAACGCGATATCGGGTCTTATTATAATAGCGGCGTATAGGATAAAACCGATTATTCCCTAATACTAATAGACCTCGGGAATTAATACGCGGGTGCCGTCTCGGGGTACTACCGGCTTCGTAGATAATAAGACCTTTAATGGTTTTCGGCAGAGTATATCTACGTAGTATTTAACCGCGATCTTCTCTATATAGGAGGATTATAATAGCTATAACCTACGGGTGGCTCTATCCCTTAGGACCTTAATTCCTAGGAATCAACGGATTTCTTCGCCCCCTAATAACCTATAGCTTCGCTTAAGGGCAGCCTTAAAGTCGTCGGCGTCCGTCTTACGGTCTTTATAGTATATAAGTCCGATATCGTTAATGTAGAAGAATAGGATTAAACCGTCGCGGATTATAATATAGGGGTTATTAGGGACGGCTATAAAGCCTATTCTCTATAGCATACCGCTAAATTCCTCTTACTATAGTAGTGGCAATATCCTTAAATCGAAGAGGACTTTCCATAGTAGCAGGACCTTACTTAGTACTTTATAGCCTTATAGTATCTTTATAAACACCTTGTCCTTAAGGCTAGCATTAACGAACGCGTTAATGGTATCGAACTGCCTTATCTTTAGGTTAAATCGGGCGGCGATTACTATTAGTATACGGAAGGACCGTGAGGCTAGCGTTATAGCGTAGTTATCTTTAGCCTTTAACCGTTTTTATTAATCCCCTCGGACTATAAGGCGTGCCTTATATTTAAGGAGGGTGCCCTCCTTATTAAATTTATAGGTGTATACCTATCTATAGGCGAGGACTTATTACTTATTAGCCTAATCACCACCTACCTCTTACTAGTAGCCTATCTATCGGTGCCCCTTAAGGTGTTCCCCCTCGGCCTATAACTACCGCTCCCGTAACGGGTAGAGGCGTATATCGTGGTAGTGCTTTAGTAGAGGCGGGAGATCCTCGCGGGTTGTATGCGATAATGGCTAAGAGGTGTTAGAGGGAGTAGAATCTATAGTACCGACGTCGCTATTATTAATAGCTTACTTCCTCGCGCGTGTGGGGTTATAAGTCCTGCTAGCGTTGAAGAACGCCTTTTAGGCGTTATCGTTCTGGACCTTTTTAGTGATATATAGACTTACGATGGTTCTCGCGATAGATAGGCACGCGGCCGACGGGCGTACGGCCGACGGGCACCCCCTAGGGATATTCGCGGCTATCTGTTAGTGGTTATCGTGTTCTTCTACCTTAATTCCCCTAACTACCGCTAACGCTATAAGGAACGCGCGTGCGGGATCTTCCGGGGATATTAGAGGCGTGGGAAACAGTTTAAACCTTATAGTGGTAAACTGTAAAGTGTCCGTAGTAATAGCGGTAGCCTCTCCCGTAGTAATAGCGGTGGCGTTAGAGTTACGAGGTTCTAAATCTATAGTCTAGTTATTAGGCTATAGATTTAGAACCTCGTTTATAGTAATAGTAGTGTCTATAGTAATAGCGGTGCCCGTAGTAATAACGGTATAGTCTATAGTAATAGTAATAGCCTCTTTTATAGTAATAGCGACGGCCTCGCTTTTATCCGTCGTAATAGCGGTAGCGTCGCCTTTACCCGTAGTAATAGCGGTGGCGTTAGAGTCTTCCGACTTAAGATCTAATACGTCTACGGCTATACCCCTTAATAGCAGCCTATTCGCGGTCTTATTAGATTAGGTGATACGGATAGATTATAGGCGTTCCCTGATTTCCTCGGCGGAGGCTATAGCTTATAGCGTTTTAATCCTGCCGTTAAATATCTTATCTTCGTTAAAGACTATGTCTCTCGTGGTGATAATATCCGTTAGGTATAGTAGCTAAATACAGAAGCTATTCGAGGATTAGTATCCGACGTGATAACCGATCTATACCTTTAGTTCTAGCCTTTATAGGCGGTTCCTTTTAGCTTAGGTATCGCGCGTTTTTATAAAGGCTTTATAGCCGTAAACTCATAGGTGCGTGAGGTTAGGTTAATAGCGGCGCAGGCCTTCGTATAGCGTTCGCTAGTCATTAATATATTATAGCGTCCTGTTATATAGATATATAGTAGTCTTAAAGATCTTAGGCTAGATAGATATAGGTAGATAAGCTTTAATTCTTATAGCCCTCGCCCTTCTCTTAACGATATCTTTAATCCGTTCTATAACGCCGTTCTAATCCTATAAATATAGTGCCGACGGCTAGCCTTCTACCCCCTTAGCAGCGAGGAAAGCAACGAGTTCTAGGTACTAAAATATCTTAGAATTAGCCCGTAGAACGCGTGGCCTAATATCGAATTAGGTCTTAAGCAGGGTAAAAACGTCCTTTAGAGCGTGTAGAATAGAGCCTTAGTCTCTTTTTTATAAATAGTAATCCTATATATAACTTATATACACGTTTATAACGAATATAATAGACTTATATAGTCCGCCCGCTAACTGCTCCGCCTTTTCTAGATCGTGAAAATTAATAGCTAGGGCCTCTCCGGGCTTTAACGGGTAAAAGAATAGTATCCGCCGGATCTATATAGGCACTTACGACTATCCACACGCATTATAGTCCGTTATACGTAGTCCCTTCATCTTTACCCTTTAAGTAGCGTTAACGATCTTTACGAGAGTATCGGTGCCGTAGTGGCCGAGGCGTTCGTGCTACCGTTATACCGTAGTCTTCTACGGTTACCGCGGTTATTGTGATCTTCTATACGGGTTATCGTGGGGGTGCCTTACCGAGACCGCGAACGTGGTAACGGCTATAGCTTCTGTGCGCTCGATTATATACTAGCCGTGGATATCTAGTAGCTTATAGATAGGCCGGTTATCGGCGGACTAAAGATAGTATCGTTTACGGTATCCTAGTAATAACCTTATAGGCGTAGTTAGTATTCCGAGACGATATTAGTAACGAATTCCTTATAGTATACGATGTCACGGAGGCGTAATAGCCTTTTTATACCCGCTAAGGATTATACACGTAGCTCAACGTCTCCGTATCCGAGAATAGGAGCCTTATAAGTACCTACCTATAACGTTAATAAATTAACCGTAGGTAGTCTAATAGCCGTAAAATGGCCTCGATTATTAAAGATATAGATTAACGATCCTAAGTCTAGGATCGCGTAGTATAATAGCGCTCTAGCTTAGTTAATAGAAAGGAATATCCTTTATTCTTATTATAATCTTAATAGTATTATCGTGTAACGACGCGCCACCCCCTAAGTTAGGGGGGCTTTTAGTCTCCCCGTCGCGGTAACGGACAGGTCTTCTTAAACTATAGTAGGCGTAGTATTATAGAGTTAATCTTCCTAGACTTCCTCTATCTTATTAGCGGTAGTAGCTACTATTTCCCGTCTCTTCTATATCGCGGTGTCCACGCGGCTTTTAAAACTATAAATACGTATCTTCTTTTCCGCGACCTTTATAATATCTTCACGGCCACGCTAGATATAAAGGCGTATATCCGGCCTTATATACTAATAGGCGGCGGTAGTATAGGTGTTTTTATATATCTTATAGGGCCTCTATATTACGGGAGGGATAGTCTTTAAGGATATATCGCTATAAGGACGCTTTTTATTATCTTTATTATTAGTAGTAATAGTATCCTTAGTATCGGGGAGGTTCCTAAGGGTATTAAAGGTGCCTCTCCTAACTCTAGGCTTTATAGCGGAGGATTATAGGCTTTTTATATTACTAAGAACCGCCCTTAGAGTCTTTACGAAGTCGTTAATCGTTAGCTTATTTTCCGTAATCTTATCGTAGATATTTACTAGGTAGTTATTACTTTATTCCTAGGTAATAGGTCTAATAGCTTTTAACGCGTCTTCTGCCTAATAGTCCGCGCTTAATAGCTCTAAAACGCCTATATATTTATAGTATATTATCGCTATTTTCTAGCTTACTACTTAGGCGTCTATATCCTTAGGTATAGCCTTTATAGGCGTGGTGTATCGTCGGTATAGAACTAAGGCTTCCTTATAGAGGTCTATAGGTATTAGTTCTGCGTGCGTGTATAGGAGAGTAATCCAGGCCCGCGGGTTATTTACGGTGTTATCTTATAGCTAGGCGAGGAGGTTATGTAATATAGTATACATAGTCCTTTCAATATAGGAGCGTACCTCGTTAAACTCCTTCTACTACGCGTTATAGTCTACTTTTTCCTCGCGGTATATATAGTAATCTTATAGGTAGCGCGTGCGCCTCTTTTTAGAGAGGTCGTTAATAGATATAGGCGTTTTAGTCAGTGGTTCTTTTATTCCGGCCGTAACCTTCCGGCGAGCGGCCGTCTTCCTTTTACCGGCGGCTATAGCCGCCGTGGTAGCGGCGGCGTCTATGGTGTCCGTAGCCTTATCGCCCTTTAGCGTGACGGTAGAAAACGTAGTAGCCGTGGCTATAGCCTCCTCCGCGTTTAGGTCCACGATAAGGGCTTTATATTTACGAACGTTAGGCGGTATAAGTAGGGGGAGGAGATAGGCGTTAGTCTCCTTATCGTTTAGCTTTAGATTAAGGTAGTTATCCTAATAGGAGGCCGATTTACCGCGTACGGCGCGCTCCTAAACCGCCTAATCTCTTTAGTTAATAAGGGTAGTAGCGGCCGCCTTTTATTCGGCATTAGATACGTTAGAAGATATCTTTACTAGTTTATCGTTTATCGGTTAGTTAATTAATAGATAGATTAATTAATCTTTTAATTACTCTAATTAAGTTAATAGTAGTTATTTACGAGTGCTTATATAGATATAATTACTTCTTTATAGTAGAATAGGGGTAGCCTTATTAATATCTATTATTTAGGCGTTATAAACCGGGCTTATAACTATCGCACGTTAAAAGACATTTAAATAATTAACTTAGTAGAGCAGAAATCTCGTGTATATATATTATATTAAGTTATATCTGGGAGAGTCTCTTATACCCTTAATTTAGGTGGTAAAGACTCTATTATAGGTACTAAGTTATTTAGATCCTATCCGGTCTTTTCCGGTATCCGCCTCTATTATATCCGAAGCCCTTAGTTATAGCGTGGATCCCCCCTGGATCCCCTATAGACCACGTCGTGGTCCGTGTGCCTATGCGATATATCTACACTCTAACCACTGTTTACGAAGGTGCATAGCTAAAGTACTCCTAACCCCGCCGGGTTAGACCCACCCGGGAGCACGGGCCCGTTTATTACGAAGGACCATAGTCTACACCATAACGATATCCTCTCCTTGTTCCCCCTCTTCTTCAACAATAATAACAACAATGGATTGCAATCGCGATACTACGATATAGCAGTAGCAGAAGCCACAGCCACCGCAGTCACCGCGGCGGCAGGGACGTTCGAGCGATATAAGCCGGGAATACAGTGTTCTGAATAGCTTGAATTTTCAAGTACGTAGTACTTTAGTCCTTAATAATTTTTCCTTGTTTTGGAGGTTGGGTCTGACCGGGGGAGTAGTAATACACCTCTACTAGGATCTAGTATATTAGCGCGTATACAAAGTAATATAACTAGCTAGGGATAACAGGGGGCCCCACTAGGTAGAAGTACATCCAAACACATACAAACTATAAGCAGATTTAAGTATATTAATCTACACAAATAAAAGTTGATCTTACTACTATTATAGCTATCACTATAATCAAAAATTAGTATCTTCCCTATCCCTCTTAATAACCTAATATAGGCGGGCTAGTTAGTATAGCATTAAGAGTAGTTATATTATAAAGGGCTGCTTTTATAGAATCTGAAAATAGCTTTAAAATACGGATTATAGAGAAAGTGGTAAATTACGAGGACCGTAGTTAGTAGACTCTTTATCGGTAAAATAGTAATAGCTTCACTTAAAGATACCTTTATAACGTTAGGTTATTATCTATCTTTATACCTGCCTATATAAAATAGGAGGAAAAGTACGGATTAGTAGGCTAATCTAATAAGCGATTAGGACGTGGGGCGAATTCCCACGCTAGTATACTAGATTCTGGTAGAGGTGTAATTTAGGGACTAACTCCCCGATATATAAGTTTTGTCCTAGCGATATATAAACCCACTTATAAGTGAAGCTATAAGAATAATAGTATCTTTTAAAAGTATTCTATATAATCTATATATATAGCTTGAGTACCTAGAGATCTACACTTATTATATTTTAAGCCGACGATATCGTTAATAATTAAATAAGCCCTGACTAGCTATATTAGTACTTAAACGAGCTGACTAACGATATCGTTAATTAAATAAGCCGACCTTCTGTATATAATAATATAACGAGTATACCTAGAATTGTACTCGGGTTATATATATAAATTATATAGGATACTTATATACGGTAATCTTATCTTGATGGCCCCACTTATAAGTGGGTTTACATATCGCTGGGACAAAGCTTACATGTCGGGGTTGATCAAGCAGTTCCCGATTGGTTCCTCGAGGCCAGGTGCGAAACGGGTCTTATCAGCTGGCAAGTGCCCCGTACGCTGTAAGGTAATGAGAAGTCACGGATTTAGCGCGCATTAGTTCCGTAGTGTATAATAAAAAGTCCGAGTCTTACCCCTACGAACTGTATTCGTTACCTACTATTAGGAACTAGATACCGGGGCACCCCCGGTCGGGGCGGTTGGTCCTATTACGTAGGCACTATATTACTACCGATATCGGGTTTTCCCTATATTAAATGGGTTATCTGTCATATGAATCGTTGGGCCTGGACAAGGAATCCCACACACAGAGATACTTAAGACACTCGATTTCCCAACATATGCCAGTGGTGGGTTATTTCGTGCCTTTTTTCACCGCGATGGTATTTTTCCCGCGTTGTTACGATTGTCGAACGGGCCCTCAATACGCCGCCTTTGCCTCGTATTGCTGACAGTCATGCAGCAGGACTTGTCTCACAGCGACGGCGATTTCGAATAGCTGCCCGCCCGCCCATGATGCCGGCCTCAACCACCCTTGGCAGGGGTAGGAAGACGGCTTGTGAGATGTGCCGAGCACGCAAACGGCGCTGCGATGTATGGATACACAACCACCCAACCACACAAGACGAGATCTCTCTTCATGCTGACCGATGTTGCGCGCGACCAGGGCCGCTTACCGTCATGTTCTCTGTGCCAGAAGGCCCAATCTCGCTGCATATATGCTATTCCGAGTCCATATGGTCAAGATTTGGGCGTCATGTTCCACTCAGCACCCAGGGAGATCAGTTGCGCTCACCCCGATGACAGTCCTCCTGAGGCGGACTTGTCCACGCCCGGCAACTACGATCTCAGCCGCTATCTTGCCGGTGCGATGGAGCCCAGACACATCTCCCCTGGCACACCAGGTCCCATATCTTCGGATTCCAGCGGCTTTTCGGACATGTCAAATAACCTCCCGGATACTGCGTCATTACAGCAACATACCTTGGGATGGATGCAACAGTTCTCCGCACAGCTCGACCTTCCCCCGCCAGAATTCGACTCGGACCCCTCTGTCTTTGGACATCCGTCAGAGTCTGCGCTCAGCCTCCCAGACAGTTGGCAGCAGAGTCTTTCCGGGCCTTCGAGTGCAGCAGCAGCGGTACCGAGCGAACCCAGTCAACCTCAGCTTCCTAGTCAAGAACGTGTCATGCACATGGTGAACAGCTTCTTCTCTGCTCAGCACCACCTCTTACCCTCGGTACACCGGGAGTCTTTTATGGCGAGATTATCGAACGATATGGCTAGCCTGAGCTCTGGTCCGTTTCTCTGGGTCATTCTCGCGTTGTACTGCTCTTGCGACAAGTCAGAATCCATGCAGCTACAATACCGCAATTGGATGCAGACGGCGCACTCCAAGCTGGAGCTCATGAGCACAACGCACGTGCGAAGCAATACCAACAACATGTTGCAAGCTTCCATATGGATGGTCTTCGATGCCTACTGTCGGGGAGATGTCACAAACGCGTGGCTACTGCTCGGCCGCACTGCGCAACTAGCGAGTGCCCTTGGGCTGCATCGCATCGACAGTAAACACCGGACACCAAGGATGGAAGTGGAGCTCAAATCTCGCTCCGACATCGAGGTGGAAGAGTGTCGCAAATGCATGTGGTGCCTGATGCTTCTCGACCGTGTCATCGTCTCTATCAACGGCCTTGCTTTGTCTGTAGACGACCGATATTTCCATGTTGATTTTCCACTCCCAGAGCTCGAATTTCAGGAGGCTCGAGATTCGGTGAGTCCATGTCGCGGTGCGACTACCAGTCGTCCCTTGTTCATTCGATCCCGAAAACGCTGACAGGCCATCAGATCAAAGGCATTGAAAAGTTACGGGAAAGATACAGTTTCGAAGCCTTTGATCTGCTCAATGGGAATGTGACGTCGCAGATGGCGAACAAACCCTCTTTCGGGCATGTCCTGAAAGTTTCAGTCATCCTGGGTCGCGCTTTGGCCATTCAGAACAGCATTCATCATGGCGATACTTGCACCCACGACCAGCACCTGGAAAAACTCCGAACCCTGGAAAGCGTCCTCAACACGTTCAGCTATGCCGCCTCGGCGTCGGGTGAAGCTGTTGGCCCGACATCCTTGATGCAGCTTTGGCTCAGGATGTTAACCCAGTCATCGAAAATCTCGATGCTCCATCCACCCGGACCGAGCACGCTCGGCCTGTGTAACTGCCTGAGCTCTCCATCGCCAGGCGTCTCCCCGAACAGGACGGACAGTCGATGTGTGACGGCGGCCCTGAGCGCTGCCGGTGCATTCAGCCAAGCACTCAAGGAGACACTACTCGCGCTGAACAACCCATTCTTGTTGCCCATGGCATGCACGTCTGTGCGTATGCTGGCACTGCTGCGGAATCAAATGGACGAATCAGACCGAGGACATGCCCGGGAGGTTATTGATGAAATACTCAGGGTGGTAGACCACATTTCGATCAAATTCCCCGGCGCAGCTGCGAAAGCTCGGGAGACGATTAGACGGCGACTCAATGAACTCGAACACGGCACGAGGGAGAAGGCATCGACCTGCTACGTCGGATTAGATTGCGAATAACATTGTGTATGTGTGCGGCTGGTGGATGTGAGGCATCGCAGAAGGTGGAAGTCGGCAAACGCACTTGATCGACAAAATGAAGCTTCATTCGTCCCAGATTTTTCAAAACATCTGGTTGCCTGTGCTTTCATGTTCTCCGATGTATCGTGTTTGTTCGTACCGCCTCCCGTATATCTCTTCCACGGCCCTCGGACGCTGGGAAGCAATTGCCTTTGTGGACGACTCGACCCGTAGGCAAACCAAGTAAGAGCATCAAGTAACAGCACCGGGCAACACCATCTTCTGACAACACAACAACAACAACAACAACAACAACAACAACAACAACAACAACAACAACAAGAACCCCAAAGAATAAAGCAGAACAGAAACGTCAAGCGAAGCCAGCAAAGTCACTCTCCATGGCGACCAAAGCCTCGCGAATCTTTTCGGTCGTTTCATGCACCTAGAAACCAATCAGCACTCGGAATAGTACAACAACGCGATGCGAGTACTCACAAAGTCCTTGGTAAACAAGTTGAAGTGATTAGCATTACACTCCACAGTGCGGGACACGAGGCCGGGCCGGGCGTGTTCCCAGCCCAAGGTCTCGCAATCCCGCGAAATGTCCACCCTAGCTATGGCTTTGTCACCGGGGTTCAGTCTGTTCAGGCACCGAACCAAGACCACGAGGGGGCCTCGTCGAGGAGACATTCCCTTGCCCTCGGAGGGCAAGGGAGATCCAGCGCAGCAGCAATTATGCTCTCTGTGATCCGACATAGTACTCTGCCATTGCGGCGCCTGCCATTGCTCTGCCATGAGCGTCGATTGCTTCATCATGTTCATCACCAGGAGCTTTGAGCTGAGACAGGCGGCGTATGCGGTCGACAGGACATGATAATCGTTGCGAGCAGCCGAGAATTTCCATGAAGTCGGACAGACGCTGTCGAGAAGCAGGACGCCCTGGACATCGATGCCGTACTCAATTTGGAGTATGTCGACCATCTCCAACGCGACAAGGCCGCCGAAACTCCATCCTGAATAAAATAAGGTAACTCACAGTGTTAGCGGAACTTGCAACTCGAGGAAAGTCGATTATTTGTACCAACGAACCTCCCAGCAGCACGGACGTCTGCCCGAGCTCTAGTTCGACCAAGGCGCTATAGGCCCGCGCCATGGCAGGGATGCCGCCCTTCCAAGGCTTGCTGGCATGGAACAATGGGTTCTCGATGCCGTAAATGTCGTGCTCGAGATTTATCAGCGCGTGATATGAGGCCGTCGTCCCGCCACCATCGTGAATAAGCACGAGCGGAGCTTTCCTTGATTTCCCCCTGGTGATTGTCTCCATTTTTCCTTACCCCATTTGAAAGCTGAGACAATTTGAGAGCATCTCTGCGTTTAATAAATCAGTTTCGACGTCCGCTTAAGAGCCGTTGTGGTCCGCCAGTTGACCGGACGAACTCGACTGAGCCCATGAATTAGTACAGGCTTTCGTTTACATCCACGCCCCTCGTAGCTTGTGGCCACAGATTTATTCCCTCGGTTCAATACATTCTATTATGTGTAATTCTATTCCAAAAGACCCGTTAGATTAATTTGATGCCGAGATGACTCTGATGTCCCTGTGCTGTCTGCGTGAGCTGGATGCGATATCAAAGAAGCTCCGAGTTGGCCCCGACATACAGGCTAACCCCCCTGTAGTAATAGGAGACAGCGCCATTATTGAATAATCAAGTATATTCGCTACTGGAAACGGACCAGTATTGGGGCGTGGATATAGTGGAGATTGGCGGGCTTCCCCCGCAATCCTGATTCGCCCGCCGCCAACTACCGGCGGGAGTGTAATAAGCTCCCCGCTAGCGCCCGCTAGTCACTCCGCAACTTGTCTCCCACGATTAGCATCTCAGGAACGTCGCGGTCCTGCAGTTTGTCATCCATCCCGCCTCTTGGCCCGCATTTCGCGTTTGGGTTGCAAGAAAGTCCGCAGGGTCCACGGGCGTGTTTGAGGCAGAAATCATTCTCGACCACGTCCATGCCGTCAAATATATGCCACGAAGCCGCTCAAGATGATTTCCATTCCATCTTCTCCTGCCAAACACCAGCTCGATTCTCGTCACACCATCTCGCAAAATGGCCACGCAAGATCGAGCGGAACGTCCCACCACCACGGAGAAGAGCCTCGACGGCTTAGACGCTCTCGACACCAAGGAGGTTGCCACGAACATGGACAGCTGCTCTGACAAGACTGATGAGGCCACCAAGACCCCAGTCTCGCTGGAAGAGCAGACTGAACCACCTCCGTCTCCTCGCAACATTCATGGCTTCCGATGGATTCTCGCCGTCGTTGCTGTGGTCTCCAGCATCTTGCTCTATGCCACAGATAACACCATTGTACGACCCACCCCCGCCAACGGCGCTCCTTGGACCACACGCACCATCTGTGCTAACATACTACAATCCAGGTCGCAACCATCCAGCCTTCGATCATCGAAGACCTCGGGGACCAGAACCTTTTGCCCTGGGTATCTGTTGGCTATATGATTGGTGGTCTCGTCTTCGCGCTCCCTTCGGGCAAGGTCTATGGTCTCTTCGACACCAAGACCCTCTACCTCATTTGCAGCGTCATCTTCTGCGTCGGCTCTGCGCTGTGCGGTGCCGCGCCCAACATGCCCACTATGATCGTTGGCCGAATCATCGCGGGTATGGGCGGTAACGGCATGTACGTCGGTGTCTTGACGTTGCTCGCCGTAACCACCACGGACAAGGAGCGCCCTGCCTATCTGAGTCTGATGTGAGTCCACTCCTGCTGCATGCACAGTTCTGGAACATTTTTGCTGACGCACGCACCTCATAGTGGCATGTCCTACGGCATTGGAAGTGTACGTCTGAAAAATCTCCATCGCCGTATGCTTGACTTTTTGACTAACCGTCGTGTCACGCAGATCATCGGTCCTCTCATCGGCGGTGCGTTCGCCACACATGCCACCTGGCGCTGGGGCTTTTACATCAATCTGCTTGTCCTTGCGGTCTTCGCGCCGGTCTACATTTTCATCATGCCGACTTTCCAGCCTCGCCCGACCATGACCGTTATCGAGAAGTTCAAGGCTTATGACAACCTGGGCACCCTTCTCTCTGTGGCCGGTCTGTTCTGCGCCGTCATGGCCGTCAACTTTGGAGGCACTCTATACCCATGGGCATCCGGCCAGATTATCGCACTCTTCGTGGTCGCCGGTGTCCTTCTCATCGCATTCGGCCTCCAGCAAAGCTTCAATTTCATGACCACCTTCGAGAGCCGTATCCTGCCCGTCCAGCTCATCACGCAGAAAGAGCCCGTCCTTTTGTTCGTGTTGATGGCTGCAAACAACTGCGCCAGCATGATCAGCATGGTGAGTCGCCGCTCCGCCCAATCAGTCCTCCTTTTCCTCTTGTACCGTTGGTTCTGCAGCTGACCATTTCTCCTAGTATTACATCCCGCTCATTTTCCAGTTCATCGGCGGTGCCGGTGCGTTGAACTCCGGCATCAGGCTGCTGCCGTTCATCGTGGCCACGACGGTGTTCATTGCGCTCCAAGGAGCTTTGCTTCCACACTATCCGCTTTACAAGCCCTGGTACGTGTTTGGAGCAGCTTGCATCCTCGTCGGTGGCGTTTTTTTCCACCGAGTCGACATCTCGACAACCGACGCCTATTTGTACGGGTTCCAGATCCTCATCGGCGTTGGCGTCGGATGCTATCTGCAAGCTGGCTACGCCGTGATCTTGGGCGTCATCGAGATGAAGGACATGGCGTACGGCGTTACTTTTATGCTCTTCGCCCAACTCCTCGGCATCACGACCGGTCTTTCTTTCAGCGGCGCCGTCTTCACCAACACCGTTCTTGGAAATCTCCAACCGCTGCTTTCCGACGTGCCAGCTCGTCAAATCCAGATGGCTCTGTCTGGAGCTGCTGGTGACTTCTTTGGGGAGCTCGGCGAGGAGACTCGTGGAGCGGTTCTACGCACGATCATGTCGTCCATCAACTATTCGTATGATTTCTTCCTTCTCCCCATCCCCCTTTTCTTCACTTTCTTCTTCTTACAGCAGCTTCTAATACTTTTCTTGAACAGTTTCATCTTGTGCATCATAGCTGGCGCTGTTAGCTTAGTAGCCGCCGTACTCCTTCGGGTAAGTTCCTGTGTATTTGGGTGCTGATGCCCAACTTTTCACATACCTAACTAACTGTATTGCAGAACAAGAAGATGCGTACTTAGGCTATACAATACGGGGCGACTTATTAAGTGATAATATTAGAAAGGCTAAGGTTACGTCTGAAAAGTAGGAGAGACTTAAAGGAATTTATATAGTGAGAATTTACAGCGTTACTATTCAGCCAGATCAAGCCGACCAATTCAATCAATCAGTCAGTCTATTTAAGCCTCTTTCTAGTAAAAGTCCTCGCGCCGTCGTACTGCTAAAAAAATACACACTGGCTTGATTAGTAAAGTGTCGTATGGCGGACTAGTAATTAAGTCGAGTTCGTCGTACATGGTAAGCCGGTCTCCATAGCAGCGGCACACCCATTCCACGTTAAAATGGCATCAAGGATTATGTCAGCTGTCAGAACATAAGTGTCAGATGCCCACAGCGACCTGAATAGCGCTGCTGAACAGTGGGTTAAGTGATGCTTAATTAAGGGAAGATCCCTCGAGCTAGTTATAGGCGGAGGAGTTTAGGCTATAGTAGGCTGCTCTAGGGCAGGTCACCTAACCTGCCCTATAACCCGCCTAACTCGATAGCAGCTTGTCCCTGAGCTGGATAACTTAATAGAACCTGTAAAACTATACTAGAAAACCTCTATAAACCCTAAATCCTGCTATCGTGATACCCTTAAAAACCACTGCCGATATCCTCCTCTTCTAGTGTACGTATATAATATAACGGGGCTACTCGTAAATTAATTATCCGAACCCCGTTAATCTATATCCTAACCGATACTCTCTTCCTCTGAGCATTAGCCGCTATAATATCTCTATCCCGTAAATAATATAGTCTTACTATAACGGGCTTAAGGTAGTCGATATAGATCTTTCTATAGTTATCTTTCTTAACTTAGCGTAGCGGATACTTTAACTATGTCGTGGTCCACTAAAATACCGGAAACGCCGCCTTTAATAGCCTATATAGACCGACCTAAGTCGGGTTAAACTTCGAAGTCGATTTACCTAACTTATCCGCTAATTCCTATATAAGTATATTAGGGTGTATTTTCCGCGCGACTTATAGTAGAGGTATTTTATCCCTATCTATTATCCTAATATCGGACCGGTCACGTCGAAGTCGACGCTTATCTCGATCCTCTATTAGAATATCTAAGGACGTAAAGTGATAAAACCCGTTTAGGTCTAATAATACCTCTAGATACTCTTCTAGCTTAATAACGCGTGGAAGAGTCCCCCGTTTAGTCGGGAAGTATTATCGTAGTGTCGTATATAAGGTATCCGTCCCTTTATCGCGGTACTCTTAAGCCTGCTCTAAGTCCTCGCTCTCTATTATAGTGTTATCGTTATAAGAGGGGCTAAAACCGAATATAGCCCTTACTAGTAAGATACTAATCGCCGCTAAGTACCTGGTATTTAGTCTTTACGCGATATTAGGCACCTTTAAATACTATCGGGAAATATCTCCCCTTATCTTCCTATTAGGCGAACGCGATATAGCGTATTTTCGTAGCTATACTTTTACTAACTTAACTATGCTTTTTAGTAAGCCTATTAAGTTCGGGTATAAAACTAGCCCGAAAATTATTGTCGAGCTATAAAAATGGGTAATAGCCTCTAATATAATATTCTTAAAATATAATCCGTTATCGTAGTAGAAGAACTTAGGCTACCCGAAAACTACTACTATCCTAGTATATAGCTTATTATAAACCGACACCGTATGTATTACCGCTATCGGGAATAATAGGCTAAAGCGTGTTATATAGTCGATTAGTACTAAAATATACCGATCTTTATCTTAGGAGGGCGTTAAGATCGGTCCTATAAAGTCTATACCTATTTACTCGAAAGGATAAGAGACTATAACGTGTCCTGGCGGAAGTTTCGGTAATTAAGGCGAAGTTTGCTAATAGACTTTATAAGAGCGAACGTAAGTTATTAAATCTTTTACTCTATTAGGCTAATAGTATCTACCCTTTAAGTTCGCTAATATAATCTTAATATTATAATATCCGTTATCGTTATAAAAACGCCTTAGGATTTTTACTATATCCTAGCGGGAGATATAATATACTAGCGAATCGTCTAACTCCACCTTATATAGATAAATACCGTAGACGTAATATATATCGCTAATATATATAATCGCGCGACGTTATCGTTTATTCTCCTTAGTAAAATTATCCGGGCCTAGAATAATACGGCGAATAACCTGCCTATACTATTCACCTAAACCCTATATTCTAAGGAGTTATCGTAGTAAATCTTACCTTATCTCCTATAAGATATCCGTAGGCCCTGCTATAGGCCATAGTAGTACCGACCGCTTCCGTAAATCCTTTAGCGTAGCTATACTAGCGTCTAAAGTACCGATCTAGTCGCTAAGCTATATCCCTCCTCTACCTAATTTAAAGAGCGACTTATCCCGAGTCGGCTTAGTCGAAGTTAATATAAGCCTATTCGGAGTAATAACGGTAAGTCGGCCTTCCTTAAAGGAGTATTCTAACGCCTAACGCCTCTAGAGTAGTCTCGGGTCGTTCTAAACCCTCGCGGGTATACGGCTAAGACCGTCCGTAACTTTAATAACCTTTTATATATTTAAACGGTGGATATAGATATAATCGAATTCTATAAGCTTCTCTAACTACTTAAGAAGCTTAGTATATATTTCGGTAAATTTATTTATAGATTATACGAGGCTAAGATAGTCTATATACGCTATTACAGGGTAAGGACTAGATAGTATAAGCTATTATATCTCCTAAAGCGCCCGTAGGACGGCGAGGGTCTCTTTTTCCAGTATAGTATAGTAACGTTTAGTATCTATAAGCCTAAACGATATAAACTAAATCGCTTTAACGGAGCTTTAGTTCTTATTAGTGATTTTTAAACCCGCCAAGAATCGATTATTACTAGTTATAGTAGTACCGCTCCTAAGCTATAGTCGGATACGTCCGCCGAGATATAAAACTATACTTTATCGGCTACTCCGAAAATCACCCTATACTAAATCTCTTTATAGAGTTTCTGGAGAGCCTCCGCCTACTCTTATCCTTAGGCCGGCGTTACTCTTCGGATATACTACTTACGAATACTTAGCTTACTAAGCGGGGTAGTGGTAGGTATATATTCCTAAAAGGTGTCCTTAATAATATCTTTAAGCCCTGCTCGGCCTAGGATAAATTTCCGAAAAGGCGGGGTATACTATAGGAGAGGCTAAATCTTTTCCTAGGATATTAGGGGCGCCTACGAGAACTTATAAGCGAAGTCTAAAAACTTATCGTGATATTTATAGCTAGGTTAAATCCGTCTATTATATATATACGTGCCTACCGGGTCTAGGTAATCAAGGAAGAAGTGATATTTTTTCGTGGAGAGGCTAATTAGTCCTTAGACTACTCTAGGAAAATAATATACCTAAAGGTAAATAAAGTGTTAAAAGAAATTAGTACTGCTTATATTATAGTTATTAATATAGATAAAAAGGCTTATCTTTAGTTCACGTATATATCCCAGGATAGAAGGATAGTGTATATTCGGATCCGGTGTACTGTTTTTATCGTTAAAGAAGTCTCTAAAGATAAGGTTACCGAAATAAGCGTATATACTAGGGGAGCCTAAGAGACTTTACGCTATACGGGTATAATACTAGGCGCTATTAGGTCCGGTTACTATAAATAGGTCTCGCGAAGCCGGGTCGAGTTAGATACCCTAAAACCCGTTAAAGGCGTTATAGCTAGAGTATACTATAGAGCGGCCCTATTACACGGAATCGATATCGGTTTCTAGATTATAATAAGAATAAGCAGGCCGCTCTAAGGCGGCGTTAATAATCTGAAAATCATAGACTACTCGCAGGACTTTATTCTCTCTAGACTTTAGCTTAGAACCTGGTTTTAGCGGGTAAAGAGTCGGCGCCACCTAAGGCGCTAAGAAAGCCTTTATAAGAATTCCGGCCCGCTCTATCTCGGGTATAGCACGTTTAGCGAATTCTCGTTATCGGTGTCCGTACCGCTATCAATGCTATTTTAAAAGGGGTTAAGCGTCCGGTTTTAAGGTAATCCGGTGCGTAAGTCTAGGAGTGACTTTAATATTCTAAAGCGTGGTAGCGAAAACGTCTCGATAAGTGTATAGAAGGATTTCTACTAAGCCCCTTTTCTTAGAAGTATCGGCTATAGAACCGATATCGATATTCGAGGTTTCGAACTAGCTCTTAGCCTCGGATAAGGGAATAAAGGCTAAATCTCGAAATATATAGAGAAAATTAAACCTGTAGGGGGACTTCTTAATTAAAAATCCTATATAAAGTGAATCTTAGGAGGAAGGCGCTAGGTTCGCATAGTGATATTAGGGCGATAGTCCTGGAATACTTAATAATACTATAGGTAGTAGTATTTCTCCCTACTACTCTAATATATATAGCTTATATTCCTCCTCTTCCTAAGGAGCGTCTAGCACCTTATCTTCTCTTATAGATTCGGAGGCTATCTTAGTACCCTCGCGATATCTTACCGCCCCGTCTATAGTAAGTCTCCCCTCTACTATAGCTATATATAGCTCTTAGGGGGAAAATATTAGCGGATATTCAGATATATCCTGCTCTTTTACTACGCGGTATTTAGACCCTAAAGCCTATTCTCGCAGAACGGCTTTTCTTCTTATATCTTAACTCTATATAATATAGAAAATAGGGCTTTTATCGGTAGAGGTTAGAGAAGGAGAAGTCTCCTCTCTAAAGGATATTTATCGGATAGAATATAGCTTATATTATTCCTATAGTATACGAACCTTATTAATCTAGGTATTTAAGAATTTCACTATGTTAAAAAGGGAGTAGGGATCTTCCGCCGGCGCCGACGCGTTAGCAGAATTCGCCTCGGCTAACGAAGTGATATCTTCCGCTATTATAGCGGAGCTAGTATTACTTAGTTATATAAAGAAGTTAAGAAGAATAAAGGAGATAATAGAGCTTATCACGAAAGAATCGTAAACGAAATAAAAGTGATAATCTTTTTTCCTTATACTAAACTTATTCCTTTAGTGATAATAATAATAATAAAGAGAGGAAAAGAGAAATCCTTTTACTCTAGAAGTCGTGGAGTTATTTAATAATATAAAGGCTAAAATAAAATAAAATATAACCTAGTTAGGAAAGCATGTTCTATCCGTTACACCTAACTATATAATATAAAAAAAAGTATACGTTACCGGCCTTTCCTTCCTATTATAACTAACCCTTCTATCTTCTACGTAAGACCTGCTAGATACATATAAGAAGAAAAATACTTATTAAAACACGCCCGGTAAACTATAGTATCCGGCCTACTCCTCTTTAAGGAGCTTCTTATAGCCTACCGCTAAGATTTTTCTTAAGCCTCTCGAGAATCTTATTATCCTACTTATCTCCCGAGTTATTAGAGTCGGGGTTATCGTCGTCTATAGGGGCCTTCTCTGGAGTATATTCCGGTTTAACGAAATAATACTTTAGGCTTAGATATATCGGGACTCTTTAGGTATATCCGCCGACTCCTCTAACTAAGAGGCTTTTATCGCGGTAGTCGACGACTACTTATACTCTATAGTGCTATTATTTCCCTAGGAGAATATACCACTTATCCGTATCGTCTAGGATAAAGGCTTAGATAGTACTTAAAATACCGCTAACTATAAGTCGTAATAGATAAAAGTTAGCGACCGGCAGAACTTTATTATCGGCTAACCGTACTATATAAGATATCTCGAGTTTATAAATAGAGAATTTATTATTGTTAACAAAAGTCCTGCTAATAGCTTTTATCGTGGACCTAAAGTCTAAAAGTATTATATTAGAATAAGTCTCCTCGACCTAAGCGAAGATATAGCCTAAAGTGTTTAGTATATATACGTCTAACCTAAAAGCTTTATCCTTATAAGAGCGGGCGAAGTCGCCCTCCTTATTACTATCTCTTAGATATAAGGCTAGGTAATTTACTCTACCACGAAGCTATAAGGTCGGATCACTAAGAGCTTATATAACGCTAGTGACTTATTACTTTCTCTTTACCGCGCTAGCGCGGTATATATAACCTTTTCTGTCCTTATCCGAAACCTAAGCCTAGATAATATAGTAAAGTTCGGCTTTTATAAAAGGGGAGAGTTAAAATAATTATATTAGCGATATAGAAATATCCTATCTGCTTATAAAATCCGTTATAGAAAACGGCTACGTACTAGAAAGTTTTATTCCCCGAATTAGCTTAAGACCGCGGAATAAGGCGTTATCTTTATATACCCTGTCTAAACCTATCTCTTAACGCAGAGGAGTATAAGGAGGATCCGGTGTAGGAGGAGCTAGGATATAAAGAGTAGGTTCCTTATACTCGTCGATAGCCGTAAGTGTAGGAGGATAGTATTTATTTCCGTGAGCGGGAGTAATTTTTCGGGGAATTATAGTATTATTCCCGGGATAGGGCGGAGGCGTTTTAACCGGTTTAGCGCGAGGATCCCGGCTTATATTAAGAGGGTTAGGCTTAGTATTCTATTACCTCTTAGAGACAAGAATATCCTAAACGTTAGTATACTTAATATTAGGGAACTTCTTTTATAGTTCGTGTAATTACTACGAAGTTAAAATAATCGAATCCGGCTAAGTATTATCTATTTTCTATACTAGCGTAGAGGATCTCGGGATAAAATTTACGGGGGGGATTTTACTAAACTTATCCGACGAAATAGCATAGTAGCGTCTATTAGCGAAGTTATTAGCGGTATCCTTAATCTCCTTAAGTTCCTCGTATATACGGTTAATATTTCGAAGGATAAGATATACTAGTACCTCTTTTTATAGCTTAGACTGTGTATTTTTATTATTAGTTACTCGCGATTTCTTTTCTCGTAATTCGCGGTCCCGCGCCGTAAGTATCTTATCTTTACGTGCTTCCTAGGTCTCCCTTCGCTATTACTATTATTCCCTTAAGCCTTTTACCGGGTAATCTCGGAGAAGATATCCCTACCCGCCGTAACCGAAGTAGAAAACTCGCTTTATATTTAAGGGGTATAAAAAAGCAGTCTTTAAATAGGTATTAGAGGAGGAAGAAGAAGCGTTAGGATTATATAGGCGACCTTACGCCGGGCGAATACTAAGATCCGCTAACTTATAGACGACCGCGTTTATCCACTTCTTATAGGACTTACTAAACTTACTAATACCTTTTAGAGCTTCTACTATACTAAGGTTATTCGTACTATCCTTATCGTTTAAAAGGTTAGATATATCGTGAGTACCCTTAGCGACCTAAATAATAGTGTATTTAATATCCTCGAATATAATAGACTTATTAAAAACTCCGTAGACTATCTTACTAAAAGCTATAAGCTAGTCCTTAACTCGTTCCCTAAAGTAGGAGTTAATCTTACTATTTACTATATACTCGTATAGGCGTTAGGCGAGGAGGAGATATATCTCCGGAGATATAGGCCTTATATTTAACTTAGACGCTTTTTAAGATAGTCGATAAGCTACTCTTTAGCCTTTTATTAGAATATAGAAACTTCTACGATCGCTTAGCCGTCTCGCTAGCTTATCTTATCCTTAAACTTAGCTTAGAACTTTATCTTAGTTTTCTCCTAACTATTATAGGTGTCTGCATCTAATATTTACTACTACGCCCGGGCGTGTCCGGCTAAATTAGTACGTATTAACCGGAGTTTCTGCCTCTCCTTAGCCTCTAGAGAGATCTTATCTAGAAGTATATCGACGATATCTTTAATATCGCTTAGAAATTCCGTGGTTAGATAGGCTATACCCGTGCCGGTAAACTTAGACACGGCTCCGGCGGCCTATCCTACCTAGCTCGTTATATCGAAGGAGTTAGAAGGAGAAAATTTATTTATAAAGTAACGGCTATAGTAGGAAAAATCGCCGCGAAAGTCACTTCCGATAAGGAAGACGAATATTAAGAGGAGGGTTACCTTTATATAAAAGAGGGCTTAGTGATAAAAGGAGATATAGGAGTTATATTTATAGGAGTAATAGTAGGTCGACTCGACCTCTTAGGCGAACTTAGTAATAGAATTTTCAATGTAGGTAAACCGTTTTATCCCTTAGATATAAGTAGTGGGAGAAATAACGGGTACTAGAAAGTAAGAAGAAAAAGGTATTTTAGCCGATATTAGCTAAATAAAAAGAGACTTATAATTTCTTTTATTAAGCTAGTATTCGAATTCCACGAAATCGTAAAATAAAAGCTATTAAAGATAGAGAGGAGAAAAAGTAATAGAAAAGATTCCTCCTTAATTATCGGGGGAAATATATTTATCTAGTCCTTAACTAAACGCGTTATAGCTTCTAAAACGACTTTATTTAGTCGTTTCGTCTTTCCCTGGCTCTTTATAGCTAAGGAGTAACTTTATCTAATTAGCGTATACCGGTAAAGTCGCTAGCTCGCTCTTATCCTTATACCTAGGATAGGGAAAGAAGTACCCTATCCTAGAGTTCGTTCTTAGAAATCGCGGCTAATATTCTAAGGTTTAGCCGGCAGCTTACGCCTAAATACCGCTATATCGCCTGAAGGAACTTTTAACTTTAGGCCTAAAAACGGAAGAGTCGGTTTCTAGTAGGATAAGAATTTCCTTTCCTGATACTAAGGCGATATCGCCCTAATAAAAGGTTAGTATAGTAAAGATATATCGGCTCTAATAGCTTTAAAGGTTACTCTCTCCTCCCGGGGAGAGAGGGTATTATAATAAAGCCTCCCGAATTATTTCCGTGTTTATCCGAGTTTCTCTAAAACGCTATCCAGGAGCCGTCCTCTAACGGTTATAACTCCGAAAACGCGTTTTTAGTGAAATTTTCTCATTTTTACCGCGGTAGGTATATATCGAGAGGATTTAGCTTAGCTAGAAAGAATACCTCCTCTTTTATCCCCGCTACGAGGTATATCCCGAGAAACTCGTAAGTCGAAAACACTTAGTAGATATCTACTAAGGGTTTTAACGAAAGAAAAAGGGAATAAATAGTCGGTAAAGAGTTCGTTAAAAAGAGAATAAATAAATATATATAAGATAAGCCTAGCTAGAGTGAAATAGCTGGTTCCCTTATACTGACCACTATTTAAATAGCGCTGCTAAATAGTGGGTTAAGTAATACTTAATTAAGGGAAGATCCCTTAAGCTAGCTCTAGGCGGAGAAGTTTAGGCTATAGTGGGCTGCTCTAGGGCAGGTCACCTAACCTGCCCCATACACCTTATCTAGGTATAATAAGCCATATTATATTAGACGAGTGGAGTACCTTATTCCAATATATCTATACTTATTACCCCTCCTTTTTCCTAAAGTTAGATATCCCCGTAAAGTACTATAAACTTTACTTAGACAAATATATATAGAATTCCGCGTACCTTTATTTATATTCTAATATTAGCTATTAGAATATAGATAAATGTATAGAAAATAGATATTGTAATAGAGCAGGGCCGTAATAGCACAAAACTGGATCGTCTAGATAATGTAAATTGTGATGGATAATACGTGAAAATCCAGATACAGGAAGATCGGATGAAACGCTCCTTATATAATCCGGTCGGTCACGTGCATCCACTTGACCCGATTGACCGGTTCGGCCCCCTGACCTGATTGGTCAGAAAACGTGCGGCCGACCTGATTGGTTATCCTGACCCCAATAACCGATCTGCGCGGTTATAATATATATTCGCTTATAGAGGGGAAAGGTTCCTCTATAGGAAGTATCTATACTATTTATCCTAAGGAAATAGGGCTTAGCAGGGTTATAAGTACAAGTTAGCGGAACTATCCCGGAATTAAACCGAAGTTACGCCCCGATATCGACCTTCCACTATCTAATATTACTATAAAGGGCAGGAAAAAAAAAGGGTACAAAAAGACGAGGAAAAGACCAGGAAAACGCAACGAGTCGCATCACGATCAGAATAACCCCCCTTAGACTCCCACAGACCAAGAGCCAAAGTGCACTGCATATCGAGTCTATTGCTATGTCTTACACAGGGCCATGATCCCGACTCCTCGGGACCACCAGCCCATCTACAAACATCAAAAGTCTTGAGGGCATAGCCGGACGAATGTACAAGACAAAGAAAAAGGAAAAGGAAAAGAAAGGAAAAGAAAACATGTTTTCCCATTGCCTCTGTGCTCCTGTCGACGTCGTTTTCTTTTCTTTCCCGCTTACTCCACACGCAAGCTCTGCAGCCGGGCCTCTGTTGAGATGACCTACATAGTCCGTGTCAGTATGTTGTGAATCTGCAAGGAAAGAGACAAAGGGGGCAAAGGGAAAGGAAAAGGGAAACTCACATCAAGCGCCTGCTGCACCTCCAACACCTTCCTAACCTCACCCAGCCAGTCCCTGCTCAGGGTCTTCGCCCAGCCCTGCAGCCCATTCATCTCCCGCGCCGCCGCATCCAGGTCGCCCTCCTCCAGGTACGTCTGCGTGCGGGTGAGGACGCTCTCGACGTCGTTACCCACAGCCAAGCCGTGCTTCTTGAACAGCACCTTGCTCAGCACGTAGCTGGACGCGTGGCTGGCCACCCCAGCGTCCTCCGGCAGCAGCGACGCCTTGCGCACCTCGCCCGCCACCACCCGGAACCGGTCCACCAGCTGCGCCGTCGTCGGCAGGCCGCGCTGGTACGCCGACGGGTTAATCGTCGCGATCGCCGTGTCCACCAAGGGGTCCTCGGCCGCGATCTCCTTGAGCGCCACCAGCTCCCGCACGAACGGCCGCGGGTGGTCCGCCTTCTCCAGGCTCGCCCGCACCGCCTCCACCGCCACGTGCAGCTGCTGCGTGCGCTGGCTCGTCTCCACCACCTCGTTCCACCCGGCCGTCAGCTTCTCCAGGTCCGCCACCGCCTTCTCCAGGTCCTCCAGCTTGCCGAGCCGGCCGTCGCGCTCCCGCTCGACCCGCTCCCGCACCTCGCCCAGGAACTCCCGCTTGAGCGCCACCGCCTGCTGCAGGAGCTCGTTGCGCAGCCGCTGCTTGCCGATCAGCTGCTCCCGCTCCCGCAGCAGCGCGAACCGCTCCTCGTAGAGCTCGTGCACTTGGCGCATCGTGTCGCTGAACTGGTCCCGCCAGCCGGCCTCCTGCGCCGCCATGGCCGCCTCCAGCCGCGTCACCAGGTCCTCGGCCGCCTGGTCGAACGCCCGGACGTGCTTCTTGACCTGCTCGCCCGCCTTCTTCTCCACCTCGGCCTTAACGTCCTTCACCTTGGCGCCCACCTTGCTCAGCTCGTCCTTGGCCTTGTCGATCGTCGACCCGTACCGCTCGTGCGCCTTGTCGGCGTTGACGACCGCGATGATGTCGTTGAGCATGCGGACCAGGTCCTGCACTACCGGCTCCATCGCATCGTTCACCGCGAGCGGGTCGATGGGCGGGATGGGGGGGCGCCGGGACGGTTCGTTGACTTCGGGCGCCTTGAACGCCTCCTCGGTCTTGGTCGTCGACTTCTTCGCCGGCGGCACCACCACGGCCACCTTGTCGGACGAGGTTTCGGTGGGAGCAGCTCCGGCGGGAGAAGCCGAGGGGGCAGCAGCCGGGGTCTCCTTCGCGGGCTGGGCGACCTTTTCCGCGGTAGGAGCAGCAGCAGCAGCAGCAGCAGGAACAGAAACATCATCAGCCTTGGCCTTGGATTCCTTGGAAGCGCTAGCCTTGGCCTTGTCAATGGCGCTGGCGTGCCGACCGGCCTGCTCGCCGCTGTCGGCCACCCGCCAGGAAGCACCGCTCTGCGCAGGGATGGTGACCTTGGCCCCCGTGTCGCGCGGGCGGTGCATGCTGTCGGAAAGGCGATGGAACCTCTTGCGGAAGTCCATCTCCTCGAGGTACAGGACAGCCTGTTCGCCGTACGGCACGTATTCGGTGAAGAAATCGTGGAAGTTGTCGTTGATTCGAGAGTACCATACACCTCCGCCGAATCCCAGGGCACCTAGGATGGTGAGCGTAAAAACAAAGTTCCTTAGTCGTCGGAAGAAGCCCGTCTTGGGACGCCCGGCGGCCGGAGGAGGGGGAGGCGGCGGTGTAATCGTCTTTGTGGTGGGCTTCTCCGCCACAGCAGGAGAGACGCCACTGGTGGTATCGGGCTTCGGAGGGGTTCGGGGCACATCCTCGGACGCGATGGTAGGTTGGGGCTCGGCGGGCTTGGGGATATCGCTCCGCTCCGCCGTGTTCGTCTCTGAGCTGGGGAGGACCGTGGGCTTAGAGGACGGATCGAGCTTCTTGTCGGCAAAGTGTCGCCCGCGGGCCGCCGTGCCAGCTACCTGCCATTGACGGCCTGCAACGGCCGCTGCAGGCCGGCGGCCTAGAGCCCTCGCTGACCGGATGGACGTTCGCAACATGAGGGCATGTGGTATGGGTGGGCCGACGAAGCGCAATTGACAATTGACACACGCAGTGGAAGAGTTGCTTTGTGAGAAAGGTGACGAGAATGACGAGACGGGGGATTCGGGTTGGGAAGCTGGCAGACAAAAAAGCTCAGGGAGAAGTTCGGCTAAAGCGCGAGCATGCCGGGCCATTCCATTGGTCGACAGCCCTGCCAAGTGGCTGACACCTGTTGTTGCCGGGACTGACCCGACACGGCAGGGACCGGGTACGTATTTCTCTTGGTGGGAATGACCTCATCGACAAGGACGACCGGAGTACGAGTACAAAGCGAGGCACGGATGTGAGAGGAACGAACGTATTATGATGTACGGGGTGAATATCCAAGGTACCTAAACAACACCCATAAAAAGTGAAAAATAAAAATCCTAGGATTGTATGGGTGTACGTAGGGAGGCAGGTACCTTCGATGGCTGGTAGAGGTACTCTCGGTGATCGTGCTGGCTAGGTACAGACAGTTCCAGTTGTTACGGCAAAGAATGGCAGTATTCGAAGCCTATCACGAGATTCCTCCTATATGGCCGCGGAAACACCGAGGGGAACTCCTACGAGTTAGACAGGCACGCCACATTACACGTAAACACATTGAATTGAACGAAAATGCCTGATTCATTCACCACGGGCGAACCACCTTGGCTCACAAGCTTGTCCAAACAAACATATTAGAACTATGTTCCATGCGCCGAAAGAAAGATGAGGAAACAAAATCACGAGACAGCCGCTTCCCTCTATAGCATACTGTCCCTCTCCGTGCGATGCAGCATGTGCTCACGACCTCGAGCCTGTCGTCTCGTCTCCTGTCTGCTGTCTGCTGTCTTGAATGTCTTGTGTCACCTCTCCCCGCCCTTCTCAAAAGCGAACCTGTCCTACCCGCCCGAGCCAAACCAACAAAGAACGGCCAAGAAAAAAGGGAGCCGATAATTAAAGCAGTTGCGAGATGTAGTGTCGGTTGTAAACATGTGCCGAGAGAATATGCCTCCGTTCCCTGGGCCCCTAGCAGCCACCTTGGCGTATATCCCTCTCGTCCTCTTCTCGTCTTCCTCAAGGGAGCCCGTATGCAACTCGTCCAAACCTGACACACGTTTGTCAAGTTCCTTGTGTCCGTTTCAAGACAACCCGCAGAGAAGGGAAGAGGGGTAGAACGGCGCAACTCCCGAGTTCACCATTAATCCACCTCGGGGGAAACGGGGTACGCCGAACAAACGGCTAAAATGGATTTGTCGTCGTCGTCGTCGTCGTCGTACTTGGTCCCAAAGAGAGATATTTCACCCCTCTCGCCCCCCCGCAATCTCAATTGTCACCTACACCACCACCACCACCACCACGCACCGGTTGCTCCCATTCATAAACGTCCAACGTCCAACGGCGTACGCAAAACGCACACGCTTAACAGCTGCACGGACCGCCGACATTGCTGTTGGGGCTCTCGGGTGTCAGACTGACGCCTTGGCGCTGGCCTGGCCGCGTATGCCGGGGGCCGACCTGGTCGAGCGGCAGCTTCTTCGCAATGGCTGTGAACAGTTCGCCGACGTTCTCGGCCGTCTTGGCCGACGTCTCGAAGAAAAGCAGACCGGCTTCTTTCGCGTAGGCTTCGGCTTCGGCGGTCGGCACGGCCCGCTTGTCGGGTTGCTCGTTGACCAGGTCCAGCTTGTTGCCGGCGAGGGCGATGATGATGTTCTCGTTTGCTTGGCGTTGGAGCTCCTTGACCCACGCTTTGGCCTTGTCGAGGGAGGACTATAATTTTTTTTGTTCATGTGGGTGGTTAGCAAGTTGTTTCTCTCGCTGGCAAAGGTCCAAGAAGTCCCCTGAACGAGGTGGTCAAGGTGGGGGAGGTCGAAGGAAGCTCGGGGCGGGAATAACGATGGCAACAACATACAGCTTGGGTGATATCGTAGACGACCACGGCGCAGTTGGCATTTCGGTAGTACATAGGGGCGAGGGACTTGTACCGTTCCTGGCCGGCGGTATCCCAGATTTCGAACTTGACTGTGGTGTTTTCGTCGAGAGAGATGGTTTGTGTCAAGAAAGCCGCGCCGATGGTCGACTCCCGATACGAGTCGAATTGATCCTGAGCACCAGAGGGTTAGCGGCGAACCAAAATAACAGTTACCGTGAAAAGGGAAGAGGGGAGAGAAAGAGACGGTTATCATCAGCTCCATACCTTAACGAACCGTAGCACGATTGAGCTCTGGAGGCGGGTGTGCGTTAGCAAGACGAGCAGTGAAAGGACACGGACAACACAAGACAAAATACCTTTCCAACAGCCGACTCTCCTATAGAGACACATTCATGATTAGCAAGACTGGATCAACGGATGCCAGATAAGGCGGAATGGGGTAGAAGGAGTGGAGTAGAGAGAAAGAAACCAACCCAGAAGAACAAGCTTGAACTGCGCGAAACGGGTGTTCATTCCCCTTACGCCGGGACCACCAGGACCGCCACGAGAAGCCATATTGTGAGGTGGGTTAAGGGACTGTTGAGGAGAAGAGGAGGTGTAGGATAGATCGGTCGGCGGTCGGCGGTCGGCGGTTAGATCAAGGAGCGTCGTCGTCTGTTGGGGTTGCCTGTGGGCGGTCGGGAGGACGGCGTCTTAGGAGACAAAAAGATCGATCGTAATGTATTGTCCCTGATGAGTCAGTCGTGGGAGGAAGGTAGACCGAAGCAGGAAATGCGAGGAGTATGTGTCGAGGCGGGTAGGTTGGTTGTTGGGTTCGGCAAGTCGGATGATGGTTGAGCCCCGTCAAGGTGAATAGGTGACTAGGTGAATAGCGCTGCCTTGGGGACCTTGGGGGATGAGAGTTGGGGAGGCGGCGGACGCCGCTTTGGTGGCTGAGGGCGGCAAAGTGACCTGTCCTGTGCTGTGTGCACAGTCCTGCATAAGGTACCTAATGATTAGTGCACACGTCAGGCTTAGTGGATATACATTCATAAGGTAGGCACCTGTACCTGTCACGCGCTGGAGATATCTCCGAAGACGGCGCTCGGATATTTCAATAGGGCTTAATTGATTATACTCTGTTTTATTCCCGTGTAGCAAATTAAGTCTATAATTACACAAAACTCCCAAGTTCTAGGTACCTATACAGAGACTTTCTCCTACTTCTTCATGTTCGCAAGGTACTTCTTGAGTAGAAGTCCTGCACATATGAGTGCATGCAGCACGTGGTTACATTTGAAGATTTGTGTGGCTGTGCCAGGTTCTTATGTGGCTCAGCCAAGCTGTACCTTCCAGGTTGTACACGTATTACTCCGTACCCTGACGAAGTAATTACGAAGCCTGCCCCACATTTGTTGGCGCGTCAGACTGACAGCTGGCCAGGGGTCAATTCGCTCCTCTGGAAAGTGACGACGGTTGTAATTTTGTATCACTTCGCAACTTTGTACATTCCTTGATTTCTTTTCTTCGCCATCTCCCTCTCCCCTCCCTCCCTCTCTCATCTGTCCGCAGTCTTCGAACCCTCCCTTGGTCCCCCTAAACGCCAACTCTTGGCTCAGACGAAAATTGAGGAACCAGGAGTGAAGACCGACGGGCTTAAACCTCTTTGTCCACAGCAATCAGCCTCCCAAATTCCTTCTTCTTCTTCACCCCTCCTCGCCTCCATTCACCTCCTCGACGTCAGCTCTCACAATGGCCCCTACGCTTCCCTACCGCGACATCAACGTCAAATTCGCAAACGACTCGTACACCTTTACTTCCCCATCCTCTCCCCATGCTCCCGCTCTCATCATCGACCGCCCCACGGGCGATTTGCGTCTCGGCGATGGCAGCGTCACTAAGCGAACTACCAGAGTGTCGAGCATCGCTGGTATCTTGGGTATCATCCAGCTGAGATTAGGTATGGCTAAGACGAACCACGGTGTTCATTTTTCTGCTTCGCCATCTAACTTGAATACCAAGACAAATATGTCATCGTCATCACAAAAGCCCAGCCCAAGGGCCGCCTCAAGGGCCACATGGTCTACAAGGTCGTCGCGACAGAAATCCTTGCCATGCGCGAGCGCCAGATTCGAGATCCCGACGAGGATACCTTTATCAATCTTCTTCACAGCTTCCTTAAGACCGCCCCCATGTATTTTTCCTACTCCATGGACCTGACCAACAGCTTCCAAAGGCAATCCGAATCCGACGTCTCCTTGCCTCTGTGGATGCGTGCCGACGACCGCTTCTTCTACAACAAGCACCTCCAGTCCGAACTCATCGACTTCCGCACCAGAGGCGCCCGGGGATCCATGGGACCCCAGCCCGGCGCCGACCCTTTCATCCTCCCCGTCATCTTCGGCGTTCTCGAGACCCGCCCCACCAACTTCAAGGGGAACCCCCTGACCCTCGTCCTCATCTCCCGCCGCTCGCGCCACCGCGGCGGTACCCGATACTTCACCCGAGGCCTCGACGAGGAAGGCCACGCCGCCAACTACAACGAGACGGAGCAGGTCGTCGTCGTCAACGACACGGGAAGCAGTCGCATGGGCGGCTTCGCCGGCAGCTCCGACATGCACAGTGGCCAGTTCGGCAAAGCCAACCCCGGCCCGGGCGAGGAGATGCAGGTCATGTCCTACGTGCAGACCCGCGGCAGCGTGCCCACCTACTGGGCCGAGATCAACACCTTGCGTTACACGCCCAAGGTGCAGGTCCGCGGCGTCGAGACGGCCCTGCGCGCCGCCCAGCGCCACTTCGACGAGCAGATCCGCATCTACGGCGACAACTACCTCATCAACCTCGTCAACCAGACCGGCCGCGAGCGCAACATCAAGAACTCGTACGAGCAGATGGTCGAGCTCCTCGTGTCGTCCCCGCGCGAGGACGTCCAGGCCGACCTCATCACCGACGAGAAGTTCCACACCATCCAGCCCCAGGGGCCCGCCCAACAGGAGTTCGACCGCCTGCACTACGTCTACTTCGACTACCACCACGAGACGAAAGGGCTGCGCATGCACCGCGCCTACGCCCTGGTCGAGAAGCTCGCCGACGCCCTCGCCCAGCAGGGCTACTTCCGCGCCGTCGACATGCCCGGCCCGGACGCCCGCCTCGAGCCGCGCGCCCACCAGTCCTCCGTCATGCGCACCAACTGCATGGACTGCCTCGACCGCACCAACGTCGTCCAGTCCATCTTCGCCCGCCACGTCCTGGACCGCATCCTCGAGGACCTCGGCTGGCTCCCGCGCGGGTCCTCCTTCCGCGACGAGGACCCCGTCTTCGAGGACCTCTTCCGCAACATGTGGGCCGACAACGCCGACGTCATCTCGTGCGCCTACTCCGGCACCGGCGCCATGAAGACCGACGTCACCCGCACCGGCAACCGCACCAAGATGGGCGTCCTCCAGGACGGCCGCATCGGCGTCACCCGCTACGTCAAGAACAACTTCCTCGACGGCCCGCGCCAGGACGCCTTCGACCTCTTCCTGGGCGCCTACCGCCCCGCTGCCGACCTGGGCTCCGGTCTCGTCTTCGCTGACCGCCGGCCCCTCCTCATCCAGTCCGTCCCATACCTGCTCGCCTTTAGCATCTTCCTCGTTTTCGTCGCCCTCTTCTCCCGCTCCGACGCCGTCCTCACCATCCGGATCTTTATGCTCTTTTGGCTCGCTGTCGCTGTTTGGAGCATCAGCTTCATCCTGGGCCATGGCATGCTCTACGTATGTTTTTCCTGTCCCATCCACCCCTTTCTTTTCATGCACGGCTGTCCTAACACGTCACGTCGTCCGTCAGGTCAACTGGCCCAATCTGAACCCTAGGCCATGGGCCAACGAGGGCTATAACGAACATATTGCAAAGGCGCGCAAGGATTCCGTGATTGGCACTCTTGTCGCCAAGCATGAGCGTGGTCTCAGCACGGCCCGCTACCTGAACGCGGAGGAGGGCAAGAAGAGGATCGAGTAGTGTTTGTAATAACCATTCCATTTCTTTTTGTTGTCTCTTTCATTTTCCTACTCTTTTCTTTTCTCTTCTTCTTTTCCTTTGGCCTCTTTTTCCTTGGCAGGACATTCCCATCATGGCTATATTCACTTCTTCTTCCTTTGTCTTATTGCTCAGCCATGGGTATGATGGTCCACATGAATTGTCTTCGCTATAATTATTAGCCCTGGAGTTGTTCTTCTATCCCTCTATACACAAAGACATGCAGGGGGGTTCTTTCTTTGTCTATATTTTGGTGGCTTGTTGATAGATCAGAAAAGAGCGAGACAGATAGCAAATGACAATAAAGTAATGCAGGCGGCCAGTCCTAAAGCCAGACATGGGACAGTATAAGCAACAGCAAGCAGGGAAAGGTATAAAGCTGTATATTATGTGGAGAGTATCAGTAAGATATTAAAGTCTGTCAGAATAGAAAATCATATGCGACAGAAAGACCAAGAATGCTAGAATATGAGGCCGCCCGTAGAGCCCAAGCATCCACGTTTCCCATCTCGATATCATCTGCTCGGGTATCAAATCCAGCTCGGGACGGGAGGAAAAAAAGGGAAAAAAAAAGAGGATCTAGAGAAAAGGAAAAGACAACGTTATGGGTTCAACGAAGCCTTGGGGAACACAGTACACGGACCTCCCTCACAGCCAAAGCAACCACCTCACGCCCCCAACAAAAGCCCGTCCAACCCCCCAGAACATCCGGAGAATCACCACAACGAACCACACATACCACATGAAGCCGACGAGCACCCACTCGACACCGAGCCACAACCCCCGCCGCACCCACCGGAACCTCCGCCGCCGCCGCCTTATCATCTTCTCCATCGTGTCCACGACATGTGTGACCTTGAGGCGCTGCCCAAACGCAAGGTCGCGGCTCGCCTCGTCCGCGTCGTCCGCCGCCGCCCGCGTCATGGCCGACAAGTCCACCGCGATGCGCCTTCGGATGTCCTCGACGCGGTCCTGCAGCGCGGGGGCCGTCTTGCCCGCGAACTCGTCCACCGCCCTCTGCCACTCCCCGTCGGCGGACTGGACCGTCGCGGCGAGGCTCTGGGCCGCTACGTGGTACAGTTCCGTCTGCGGGACGGCGCGGGCCCGTAGGCCGGAGGGGTCCGCGCTCAGTTGGGCGATCGACGGCCAACAGAGCCGTTTGTCGGCGTCGCTGGCGGAGTTGCATGTTCGCGCGGCGAAGACGGAGACGGGCTGGTTGGCGCGGCGGGAAATCTCCATGGCCTTGATGCCGGAACTCAGCACCAGGGCGCGGAGGCGGGCGACCTCGCGTTTCGACACGGGGGCGGGCTGGGATGTCGCGCTGCGATCCGAGATGGACAAGTGGCGGCCTTCAAAGGAGGAGGCCAAAGAAGGATGGCGCGGGTCAGACGAGAATGAGGATGACCGGGCAGCGAAGGAGCTGAGACGTCGACTGGCCTCCTGCAGTCCGTCACTACCAGTGCCAGCTTCTGCCTGCTCAGCTCGCGATTCAGATTCCCCGTGCGACTTGGAAAGAGTAGGTGATAGAGAGGGGGACGGATGCTGGACGTCGATGCGAGGAGGCTTGAGCAGGTCGAAGCGAGAAGATCGACTCGGCGGCCTAGACGTCTGTAAACCCTCCCGCCCCATCTGGTTCGGTTCGTGGGGCGTGTGCTGGAAAGTCGGCATCACATCCAGGTAATGCTTCGCCCTTGGGTTGCGATCATCCTCTCGGTCAGCGGTCGTGTCAGATACTGTTCGTGGCAGAGCGAGGCTGCTGTTGTTGTCGTCAATGTTCTTATTCTTATTGTTGTTGTTCTTGGTGGCGATGGTAGTGGTGTCGACACCAGGTTCGTCCGGGACAGAGAAATCGCGTTCATATGAGTGTCTTTCGGCTGGCTCCGAGTCTTTCCGCCAGATGAGGTCTCCCAATTTGGATACGCCACCCCGGATGACAGTATCTAGTCTCGCTCCCCGGGAAAGATTATTCGGAGTGCTGTTCTCGGTTCGAATCTTGGCGCCGGCCCGGAGACCTTCCGTCGAAGGTCGAGGCTGAGGCTGAGGCTGAGGTTGCGAGATCAAAGGAGCAACGACAGTTCCCGCGGCTTGCCTGTCGGGCGATGGGGCACGCGGCAGCGGTGACTGGGCTAGGCCGGGAGGCGCCGACTTGGGATGGACGGGAAGCTCGAGCTCGGTGTATTTGGCGTGAGGTTGGGGTTCAATGTCTCGCTCTCGCTCTCGCTCTCTGTCCCGGCTCCTCTCGCGAAATATATTCCGGACCTTGTGGAAGGGGTTGCGATGCGGTGAGCCTGCCCGACTTGACGCAGGGGAGAGATCTCCCCCAATGGGAGGTATGAAGGGGCTGTCCCTCGGGGGCCGATTGTCGGGGGAGTTGGGTACCGAGGTGTCGGCATCCATGAAACCCCGGTAGACAGGCATGGGGATCTCTAAGCTCGACCTACCACGATGACGGCCGTACATGGTCGGACGAGTCTTGGTGACCCCAGACGCGTCATCCGGTTCGCTCGCATCGACCAGCGACTGTTTGCGGCTCTGCGATTGAGAGGACGGCTGAGAAGTCGTACGTCCGGCCCGTTCGGGTGTCATTGGTACCATGGAGGGTCGATGCAACCAGGGGGCTGGCGGTGTTTCGTTCACTCTCTCTCTGGCAATCATCTCGAGCATTTGTTTCTGGAGGATCTCATTTCTGTCGCTGGCAGACGGCACTTGGGGTTGGTTTTGGTTTTGGTCGCGACCCTCTTTGCTCCTCTCGGATTCGTCGTCGGCAAGCTCAGAAGTGGATGTCTTGGAAACGGGAAGCATGTCGGGAGGGCCGATGGGGCCGTGTAGAGAGCTGCCACGATGGTGAGGAAGACCCTTGAGCTCCTGGAGTTTTTGCCGTGCTCTTTCCCGCGTGCTCCCACGAGAGTGACCTGTGTCCGTCTTGGCCAGCGTCGCCTCGTCGCCAGGAGGCTCCACTGCTGTCCGCAGCTGTGGTGTAGAAGCATTCTGGGAGGTGTCGGGCCTGGCCTTCGCGGCCGCCTCTGGACTAGACACAGGTCGAAATGACCAGACAGCATCCTGGAAATTCAGGGGGAAGATGCGACGCCAATGACGATCCTCGATGAGCTGCAAGTGATGATCTTGTTCCAACCAGTAGACGTCGGCAATCATATCAACGGGATTGATGACCCAGTCCACGCGCGGCCGCCTTGGTCTTGGAGCGTTCGACACAGGGGATTCCAGCTGTGCTTGATGCGCTTCGGCATCGGCAAAAGGGGGCAAGGCGGGGTTGTCGGGTAGAGCCGACTGGCCGGTGGCTGCCCATCTGGCTACGTTGTCTATCCAGTCGGTGACTTTCTTCACGTCGCCGAATCCTAGGGTTTCGCCATCGATAGCCTTCCGTTCGCGGGCTCGCACTTTGCGGTTCCGGATGTACTGAAGCGGGTTGTATGGCCGGCCGAGTGGACGAATGGCCTGTGGGGAGGAACTAGTAGACGTGTGGGATGATGTTGCGGAAAGCGACGTCGTAGGGTTAGCGGTAGAGGGCCGACGCGAGAGGGGATCCAGGGGCGGCACGAGCTCGAGCAACCGCCTGTACTGGGCCATGAGCTCCAACTGGTCCTTGGCCTTCTGGGCTCTCGCCAGGGTGGCGGGAGTAAAATGATGACGGTAGGAAGCTTCCCGTGTGAGGTCGAAGGATGGTTGCAAGGGGCTGTTCGCCCTTGTGGCACCCGAGGGCAGTCTGGGAGACAAGCCATGGTCCGGACGCGGGGATATGTTGCGGGAGGTTCTCCTCTGCTGCTGTAGGTGTTGTTTCAAGCTACCGCCGGTGCCGGTGCCAGCGTCGGGGAGAGGTGCTAGGACCGGGGGCACGGCGGCGGAGGCGGTTCGCCTGGAAGCTACCCTCCTCGACTCGCTTAGGTTCAAGGCCATGTTGACGATGAGTGCCGAATCGATATCGAGAGGCTGGCTGGCGGTTCGATGTGAAGAAGCATGATAGCCATGATCGGCGAGAGCACCATTCGGGGTTTCTCTCCTCCTCCCGACCACATCTTCCATGTCCTCGGTCAGTGGTGACGAGAGGCCACCTGACCTGGGCCTTGGTGAGTTATTGGACGTGGACGGAGACACGAGTTGGGGGTCGAAAGAGGCACCGGCACCGGCACCGGCACTCGAGGCGGAGCGTTCAGATGTGGAGGTCCGTGGCGTGAGGTTGGTGTTGGCCTTTTGGGATTGTTGCATGTAGCGAGGCTGGCCTCGACGTTGAGCCCGGTTGGCATTGCCAGAAGCATCGTGGAAGGCGTTTTGGAGCAAGAAGCCGCCAGACGAACGGATCCTATGTCCTCTCTGGCCGGACACCTCGTCTTTCTCCTTCTCCTTCTCTTTATCCTTGCGTCGTTGTGTCGGCGGAGTAACATTCTGCGCTTTGCCCTTCAGAGGGGCAGTCGTCGTGGCAGGGTTGGGAGTATTTGCGGCCGCACTCGACTCGGGCCTCGACTCGTCATGGGTCGGACTTGTCAGGGCATCGGTTCGGGACGGGGCCATCGACGACTGACTCCCTCTCTCGAAGAGCAGAGAACGATTGGGGACGACATGCTTGTCCGACATGACGGCGGCACAGGCAACGCGGATCGTCGCATGGCACGTAGCGCGGCGTCCCAGACGAAGGTTATCGTCGAGGACCCTCGCATACGGAACGAAGGAGGAAGGACGGGTCGTGGGCTCGTAGCTCTTTCGAGGAAGATGAGCCGCCGATGAACCGAAGATTTCTGTTCGTAGTGGTAGATGGTAGGTGGTAGGTGGTAATTAGATGGTAGTTCCTGGTATTAGGGAATGGACGCAGTCATGAGACAAGCATAAAAGCCGTGGAAGAACGGGACAATGACAGCATTCGAGAAGCCGGAGAAAGAAAAGAAAGTCTGAATGAAGCATTAAATTAGGTAGAATCCGAGATGTGTTGGGGCAAGGATCGAAACAAGGCAGAAAGAATGGATAGACGGGGATTTTTTGCTACCCAGAGTTGGCGTGTGATCGATGGCCGCGGGGGGGTTTTGGGCTTGTCGGTCGCCGGTCACGAAGAGACACCTACCTTCAGGTATCTTATGAACCCATGAGCCACGAACCACCGCGATACAAGCCTTCCCAAAGATGCAGGGCAGAGGAGAGTACGTACAGTGACGCGCCAGCTCCCTGAAAGGTAAAAGGTACCTTATATCCGTACAACGTACACCTGTCTCGACGCCTTTGTTACAACGTACCTTCGGATGTCCCAGACGTCACGAATCCAGCAAACTTAGGTGGAAAGATACGTGGTAATTACTATTAGGTACTCTCTTTGTGCAGGTCTCTGAGCAGTTCCTCCTGGTACCCAAGGTATAAGGGACGTACTGCCTGATTGGTCTGGTTTGCGTCAGGTATTCCTCCTCACCATCATGGTTGCCCTTCAGTTATGTACGAAAAATTAAAAGGAAAATTCTAACTACCTTACCTACCTTATGCCACGTACTCGATACTGAGCAGGATATATACAACGCCTTGTTTAGGAGTAGAAATGGAGAAATCCTTTATTTCTCTGTTTTCTTGGACTCCGAACTCGTTACTACGACGCATTTCGTCCCTTCTCGCGAATACGATACAGTGTGGCTTGGCATACCGAACCCCCTATAAAAGATGGTCTGAGCCTGCTGAGATAAGCTTCAGCACAGTATGACAACTGTACAGTTGGCGGGGCGGTTCAGGGGGGTCCAGAGAGCTAGCTTTAGCACCGCCCCTTCTCGACGATACGACGTACAACGTAGGTACTGTAGGTAGGTTCGATGACCTTGGAGGGGCAGTAGCAACCAGAGCCCCGACTTCCCCCTCCATTGACAGAGTCCATTGGTCCTTCTCTGCCTAAGAATAGCACGCACCTAGCACCTGCTCTTCTTCTTCTTCTTCTTCTTCTTAAGCCTTGGGCTGCCTTCTTACACCCCCTTTTTCCTCCACCACACCGTTATTAGCCCCTACACCGACACCGATCCGGCCGACCCTCTAACAAACGCCCGTCTTTCTCTCTCGACACATAATTACAGACTGTCCATTCTCGCCCACCATGGACGCCATCAAGTCAGCCCTCCACATCGGCTCCAAACCCGAACCCCTTTCCCAACCCACCGCCGAACAGGTGGCCGACCTCAAGGCCAAGTACACCGCCGCCGGTCAAGATCATGTCTTTACCTTCTACGACTCGCTCTCCCCCGAAGAACAGGCCTCCCTCTACAACCAGCTGCTCGGCTTCGACCCGGCCCGTATCAACGAGATCACCGACCGCGCCCTGAACCCGACCAAGGCCAAGCCCCGCGACCTCGACCGTGCCCAGGATGACATCGAACCCCTCCCCGAATCTGCCACCGCCAGCATCCTCGACTCCAAGCCCGAGGACCTAGATACCTGGTACAAGGCTGGTCTCGATCTCATCGCCCAGAACAAGGCCGGCGTGGTCCTCATGGCCGGAGGTCAAGGCACCCGCCTCGGCAGCTCCGCCCCCAAGGGCTGCTACGACATCGGACTGCCCAGCCACAAGTCCCTCTTCCGCATCCAGGCAGAGCGTATCCGCAAAATCCAGGAGCTCGCCGCCGCCCACGCTGCCTCGGATTCCAAGCCCGTCGTCCCCTGGTACGTCATGACCTCGGGCCCTACCCGCGGCCCCACGGAGCAATACTTCGAGGAGAACAACTACTTCGGCCTCGACAAGGCCGACGTCTTCATCTTCGAACAGGGCGTCCTCCCCTGCATTTCCAACGACGGAAAGATCCTTCTCGAGTCCCGCAGCCGCGTCGCCGTGGCCCCGGACGGCAACGGCGGCATCTACCAGGCTCTCGTCGTCTCCGGCGTCCTGGACGACATGCGCCGCCGCGGCGTCCAGCACGTCCACGCCTACTGCGTCGACAACTGCCTCGTCCGCGTTGCCGACCCGGTCTTCCTGGGCTTCGCCGCCGCCAAGGACGTCGACATCGCCACCAAGGTCGTCCGCAAGCGCAACGCCACCGAGTCGGTCGGCCTCATCCTGCAGCGCAACGGCCGCCCCGACGTCGTCGAGTACTCCGAGATTGACCAGGCCACCGCCGAGGCCCGCGACCCCAACCACCACGACCTGCTCAAGTTCCGCGCCGCCAACATCGTCAACCACTACTACTCCCTCCGCTTCCTCGAGTCCATCCCCCTGTGGGCCCACGAGCTGCCCCACCACGTCGCCCGCAAGAAGATCCCGGCCGCCGACCTCACATCCGGCGAGACCGTCAAGCCCGAGAAGCCCAACGGCATCAAGCTCGAGCAGTTCGTCTTCGACGTCTTCCCCCGCCTGCCCCTCGACAAGTTTGCCTGCCTCGAGGTCCGCCGCGAGGACGAGTTCTCCCCGCTCAAGAACGCCCGCGGCACCGGCGAGGACGACCCGGATACCAGCAAGCGCGACATTATGGCCCAGGGCAAGCGCTGGGCCCAGGCCGCCGGTGCCACCGTCGCTTCTGAGAAGGAGGATGATGGTATCGAGGTGTCTCCTCTGATCAGCTACGTATGTTCTTTTTTTTCTCCTCTTCTTTTTCTTCTTTTTCTTCTTTTTCTTCTTTTTCTTCTTTTTTTTCTTTTTTTTTTGCCCCAACTAATACGGAGGAATGTCACGGCTAACTGGTTCTCTACAGGGAGGTGAGGGTCTTGAGAAGCTCAGCGGAACTCAAATCACGGCTCCTGCTGTTTTGGAACGGGAATAAAGGGAGGGCAATATGAATACAAAAGAAAAGAAAAGAAAGAAAAGAAAGGAAAAAGAGCATCGGCGATCGGAGTAGGGAAGAGTCCTTTTGTTACAAAGCCTGGAAGATTACCTGCTACAATCATGATGAGCGGGATAAGGAGATGCATGCACATTACACACATGACATGAGATATGGAAAGAGTTCAAAACAGCTAGAAACATGGAGTTCAGATACGTACGATGGCATGAGCCCGGCTGTGGATTTGCCATCTTAGGATCCTCTTTATTTCTCTATCATCTGACAGCCCGTATCCACAGCCCCTCAGGACTCTACGTGGTCTATCGAGAAATACACCGTAATCTCAACCTCGTTGCTCCACCCGGGATGGAGCGCCATCTCGTTCCACGCCTTCTCAACGTCAATCTCCAACACGTGGGCATCCGCCGCGCTAACCGAGACGGTATGCACCGGAATCACGCGTCCCTGGATCGTAGCGATGAAGTCATCCGCAATGGTCAGCTCGGGGAGCGCGGAGAGGTAGACCCCCAACACACCGAGCGCCTTGAGCGACGTCCGCAGCTGGACGCGGCCGTCGGTCTCGAAGGCCAGGCCGCTGCTCACGATGGCCGCTGCGCCCGCCATCTTCCCCAGCAAGCCCAGGTTGGCGGCGTAGAGCACCTCGCCCTTGGCCTCCCTGACCAGGGTGGTGAGCGGGTAGGCGGTGAAGATGTCGTAGCCGCGGATGTCCAGGGACACGGCCAGGGAGGAGGAGCCGGGACCGGGACCGGGACCGGGGGCGGCGGAAGAAGAAGAAGGGGTGAGGGGCGGGGTGAGGCGGCCGGTGGAGTGGGCGCGTACTGTGTACCTCATGGAGGGGAGGACGCCGGGGAAGACGGCGAGGGGGATGAGTTCGAGTAGGGGTCTGGAGGAGACGTTGAAGATGCCGAGGATGGGGGTGCCTGTTACGGCGTGGCCTAAAAAGAAGAAAGAAAAGAAAAGAAAAAAGAAATGTTAGTGAATCATCGGCATGTTCCAGGGGAGTAGAGGGAAACACTCGACGTACCGTGATAACTACCTACTTTCAACAACACATCGTCGTGGTAGCTGTTGTAGACATCAACCGACTTGCCGACCACGCTGGGCCGGAAAATAACGGTCTTGCCCCGCGGCGTCAGGCCCGTCATCTCCTTGATGAGATGCATATCATGCTGGCCAGGGACGTCAGTGATGTAGATAGGCCCGCCGCTCACGCAGCGCGCGGCGGCATGAAAGCCAGAATAACCATGCACCGTCTGGAACATGTCCCAGTCGGGGAGGATGTTGAGATGCTGCGTCAGCAGGGCGTTGTGGGCGTTGGTCCACACATGCCAAGGGTGGGAGGAGGGCACCTCGGGGAAAAAGTCGTCCGAGTTGCGGCAGAGGACGGGGGGCCGGTTGCGGCGGAGCTGGGCGTGGAAGATGATCTGCGGCACCTGGGACATGCACGAGATGGCCTTGATGCTGAAGTGGCGCAGGGAGGCGATGGTCCAGGCGTCGAGGTAGGCGGCGGTGAGGTCGCGGCGGGCGGCGGCCGAGACCCACGTGTCCAGCATGAACTGGGCGTCGGTCTTGACGCCGTCGACGCCGCAGGAGGCGAGGAACCGGTAGAAGTCGTCGTAGAACCGGTCGACGTCTTCCTGGGCGACTACGGTCATCTTGCCGCCCAGCGGGAGGTGGCGGCGCTCGGCGTCTTTCCGCACGACGTCGACGGTCTTGTAGGTTTGGGCGAGCTTTCCCTCGGGGGAGATGCCGGCCCAGTAGCCTGGGGGAGCGTTAGCCAAGTCACCGGTAGCAAAGAGGCGAGGACGAGACGAGATAGTACCGAGTAGGGCGTGCCAGACGGCAATGTGTTGAATGTGAGGGTGTTTCTCGCGGATGCTGGATACCATGCCCTTGAGACCATGGGGGAAAGCTTTGGGTTCCGCTTCAAACTCGACCCAGGCGTGTTGGAACTGGCCAGGGCCTCGGTAGTCGATGGACTGCCAGTTGTCGTCGATGATGAGACTGGCGACCTTGATGTTGTGTTCTGCGAGAGTATCAACAGCATTCAATACTTTCTCTTCGGTGAGCTTCTGCCCAAGGCCGTTCCACGTGCCTGTTTGCCGTCAGTTGATGGAATGAATGGAAGAAAAATAAAATATAAAAAGGAGTGTCCACGCCCCACGTACAATAACCGAGGCCGTCGTACCAGTTCTCCATCCACTCAGGTTTGATGTCCCTTTCAATGGACCGAATCTCTGCCTCGGTTTCTTCCTTCGTACCCTTCATCTGTTGAACGACGGTCCGGGCATGGTACATGACGGCAGCATTGGCGCTTTCAAAGGTGTCGCCGATAGCCGCGAGGACCGTGGCTGGTTCAGATTCAGTGCCGTCATTTCGACTCTATAGTCCCCATTATCAGCACCTGAGATGCAGGTCGTCGAATGGAGCACAGTCTCTCGGTGGGTTTTGAAGCTTACGTGCAGCACCACAGTCCCATGCCCCTCGGTATTCTGGCTGCGGAACACAGAGGTGACGTTGTTCGCGCCGCTGATGGCCAGTAAGACGAGATGGTGACCCCGAGGGCTGAGAAAGGAACATAATATGCCGTCCCTGTCAAGCTCGAAATGGTTCTTGCCATGTCTAGGGCCGAGCCAAGGTGTCCAGGGACGGACTAAAGCAAACCACCTGAGGGGCAAGAACGTATTAGAGAAATTGGAAAGCAAGGCCAGAGCGCATCTTTGGAACCCACCGCAGATAAGATCCCCAAGGGATGCCTATAGGGATGTCACGATAAGTGGAATCATCTCCCACGGCCGCAGGGACAGGTGTCTCGAGTACCCATAACCTCGTGCCGGGCGACTGGCTCATCTTCTGTTGGACCGTCCATGCGGGATTCAAGTCCTTGATGATGCCGTTCAAATCTTCCGGAAGACCAGCAGCCAGCCCGGTACGCACGATAACGAGACCGTCACCCAGACCCAGCTCATCACGGGTCCACCTCCACGGCTCGTTCTCGCCATGACGGAACTTCAGGGTGAATTGCAGCGACTCCCGAGCTGCCAGGGAGACGGAGAAGTACAAGCGAGACGAGGATGCGTCCACGGACTGCAGTTCTTTAGGGGCACTGTCCGGCGAGGTGGGATGCAGGAGAGATTCAGTCCATTCTTGACCGTCGGTCGACTGCCAGAGGGCGACTTGCCATGGCTCCTCACCCCGCGAAGCCGGGACTTGAAGGACGGCAAGGAAGGATAAGTGGCCTTCTTGGACTTGAGTGACTTGACCCAGCGGAGGGAAACTTTGTACGATGGCTTTCATATCTGCTTCGACGGCGTCTGGGTCCGGATTCTGCTTTAGAATGTGAAGAACCTGGAAGGGGTCCGCGAAGTTGAAGCCGCTGCCGGTCATGTTTTGTTGGCGGGGACCTGAGCCGGCAACCGTTACGGGGTTTTTTTTTTGTCTTTCTTTTTGGAATTGGGACGGATGGATGAAGGTTCTAGGTATTCACGAGAAGTTCTGTCTTATATTGTGAGGGCAGCTGGACGAGACTGATGTTGGACGGTTCTCTAGGTGTGTCAAGGCAGAGGAGGCGGTCCAGCTCGTGTAAAAGGAGTCCTGCACTACCGACCGAGTGGACCACATAGCATACTGATGCTCTGTAACGTCTGCTGTAGGTATTGGGCAATCATGCGGGTCAGCTGCACCTGTGTCGGGTCTCATTGCATGTCTGAGAGGACGGGGAGTCTGGGGGTTTTGTCGGTGTAGTTGTTGGTGAACCCCTCTTGGTTAAGGAGTTCAACGGCCGAGGCACAAGGTTCAGTACGTAATTGCCTGGTTATGTAAGCATCTAAAGCGAAGACCATAGAGCTGAGTCATCGCTCACTCCATCTTGGAAACAGACCACCTCTGATTGGCCCATGCCTCGGGCGGAGATACCCGGAACAACTCGGAGAAACCAATGCCTGCCAACGCCTACCAGTGCCTGAGATCCCAGGCCACTAAAAATCATTCCAGCAAACCGGCACCGAGAATTGGCAGAGAGCGAGAGAAAGAGGGAAAGCTTTCAAAGCCGCGAGCCGAAACCTCCATCGAAAGATTGAAAGATTTCGTCAACCCAACTCACCATTCGCCTTCCGCTCCGCTCCCGCTCCCGCTTCCTCCCACCATCTACCCACCCCCCATGGCGTCCCGGAGACTTGCTTTGAACCTCTCGCAGGGGCTGCGAAAGGGCGCCTCGTTCGCCAGGACTTCTCGTCTGACCCGAGGCCTCGCTACGCCCGCCAGCCCCGTCGGCAAAGTCGAGACCACCACCCTCAAGAATGGACTGACTGTACGGCCATCTCCCATCAGCGCCCTTTCCTTGTCTCCTCTTCTCCTGTCCTGCCGGGTTCTCTCTTGGAACGAGACCAATTGGCCAATTGGTTGCATATAGACCGTTGAATCTCGTCTCTAACCGTTGAATCGTTTCTTCACAGGTTGCCACCAACTACTCGCCATGGTCCCAGACTTCCACCGTCGGCATGTGGATTGATGCCGGCTCGAGGGCAGAGACCGACGAGACCAATGGCACTGCTCATTTCCTTGAGCATCTCGCTTTCAAGGTACGATTCCCGTGCTGTGTGACTTGTCGCTGTTGCGCCCTTTTTTTTCTTTTTTTTTTCTCTCTCAATCTGTTTCCCCTTTCATCTTTTTTATTCATTTCTTTCCCCCTTGCCCTTCTTCATATCTATATTCGGAGGCATCTTGACACTGACGACACATGAATATTTAGGGCACCTCGAACCGGACGCAGCAGCAACTCGAGCTCGAGATTGAGAACATGGGTGGTCACCTGAACGCCTACACTTCGGTTGGTGACACCAACAAAATGACCGATGCATATTCCCTGTACATAAAGGCCACATTCAAACTAACTGTTGGAAACTCCACACACAACAGCGCGAGAACACCGTCTACTTCGCCAAGGCCTTCAACTCGGACGTACCGCAGTGCGTCGACATCCTCGCCGACATCCTCCAAAACTCCAAGCTCGAGGAGGCCGCCATCGAGCGCGAGCGCGACGTCATCCTGCGCGAGTCCGAGGAGGTCGAGAAGCAGATGGAGGAGGTCGTCTTCGACCACCTCCACGCCACCGCCTTCCAGCACCAGCCCCTCGGCCGCACCATCCTCGGCCCGCGCCAGAACATCCGCGACATCACCCGCACCGAGCTCGTCAACTACATCAAGACCAACTACACCGCCGACCGCATGGTCCTCGTCGGCGCCGGCGGCGTGCCCCACGACAAGCTCGTCGAGCTGGCCGAGAAGTACTTCGCCGGCCTCCCCAGCCACGGGCCCCAGAACCAGGCCTACCTCCTCTCCAAGCAAAAGGCCGACTTCATCGGCTCCGACGTCCGCGTCCGCGACGACCAGATCCCCACCGCCAACATCGCCATCGCCGTCGAGGGCGTCAGCTGGAACGACGACGACTACTACACCGCCCTCGTCACCCAGGCCATCGTCGGCAACTACGACAAGGCTTTGGGTAATGCCCCGCACCAGGGCAGCAAGCTCAGCGGCTTTGTGCACAAGCACGACCTGGCCAACAGCTTCATGAGCTTCTCCACCAGCTACAGCGATACTGGGTACGTTTTCCTTTTTTTTTAAACCTTTTTTTTTTCTTTTTTTCTTCTTTTTCTTTTCCCCCCCCAACTAACCACAAACGACACCTGCAGCCTCTGGGGCATCTACCTCGTCACCGACAAGCTCACCCGCGTCGACGACCTCGTCCACTTCGCCCTCCGCGAATGGATGCGCCTCTCCTCCAACGTCAGCGACTCCGAGGTCGAGCGCGCCAAGGCCCAGCTCAAGGCCTCCATCCTGCTCTCCCTCGACGGCACCACCGCCGTCGCCGAGGACATCGGCCGCCAGCTCATCACCACCGGCCGCCACGCCAGCCCCGCCGAGATCGAGCGCCTCATCGACCACATCTCCGCCAAGGACGTCATGGAGTTCGCCAGCCGGAAGCTCTGGGACCAGGACGTCGCCGTCAGCGCCGTGGGGAGCATCGATGCCCTGTTTGACTACCAACGGCTGAGGAACACCATGAAGCCCAAGTTCTAAGAATCCCTTGCAGAAAGGGAAAAAAGGGGGGGGAATGTGTTTGGAGAGGGTTGGTGAAGGGACAGACGGGGTGATGTAAAGCGTGTAGGGGCTTTGCGAAAGGTGGTGGTTTTTGGCTGGTTCTACGGGATAGAGTGTATGAGATACCGTTTTTTACAGGCCTACTGTAATATAAAAAGAGTCCCTTTTGTTCACAGTCGCTGTCTGCAACGCGTGTTGATGTGGCAAGCAATGCAGTAGTAGTCTTGGTGTTGTTGGGTTGGGCGGTTATACGTGAGGGCAGGTATTCTGGAGGCTGGGGACGGTACACGGGTGTTGAACCATAGTCCTTGAATCGAGAGTGGTTCTTCATCGTATATCACGTCCATCGAACTGGCTTCTTATAGAATGTTGTCCTTTATCTTGATGAAATTACCCATCCCCCGTCCCGTACCCCCCGTCCCGTAGCCCCCCGACCAACACACCCCCTTTTTACCTTCGACATCCACGCCTGGATTATAATCATTCCTCATTCCTCATTCCTCCATTCCCAAACACCTCAAACAATGCGGTATCGATTCTATTTCCCTTCCATGTACTGGACTCGAATTTCCACGGCCCGTCTGTGCGCCTCCAGCTCTTCCACCTTGGCCAGGTGCATGACGGCTTCGCCAACATTCTTCAGGCCCTCGGCCGTCAGGTTGGAGCTGGTGATGTGCTTGACAAAGGACCCGAGGTTGACGCCCGAGTATTGTTTTGCGTAGCCGTACGTTGCTGTGGACCATTGTCAGTAACAAAAAGGGTGAAAAAAAAAAAGAAAAAAAGAAAAAAGAAAAAAGGAAGAAAACACATACGCAGAGAATGGTTCACACCCGCAGAGTAATCGCCCACACTCTCAGGAGTCCACTGGCCGATGAAAACGCTACCGGCATTCATCACCTTATCAACAACCTTCTCGGCGTCCTGGACCTGCAGGATGAGATGTTCCGGGGCATACTCGTTGCTGATACGCATGGCCTCGTCGACGTCGCGGACGGAGATGGTGACGGAGTGGGCGATGGACCCGCGAACGATAGCAACGCGCGGCAGGGCCATGGCCTGCTCGTGCACCTCGTCCTCGATCGCGCGGAGCTGCTCCTCGGTCAGGTCGACGGCGAGGAGGATGACCTGGGAATCGACGCCGTGCTCGGCCTGGGAGAGGAGGTCGGAGGCGACGAAGGCCGGGTTGGCGTGGGCGTCGGCGACGACGAGCACCTCGGACGGGCCGGCGGGCATGTCGATGCCGACGCCGGCGTTGGTGTCGTTGCTGACGAGCATCTTGGCGGCGGTGACGAACTGGTTGCCCGGGCCGAGGATCTTGTCGACCTTGGTGACGTTCTCGGTGCCGTAGGCGAGGGCGGCGACGGCCTGGGCGCCGCCGGCGAGGACGATGCTCTCGGCGCCGATCTTGTGGGCCACGTAGACAATCTCGGGCGTCAGGCTGCCGTCGGGGCGCGGGGGCGACGCGAGCACAATCTTCTTGCACCCGGCCACCATGGCCGGCACGCCCAGCATGAGGGCCGTGCTGGGGAGCACGGCGGTGCCGCCGGGGACGTATAGGCCGACGCGCTCGATGGGGCGGGAGAAGCGGCTGCATACCACGCCGGGCATGGTCTCGACCTGGAGGGGCTTGTCTTCCTTTTGGGCGGCGTGGAACTTGCGGATGTTCTCGAAGGAGATGTCGATGGCCCTGATGGACTCGGGCGACAGCCGCATGGCTTCTTCGGGAAAGGGCGCCTTGAGCACGGGCGAGGTCAGCGAGGTGGCCTTTTCGAACTTGTGGGTGTAGGTCAGGACGGCCTTGTCGCCGCCGGTCCGGACGTCTTCGATTATGGGCTTGATGACGTTGAGGATGGCGTCGGGGGACTTTTGCGACGGGCGCTTCAGAGCCTCGAGGATTTCGGCCTCGGAGGCCTGGGAGGCGTCATAACGGCGCATCACGATTCTGCCTGGCGGAGTGTCGCTTGCAGGCGCAGCAGGGGTAGTGGCAGGGACAGGCGCAGGAGCAGGAGCAGGCCGGCCGGTAGAGATACCCTCCTTCTCGGCCCACTTCCCCTTCGCGTCACCCTTCCTCCTCTTGACCTTCCAGGCCTTGGCGTCCAGATTCTTCTCGATGTCGGCCAGGGTGACACCGGCGCTGACGGCCTTTGTGAGCGCGAAATAGATCAGGTCGGCGGCCTCGAACGCGACCTCCTCGGGGGTCTGGGCATCGCAGAGCTCCTCGGCCTCTTCCATGATCTTGGCCCTCAACAACCTCTCGTCGCTGAACAGGCGTGCGGTGTAAGAGCCCTCGGGGGCGGACTGTTTCCTTGACTGCAGGGTCCTCTCCAGGCGCGGGATGCCGGACAAGTCGCCGAAGCAGCCGTCCTGTTCCAGGTGGCAGAAGCGACCTTTCTGCTTGACGATGAATTTGAGGGTGTCATTGTCGCAGTCGACGGATATGCGGATGAGCTCTTGGGTGTCGCCCGAGGTAGCACCCTTGACCCACAGGCCGCGTTTCCGGCTCTGGTAAACGCCCGACTGGGTCCTCAGGGCCTCGGCAATGCTTTCCTCGCTGCTGTAGGCGAGGCCCAGGGCGACGTTCGACTCGTCGCAGACGACGGTGGGGATCAGGCCATCGGCGCGGTCCGATTTGCAAAACGAGACAATGACTTGGGGAAGAGACAGCCTCGTGGTGTCCTCCTTGCTGACGGTCAGACGGTCGGAGGGGAGGATGGGGATGGCAGAGCACTTGCGGGCTACCTGGAGCAGAAGTTCCAGATCAGCACTGGGTACCGGCTTAAGGAAGAGGTCGGATGGCCTCTGGGTGGTTTGGGTCTGCCTGAGGAATTCTTCGAGGTCGGGACTCTGGGGGTCAAAGTCTTTCAGCAGGAGGCTGCTGTTCCCTGATGTCGCCGAAAGGTCCAAGTTGGCAACGACAGGGCCGACTCGGTTGCCGAACTCGGCATACTTGGGGAGGTTCTCGGGTGTGACGAAGACTTGGCGTGCGCCGGCATCGAGCAGTGACACCACGTTGTCCGGAGAGCCTACTGCGGTGACGTCGAAGTAGCCACGAAACTCGGCATTGTGGCGCTTCAGGAAGCGATGGAACTTGCCGAGTGTCTGGTCGGTAACTTGGAAGAATGGAGCACCGAGGGCGGAGACCTGTTCCCGGGTAAGGCCTTCGAGGTTGGCCAGACCGGGAGGGACGGCAACACTGATGAGGAAAGGGAACGGTAGTGTTGTTTCCATGTCGAGGTCTGAGAGAAGGTTATGTCGGACTAGAATGGACGACTTGAAGAATCGATTTCCGAGTGTCTTTGAAGACAGCCAAGGTAGTAGGGGGACTGGAGAAAGATGGAGGTTAGTTGAGCCGAGGGGACCGGTGGCAGAGTGGCAGAGTGGCAGGAGCAAGAGACAAATGAACACTCGACTGACGTTTGGTCTCTTCTTTCCTTCTTTGGGTGTCTGAATTTCTAGAAAGGAGTTCGATTGTAAGTGTTTGTAGGTGGGGGAGAAGAAGAACTCGGGGGAAAGAGAAAAAAGACTTTATAAGATGTCAACGCCACGATGGAAGAATTGAGTTTTGGGGAGTCACATCCCACTTCGCGCTTCCCCTTCCCTAGTCCCCAGGTCCGAGTCCGGCTCGAATTTTGGCGGGGCAATCCGACCCCTCCATCTAGAAGAGTACCTTAGGTAAGGTATTGTCCTGTCACCTGTCGCCAGAGGTCACCATAACTCAGCCTCTGTATCTGTGTATCGGATCAATAGATCTGCCGTCCACAGCTCTCAGGTACGGTACGTCGTACCAGTCACTTCGTTGCCTCGTTCCGACTACTCGCCCATTCATGCCACTTCAGCATCTCCATCTTACACCCAAGCCATCCACAACCATTGGTTTCGTCCATTGAAGCTCCCAATTGAACAGCTTCCAAGCAGTCCTCATCGGATGTAGCTATTACTTTTCAAATTTACACCGAATTCCCCATTAAAATCTCACGCTGATCTCCCTCGACCGTTCCAATTCCGACCTCGCTACCTCACCCACCATCGAGCAGCCATCACACAAACAAAAGCATCACTACAGCTCTTACCGCCCATCAACAACAACTTCCTCTCCCCGTACTTCCACGACCCTCGCGCCTGGAGACGTTAAAACCCGCCCATCATGAGCACACAATCTACCTCGACGCCGCAGACCAACGGCGGGCCTTCCTCCTCCGCCCCAAACCCATCCCAACAAACCACCAACACACAACCGACCACTTCCACATCCCAGCAAAACACCTCACAACCGCAATCACAGCCGCAATCGCAATCGACCCAACAGTCACCTCAACAACAGCAACAGCAACAACAACAACAAAATCCAAATCCGAACCAACCCCAGTCACAACAAGGCCAACAAGGCCAACAAGGCCAACAACAACAACAACAACAACAACAACAACAACAACAACAACCATCCGACGCCTCCACCTCCGCACCGCGCCCCCGCGACTCGAGGATGATCGAACTCCTCCTCACCTCCCAAGGCGTCACCTCCTACGAGACCCGCGCGCCCCTCTTCCTCCTCGACTTCGCCTACCGCCACACCTCCGGCATCCTCAACGACGCCCTCCACCTCGGCGCCGACCCCTACACCACCCACGCCGGCACCCGGCCCTCCGCCGGCGCCGGGCCCGCCTCCATCCCCGCCACCGGAGGCGACGCCACCGTCTCCGCCAACGCCATCAAGATCGCCATCGCCTCCCGCCTCGTCTACCAGTTCCGCGGCGGCCGCGGCTCCGGCGGCATTAGTAAAGACTGGCTCCAGGACCTCGCCAAGGAGCACAACCGCGTCGCCCTCCCCCGCGTGGCCCCCAACGAGTGGGGCGTCCGCCTCCCCAGCGAGCGCTTTGTCCTCACCGGCACGAGCTGGGGGCTGAAGGACGTCTGGGAGGAAGCCGGGATGGAGGAGGACGAGGAGAGCGACGAGGATGCCGAGCAGAACCGGGGCGGTGGTGGTGCCATGGAAGGCGTTGAGCCGACCGGCGCCGCTGTCGCTGGGGACGGCGAGAATAACGAGGACGGTGAGGACGTTGAAGGCGGGACCATCGAGGACGTATTCGGTAAGGATATGGAGGATGAGGAGATGGGAGGCTAGGAGGACCGACCCTTTCCCGACGCTTCTGCTACGATGGGCCGCACGACTACCAATGCCGCCTCTTAAAGTGGCGTGGTACATCTAGAGGGCTGGGTGTTCCCTTTTATTGCTTTGACCGGGCTCTTGGTGAACTGGGGACCTGCAGACAATCTGCAACTAGGGAAGCGAAAAAAACATCACTAATAATAATAATAATAATATGGACGGACGGAGGTATACTGAGTGCCTGTGTCTCTACACGCAAGAACATGAAGACGAAACGTGTATATGTATGTGATGTATGTATGAACGAACGTCCTCGCCAAAAATGTATTACATATCATATGCGCCTGTATCCCATTGTGTGTGTGTGTGTGTGTCCATGATGATCCCAACGCCACCGCTATGTCCCAAAAGTGCCATGTCCCATCTTTCCGTCCTGCCGCTATGCCCTGCCTGCCTCTAATCTTTTAACCAGCGTCGGGGCCCTCAAGTCCATGTTGACAACAACCCCGTGAAACCACGGGCGGTGGGAAAAGAAAAGCCTAGAAAAAAAAGAAAAAAAAGAAAGGAATCACTGTTACAACACGTAGACAGCTCGCCCTCTCTCCTCTCACTCGTGGAGCGTAACGTTATTCACGCCCGTCATGGCCTCGGCACCGACATCCTGCACCAACTCTTTGTTCACGGGCCGAGACAACGTGGGCACCAACGCCACATCCTCCTCCCTCACGTCGTCGTCGTCGTCGTCGTCGTCTTCGAGGTCCTCGAGCACTTGCGGCGGGCTTCGCGCCGGTCGAGCCGTCGCCGCTCCGTCATCCTCATCGTCTTCCTCCTCACCGTCTCCGCCCTCGCCTTCGTGTTCTTCGTCTTCGTACTCCTCCTCGTCGTCCGCATCCGACTCGTCAAGGCTCAAACGACGCATGCTCTGCTCCATGCTCTCGCTCAGTTCGCTCTCCCCTTCGTCGTCGTCGTACTCGTCCGCCGACGAGTCCCGGGAGATATAGCTGTCCGCGAGGCCGTCACCCGCCTCCTCGTCATCTTCATCTTCCTCGTCCTCGTCCTCGTCGTCGTCGCCGCCGTCGTGGTGCACTTGTCCACGACCAGGCGTATCATCAGCCTCCGTATCGCTGGCCGAAAACTCGTTCAGCTCCAGCGGCTCGTCCCTCCAGTACTTGAAATCCGTAAACTCCTCGCCGCCGCCCCTGACCAGCGTGCTGACGGGCGGGAAGAAGTGGTCGACGACCTCGTTGATGTTCATGTACGTCAGCTTGAGCCGGTTGAGGCTCAGCACGTCCAGGCACACCTCGGCGTTGGAGTTGATGGTGAAGATGCGGTTCCGCGGGACGTCAACCGTCCGGTACGAGATCTGGTCGGTGAGTCGGTTCCCGTAGCCGGCGTAGAACGGGGTGTGCTCGGGCCCGTACAGCAGCCGGATGTCCCGGAGGGTGGCCATCTTGAAGACGTGGGGTTTTCGGAGGTAGACCTCGCGGCGGAGGGCCGCCATGGTGCGGTCGGGCGACAGGATGGTCGGGCCCCGCGGCAGTTTGTAGCCGTCTTGCTGGATGCCAGCCAGGTAGGCCCTCGTGGTGTCGGACTGCCCGACGGACCGGCTCGTCAGGTACATGATGTTGTAGCCGTTGGCGGCGATGTCGCTGTAGAGCTTGGCCACGCCGGCGTGGGTCCAGTCGCGGCCGATCATGTTGAGGACGTGGCCGAGGGCGTCCGACTTGGTGATGGTGCCGTCAATGTCGGAGATGACGACGGGGGTCTCGTGCTTCCAGAGGAACATGTTCGCCTGGCAGGTGGCCCGGTTGACGGTGAAGCTCATGCTGTTCTCGCCCGGCTTCAGGTCGAGCGCCTTCAGCTGGTCGCTGGTCAGACGAAGCGTCTTGGCGTAGTTCACGTTGGGGTCGCCGGCGGTCGACGTGGGCGGCGTGCTGGGAGCGGTCTGGGAGCTGATGTCCGACCCGGCTCTCCTGTGCAAGCGAGACTCGGCCGTGGTGGTGGCATCACTAGTGTCACTCTGATAACCGGGATCGGAAGCGGCATCGGCGGCGACAACGACGGCGGCGGCGCCGCGGCGGAACCCGGCGTCCAGGGTCTTCTTCTGGGCGGCCTCCTTGGCTTCCTCGCTGCTGTAGATCCAGATATTTCCCTGTTCGTCCATGCCGAACAGGGCGCCGATGTCGTAATTGCCCTCGAGCTCCTGCGACAGGATCTTGCGAGCCATGATTTCGGCCCGGAAGACGTCTTCTTCGTTGGTTTTCAGCATGGTCATGTCGAGTTTGAGGTCGCCCGTCTCGGTGACTTCACAGGGGATGTTGGCAGCCGAGAGCTTCTCGGAGAGGGCAGTAGCCCGGGCCACGGCCTCGGTGGGTGGGAGAGGCGGAGGACTCTGGGACCGGGTGGAGAGCCGGGGGCTACCTGGTTCGAACGGTGCCTCGGCAGCGTCCGAGTCGCTCGATCGGGAGGATTTGCCGAGGAAATCGTTGCTGCGGGATCGGAGCACGTGGGACCAATCGCCGGACCGGGGGCGCTCGAGGGCCGGACCGGGGGTAGATGTAGATGTAGCGGAGGCCAATATGCCTGTGGGGAGGAAGACGTCGTCAGCGTGATGAATTGTAGGAAAAGGGGAGTTTTGGTTTTTAAGAATAGGACGAAAAAAAAAGAAGAAAAAAAGAGTTACCATCTTCACGGAGTGCCGAAGTTGAATATAGAACAGAAGGCCCGGGGCGGCGCGACTTGGCAGCAGCATCGTCGAGTTCCAGGAGATCGGGTTCCTGAAGGCCGGGAGAAGGAGAGCGGCGCGCATTCAAGGGAGGACTCGAGGCGGGGGAGACGAGCGGCGAGGTCTGGAGATCCTTGGGGATGGTGTCGCTGGTCTCGAAGATGAAAAAGGCCTCGCCCTCCTCGCCGAGCTTCATGGGATAAGGCTGCTTCACGCCATTGACGCGGAAGTCGACCTTCTTCTCATAAGGGCGGAGAAGAGAGAACTTGCCGAAGCGGACGTGGAAGGGCGAGCAGGCCAGAGAGCCGTCCTCCTGCTCCACGACGATGACGTCGATGGCACCGCTGAGGGTGGCCGGGTTGATGGAGTTCCATGCCGACGAGACCGAGTCGCTAAGGTTCCTGACGTACTGCATGGCGGGCGACGGCGGGCGGAGAGATCGAGGCGGTTGTGGTGGTTGTTCGTATGACAATCGACAATCGATCGTCTCGAGGCCGGTGGGAGGTGGTTAGGTGCGGTGGGAGATGTTACGGACCGGCCTCGCAGTTGTGGTGGTTGGTGTGGTGTCGGTGGCGAGGGCAGAGGTCGGGTATGAGGATGTCAGCCGTAATAGATGGCGACCAGCAGACCAGCAGACCAAACAGTCAAAGGGACCAGTTCAGCCCAAGGGTCCAGCGGGTCTGGTATGGACGGCTGGAGACAAATGCAATTACGAAGTAGGTAACTCTGATGGGCGAGGCACCCAAGCCGGGGGCGGGGGTTGATGTTGAGGTTGAGGTTGAGGTTGAGTGGGTGGAGGGATTTCGTAATGCGGAGAGGAGAGCAATTGTTGGGGAAGGCGTATTTCGGCTATATTACAATGCAGGGGGTGTTGATCGAAATAGGCATTCGTTTGAAGGTCATGGGATGTTGTAGGCTGGAGGGTTATTGGGCAGGCGTCGCTGTAGCTGGAGCCTGGAATAGCGAGCGAGGGATAATGTGGTCGTCGAGCGAAGAGGAAGAGGTTGGTCGACAAGAGTACGCACAAGAAGAATGAATAAGAGGGAGAGGGAGAGGTAGTACGAGAGGCTGCAGGTTGTCGAGAAATATCGGGAGCATAATTAATTAGGTAGGGAGGCATTAGGGGACGAGACGAGTCAAGGCAGGATGAGGGACGCCGAGAGAATCCATCACGGGTAGGTACGAAAGTATGACTAGAGGCATGACCAAGAGGCATGACGAAACTGATGGGGTTACTAACACCCTGGCCCAATGGTCCCCAAAAGGTAGGAAAGGTAGAAAAGGTACTTAGGGCTACCTGAAGCGGGTATAGCGGGTTCAATCGTTGAGGGGGTCATCCAGTTAACTGACTAGCGCAGTCCAGGCTTGCCTGTTTTCTCGCCTACGGGGGTACGGGAGGACTACCTAATGGCGCAGCCGGCTCCGTGCAGTGGCGGGGCCAAGAACGGAATCTCACAAGCCACAGATTAAGGTACAAATTTGTACATGGTATTCGTACGTACCTAGTACGTTGTAGGCATTCGTCCCCTGAGACCTCGGCATTCGAGCCGCTCACCAAGCCAAGCCAGGGCACGTTGGACCCCTGTTTCGTTCCCCCAAAGTCCCAAAGTCCCCAACTGTTTTAGTGGCATTCCACCTCAATGGTCCCTCAATGGCTCAATGGGCTCTTTCCCGCTTCACTCTTCATCCTCAGGGCTAGGTTTCGACATAGGTACCTTGTGGATCACATGAGTCCAAGACTAGTAGCTTTTCTTACAACGTAAAGTACGATTGCCAAACTGGTGAAAAAGCCGTCGTAAAGACTTTTAAGAGGTGAAGAAAGAAGAAGAAAAACGAGAGGTAAAAACAAGAAGAAAAATCCGTCCACAAGCAAAGCCGAGGCACCCCTAATTACAAAGAGTGCGAATACAGGAGCTAGCTCCGATACATCTACTTCGTAGTACCCATTCAGACAATCCGCCGAGAACACTCCGTTTAACACATGATCTAAGCTCGCAGCACCTACTTCTACTAGGATCATTTCCTGCGTCTATACTACACTGAAGCTGGCCCACTTTAAAGTCCGGCACTTTTAGCAGCCTGGCGTTTATACTAGTACTACCGCCCGCGCCCGTTTTTCGGTATTTTACAGTGTTTTTCGGGTAACTTCCCTCTATAGTATATACTTGTATAACCCGTAAGCTACCGCTACTTCTAAATTATATAGTCTCTACGCTAAATAGTAATTCCGTTTATTAAGGGCGTTCTGTGCGGATCGCCTATAAATTTAACGTTTAGACTATCCTTATATATATACCCACTACTTAGAGTATTCTACGCCGCCCGTAAAATTCTTACTACGCTATTACACCTTATTTAAAACCGTTAAGATAGTTAGCTAGTCCGTTCTAGAGCCGCCGCGGGCTTACCGTACTTACCGTATAGTTAAGCCATTTTCTGATTTCGGTTATTATCCGCGGGCACGCAGGATTTACGTAACCTGTATAATATGCCGTGGTACTAGAGTAACCAACCAAAACGCGCGTTAAGCCGCCTATTAGGCCTATTCTATAGGTTCTACGGCTCCTCCACCACCTATTCTAACTATCCACCCTCCACTATAACCCCTTACACCTCCTTAACCACTTATTCTAACAGGTAATCCTCCACTAGACCCTCCGCCGCCACCTCCTCCTACGCCCGCTCCTTAAAAGGGTAGCCGTCGTCGTAGCCGTAACCGTCTCCCTAATACTCTATAGTTAATAGCGGGCCAGTACTATACTTCCTATAACCGTTACCTTATAATGGCTGCTTTTAGTACCCGCCGAAATAATACCCCCTATAATACCTATAACGACTATAGTAATAGCAGAGCGCGTTATAGGGCGGCCGTTACTACTAGCTAGCGTAGAGCGCGCCTGTAACCCGACCACCGCGTAAAGCGTATTAGGCCGCTAGGGTAGTATTAGCCGGGTATTACGGTTAATTACTATAACCTTAGATTAATACGGGTAGAGTGTGAATATTACGCTATACTCTATTAGATTAGGGAGAAGTTATAGGTTAGTTTTCTATCTCGTGTTATTAACTGTTAGCTAACCGCTATTATCTTTTTTTATATAGGAATCGTCACCTATAAGCCCGAAATTCGGCACCTATTATAACCAGGGCGACGTCGACGTTCCCGTTATCTCCCCACTACTCGACTTCTTCTAACTCCTATTATACGCGGATACCGCTTAAGCTATAGATTATCGTAAGAGAATCCGTTAATATAATAATACCTTTTCGTTTACGTCTATATAATATATAGAGACCCGTTAAGGTACTAAAGCCGGCGGCGTAATAGCCTTTACCTAGCTATATTTTTACGACCCGTAGGCTACTACCGACCACCGCCTTACGAATACCTAAAGCCTTAACTCCACGCTTAACCGTTATATCCTAGGGGAGATTTCGGACTTCCTACACGAGTATAACCCCTTCGTGCGAATATATAAAACGGCCCGCGAACGCTTTAACTCCCTCCGTAAATAGTGCCGTATTATACTAAACCCTAAGATAGAATTAATTATTAAGCAGGGTACTAATATACAGCGTAAGAATCTACCCGTTACGGATAAGGTTACGGCTATTATACCGGATAAATAGGGTAAAGTCTACTACCGCGATATTATCCTTGTAGAGAGATAGTCTAACGATAGCGTAGGTGGCCTTACGCGGATCGACTATAAGTATTCTGCCTACCTACTACTATCTTACCCGCTTATATACCCGCGTAGCGGTTCCGGATATTACTAGCAGTTATAGTTACGGGATATTTATAACCGTTAGCGCTAAAACACCGAGGTAGAATTCCGTTAATTCTACCGTTATATACTATACCCGCGATACTAGTAGAGGTTTATACTCTTTATATACTGCCGGCTTTTTTAGTAGTTTTTAGTCGACCTATAGGTACCCTACGATTAGAAGAAGCTTAATTAGATCTAGCGCTATTAGAATAAGATACGGGCTAACGTATATAACGGGATATAGGATTAAGCATATAAGGCCGACGGCGATACCCGTAATATTAGCCGACGGATCGTCTTACCCTTAAATTACGTTAGCAGCTAGCGGTTTATCTCGTAGTGCTATTAGGATTCTATAGTAATTATACAGGCTCTCGGCGCTCTAACCTTTTTTATCACCTTTACGGCTAATCCTACCTAGCCAGAGATTATATAGGAGCTTTAGCCAGGTTAGACTACTAATAACCGGCCTGATTTAGTCGGCCGTGTATTCGAATTGGAGTCTTATAACCTAAAATAGCAGCTATATAATAGTCTATTTAGTAAGTTTACGGGTATTATATAGACTATAGAATACTAAAAGCGCGGTCTTCTATATCGTTATATCCTTCTTTTTCTTACACCGCGGGCGGCCGAGATATATAAGGATGGCGTAACTATTAATAAGGTTATATCTACGGAGCTACCGGACTATAAGTCGGATCCTACTAGCCGTCTTTTTAATATTATTAGTAAGAATATAATATATAGTCCTTACGGTGATAATAAGCCCTATACGCTATGTATATAGCCGTAGCCTAATAACGGGAACCGTATAAAGTGCTCTAAGCGGTTCCCTAAGCTGTACTACCCGGAAACGGCTATACGCGAGAATAGTTATCCTAAGTATAGGCGCCGTAACTCTAGCCTATACATTATAAAGAGGGGTCGTATAGGAGAGGTCCCCCTTAATAACCGTTTTATTATTCCTTATAGCCCGTATCTTTACCTCCGATACGGTGTCTATATTAATATTAAGATTTACGGATCTATTAAGATAAGTTATTAATTATATCTAGTATCTTATACTTTAATATTTACGGATCTATTTAGGCGATTAAGTATATATATAAGTACGTTTATAAGGGCAGCAACTATATAACTACGCTGATATCGGGCGAAGAGGGCGAGGATAAGGTAAATATCTATCTCTAGAGCCGCTATATTAGTCCTACGGAGGCTATTATTTAGTTATTCGAGTTCCCGGTATATCGCGAGTTTCTACCCGTTATACGTTTTCCGGTTCACCTTAAGGGATAGTAGCCTATATACTTCGGCGATAACGCGACCGTAAGCTAGATTAAGTGGATATTATGGGACCGGAAGACTTAGCTAATAGGCTTTTTCGACTATAACCGTGATAACGTCGATAGCCGCGAGTTATTCTATCACTAGTTTCCTAGCCATTATATGTGGAAACCGTAGTAGTTTACTTAGTAGCTAAGGTAGCGTGAATTTTAGATCGGCCGTCTACGGTATATGGCCCTAACGGCTAAAGAGGCGTACTATTTACGGTTACTCTTAGTCTCTATTCGAGGGCCGACTTCCTTTATGGATCTTCGTACTATAGAGGGGACTATCTATAATACCTACCGCGAGGCCT